CAGAATTGGTTAGTTCGATTTCAGAAATGATAAACTCAATTTCAGAATCGGTGAGATGAATTTCAGAAAAAGTCCATTCAATTTCAGAAATGGTAAGTTGTATTTCAGAATTGGTAGGTTCAATATCATAAAAAAATCCTTATATTTGTTCGAAATGTTTCAATTGCATGTGAGATTAACAAACCATATTTAAAATATTCAACTTTTCAAAAACAATTTAATCCACAGATGCCTTCCATCTGAATCGCTGGAAGATAGTGGCGTTGCACATGATTATAAGAATGCAAACACATTTGAGGTGTTATCATGTCCATTGAATGATCTGCACATTCTTCAAGACATCGCAGTCTGAATTCTATCTGGTTGAGCAATCTGTTCGGATCTCCAGCTATGACCCTTTGGCGATGCTCTTTCAAGGAGCTCTTCACTTTTGACTTGAAGGCACCCCATATATTATGTTCAATCTGATTCAACATAGGGCTCTCAAACACCGTTCCATCCACTGTAAACAGTCTTCTCTTTTGCAATTAAAAACATTTAAAACATATAAGAGGATTTCATCTTCTGAAATTGAACCTACCAATAATGATTCTGGAATACAACTTACCATTTTTGAAATTGAATGGACTTTTTCTGAAATTCATCTCACCGATTCTGAAATTGAGTTTACCATTTCTGAAATCAAACTAACCAATTCTACAATCGAGATTACTTTTTCCGAAATATAACTCACCGATTCCGAAATTGAAGTTGAAAAGGTATATAGTAATAATTCATTGGAAAACATGTCTTATTGTGAATTGGTTTATCCTATTCCAAAGTTTTAGCTCCTGTGCCATCCGGTATATATATTCTTTTCAGCTGAACATGTCAAACACTATGTCACTATACCATGTGAATATTTTTTCAAAGATTATTGTTAACACTGTGATGTGACGTTTCTTCTAGCCGAACTCCAAACAATTTGTAAATCCTATCATGCCAAGATAGCCAAACTTGAAGGGGATAAATATGATTTAGAAGTAATCGAGCGCATTAAAGCATTTGAGGTACAAATTTATACACGATACACAGGCGTTGCTGTTTTTCCTTATTTTTTTTTAATTATTAGGTCGCTCTTACCGAATGGCATTTATATTTTCAATAGCTCTAAGGTTCCTTAGTAGTCCCATAAACAATTTTTGAGCATCTTGTCCTATATACAGGGTGTTTCCTAACTACGGTTCCTAACTGCAGGGGGTGATTTGTTAGGTCATTTCAAGAAGAAAAGTTCCTATAAACATATGTCCGGAGTTGCTTCGTTTCTGAGATACAGGGCGTTGAAATTAAAGAAAACAAGCGATAATTATAAAATATCATGAATATTCTGGAACCGATTTGGTTGAAATTTGGTACTTTTATTTGTCAAATTTTCTAAAATTTCAGCATATCAAGTGTCAATTGAATTTTTGGTGGAAATAATGAAAAACTCATTTCTCCAATGCAGGTGTTCATGATATACAATACAGTGACTTTGATTTTTTTTCTCGAAAACGAAGCTGGATATGAAGAAAATGCAAGAGACCAAAAAGTTGGATTTTGAGTTGCTCCATCTAAACAAAATAAAAATTTACCAAAAAAGTCAGTGGCGTACTTTTTTTTCAATATATTGTTGGCTGTGGTGCCCACTGAGACGCCACTGGCCCCAATAATTTCAATCTAAATAGAGCTAAATGAGCGCCTAATTAGTTCAAATGAAAGTATCAAATTTCAACCAAATCGGTTCTAGGATATTCATGATATTTTATAATTACCGTTTTTTTTTGCTTCAATTTCAACGCCCTGTATCTCAGAAACGAAGCAACTGCGGATATATGTTAATAGAAACTTTTCTTCCTAAAATGACCTAACGAATCACCACCTGCAGTTAGGAACCGTAGTTAGGAAACACCCTGTATACAGGGTGTCCGCTAAAAGGAGGTCAATCCATTAACCACATATTCCTTGAACAAAAACAATATGAGTTTCTAAATACCAGTTTTCATTTTAGCCCATCATATTCGATATACAGGGTGTCAAAGTTGGAAATTAAAAACTGTTTTTTTCTAATTACTCGCGTATTTGATAAGATATCAATCTCAAAATTGGTACATTACTTCAGGCACAAAGAGTTACATCGTGTGAGGAAAATATAACAGAAAATAACTATCAAATATTCAAAATACTGGGGGTCAAGTACACACTTACTCCCATATTTTTTTTGTACGTGCGCTAATGACTTCCTATCTATTTTCCTTCAAGTGTTCAATCATTTTTGAGTAATTTGTGTTTCTTGTAAAATTTGGATTAAATCATTTGTTTTTAAGATAATTCGAAAAGTACTGGTTATTGTTTGATGCCTATGCGGCTTACGGTAATCTCATAATGTTCACATACTCCTATTTATTTCGTCGAAATTGGAAGAGGGCGTATCTTTTTACGTACGAAAAGGTAAATATGGAAATACCGGGTGCTCAGAGCGAATGTATTAAAATAATTTTTACAATTTTTCAATTTTTTTTTTCTGTAAAAATTATTTTAGTACATTTGCTCTGAGCACCCGGTATTTCCATATTTACCTTTTCGTACGTAAAAAGATACGCCCTCTTCCAATTTCGACGAAATAAATAGGAGTATGTGAACATTATGAGATTACCGTAAGCCGCGAGTCATGAAACAATAACCAGTACTTTTCGAATTATCTTAAAAACAAATAATTTTATCGGAATTTTACAGAAATCTAAAAATACTCAAAAATGATTGTACACTTGAAGAAAAATAGATAAGAAGTCATTAGCGCACGAACAAGAAAAATATGGGGGTAAGTGTGTACTTGACCCCCAGTATTTTGTATATTTGACAGTTATTTTCTGTTTTGTCTTCCTCACACGATGTACCTCTTTGTGCTGAAGTAATGTACTAATTTTGAGACTAATATCTTATTAATTACGCGAGTAATTAGAAAAAAACACAGTTTTTAATTTCCAACTTTGACACCCTGTATATCGAATATGAAGGGCTAAAATGAAAAATGTTATTTAGAAACTCATATTATTTTTGTTCAAGGAATATATGGTTAATGGATTGACCTCCTTTTAGCGGACACCCTGTATATATATATACAAACTTTTCGATATAAACGAATAAAAAAACGAAAAAACTTCAAAGAAATTCGGAGAGTACATATATTTTATGGTAGTCTGCTGCAGGTTGTTTTCTTGCATATCATCAGTATCATCACTAACTAAGGAACCTTCAGGGAAGTATTCCAAAAACAGTATTTTTGGAATGCTTGGTTTGTTACCCGCAATGTATATACATATATTTTTTTGCGACATAGCTGTGTACCATTAGGAACTCAAAGGACATCACTTACCTACGACAAGAAACACCAATCCTTTGTCACATGTTTTTCCAGATTACAAAAGTATATGTATTTTCGTATCATCGCTAGAGTTAATATTCAGCATATTGATTTGAATATTTAAGAAAAAGCTTCAGATACCAATACAAACAATATTTTGATAGGGTAGTTTTGAGAATCTGAATTTTCATAAGAATAATATACTGTACCACATGAAATCGTTGAGTTTTCAAAATTCCCATTTGTTCAAAAGATATTCAACTGTCCCTCTGGTACTTTGTGTGGAAAGTTTCAGAATTGATTTGCTCATAACTTGAGCTAATACTTTGTTGAAAGACAATCAGGTTGTGTCGAAATTGCATAGAAAGATTTCAACCACAGATTCAAGAAAAAAAAACAGTATAAAAAGTTCATATAAATATGGGTCCAGAAATGGCCCTCTGGTGGGGTTTAGTCTGAAAATTCACGTGGCCTGACGCGTTCGAACCAATGAAAATTCATCGGCTCAGCACGAGATCAAGCTGACGGTCAAAAATGACTAACATGGCAGTCAGAGTGTTGAAATATGGGGGGTTCAATAAAAAAAATAAATTGAAAAATTATATGGTACTATTTTCATTAGGCAGCAGACTTTTGAAATCTATTTATTTCGAAAATGGTGAGTGCTATCGATACTTAACTAAATTTTTGAGTAAAAAATAAGAGTTTTGCATATTTCCTGGTCAAATTGACGAAAATTGTATGAACAAAGGAGTTGGGGGAAAAACTGCTCCTAGCCCCACCTATTTCCTACGCCCCTGATCAAAATTGAGGCAGATATTTAACATTTTCTAATTGGGCATAAAAAGTCAGGAACCTGTACAAGATTTGGTCATTTTATCACGAGGGCTTTCGAAAATATTTACAAAAATCATCTTAGCTCTCCTTCAGATGGCTATAACTCCCTAGGGCGCAATTTATAGTTATTTATGTATTAAGGGAATTATGAGGGCCTTAATTACCGATGGCAAAGTTTGCGTCCCGAGGGCCTCTGGCCCGAGGGACAGCAATTGCCAGAGGTTATTGAGGCTCTATAATTCCCGTGATACATAGATAATTTTATTTCTGACTGATTTCATTCATTAGATACCTTCCCGATTGGAAGTTAGACATGTTTTTCCGTATAGTTTCAATGTCATCAGAACGTCAGATGATGATCTTGACTACCGCGACTATGAGATTCCTTATTGCTACGTTATTGCGTGGTTGTTGCTATGCATTTCTTATTTAATTTTAGCTAGAGGGAATTATAGCATCTATAACATCCCAAGGGAGTTATGACCCTCATAATAGATATCGTAACTATGACGATATAAGCTTATAATGTCACTGTCAGAAATAAAACTTTTTTTACTATTTTCGTTTCTAGAATCTGTGATTGAAATCTTATCGATATAATTTTGAGACACCCTGTATAACTAACTGAACAGATACAGGAAAATAACTTTGAAATAGCGTTTTAGAATATTTTCAAGACATTGACATTATTAGAAGTACACTGCTAGCGAAAAAAATCCGGGCAAATAAACTGCAATCGACATAAAAAATGCTGACTGCTGGTTCCGTTTCCGATTTCTAGGCCAACTTAAGAGGATTTGCAAAGACTATTATGACCGAATGTATATCTGTGAAGAGCAGAAATGGGATTTGGAACGCGAAGTTCGAAAGCGGGATTGGGAGGTATCTTATTTCTCATCACACAAATTTTTCATTTACTTATATTATCTACATTCACCGCTGCAAAAAAACTGGCCCCCAAAAAATTTTGCCGAATGGTTACCCTGTAAATTCTTCAATTGTTGTCCGATTTTGGTGAAACTTCGACCAAATCGTGAAGTTATGTTTCGAAATGTTAACCTGAATTTTAGTTTCCAAAATAAACTGATGGCTTGATCATTATTATGGGAAAAACATAATTTTCTATTTCATGCCCAACTTCTTAACGCCCTGTGGCAAAAGTGGGTGATTGAAATTAGCTCCATCATGTTTTGAATTGAAGTGTAATCCCTTCTTAACACAATTATTGTTCTTGATTTACGTCAATATCTTTAAGTGAGGATACATTGATACAAGTGTTTTGAGGAAGTATGATTTTTTTAAATTTGCAGAACTTACATGAACTTATCGATTAACAATTCAAAAAAAAACAACTGAAAATTGATCACTCACGTATTTTCACCCCATTTTTAGCACTCCTGTGATTATGATCCGATTCTATTCAAAATTGGGAAATTCAAGATGGCGGAACCAATATGGCGGACGAATTTCGTAATTATGATCCGATTCTACTCAAAATTGATACCTAGGGGCTTTCGTGATCAAAGATTATGATTACTACGTGAAAATTAGGAAATTCAAGATGGCGGATCCAATGTGGCGGACGAGTTTCATAATTATATTCCGATTCTATTCGAAATTTGTGAGTAGGAGGTTTCGGGATCGGAAATTATGATTCCTTCGTCAAACTTAGGAAATTCAAGATGGCAGATCCAATATGGCGGTCGAGTTTTGTCATTATGATCCGATTCTACTCAAAATTTTCAACTGGGGTTTTGGGAGTCTCAGATTATGATTCTTTCATCAAAATTGTAAATTCAAGTGACCTAAAGAGGAGTAGAAAATAAATATTATTTTGAGAAACCAAAGGAACACGCTTTGGTAGATAGCCAAACTAAAAAGAAGTAAAAATGAAATAAACATAATAGTGTGTGGATGGATATTTACCATAAAAAATATTTTCTAGAAATAATGTAAATAGCAAAACAACGTTTGCAGGGTCAGCTAGTTATTAATAAAAATTAAAAATTCCATACTTTCAAGAATCAAAATTCAGGATAACACTCCGCAAAATAATTTACGATTAGGTCAAAATCTCACCAGAAACGGACAAGGATTCAATAAGTTACAGGGTGATCAATTTGGCAATTTTTTTGCTGGCCGATTTTATTTGCCGGTTAATGTATCTTACAATAATTTGTTCATTACATTGTTTTCTGTTGCTTCACGTCATACATACACATTCTTTGTTTTTCTGTATACAAACGTTTCAGTAGTTGACGAATTATAAACTGAATATATCTCAAGTCTCGAGAAAAATGGAAATCAATAAGAGATCTATACGATGTGTTCAATACTTATGAATCGTCAACAAGTCCTGTGGTATACATGTACCTAATGATACCTTTGTTGTGGATACTAAAAATCTGAAAAAGTATTTATGTTATGATGTGAGCACATGAAGTGCTAAGCCGTAGTACCAATCCACCCATACCTAACCCATGGCTGCATCAAACGAATGCCTAAAGTGTCTCTTCAATAAAAAAAAACTCATTTATATGACAGTTTCAGAATTATCTGCTGCAATTATTGAGGCCTCACTGTATTTTATTGATAGAAGATAATATATATCAGTATTTGCAAGAGAACGGTGAAATATTTTCTGAATGTAATGATTCAATATTAATTTGAATCAAATCAGTATTTCAGTTGAATTCAATTCTTGATGAACTCAATCGAGGTACACTATCATATACAGGGTGTATCAAAATTCAGTTTCAAGATTTCAGATCAGAATGAGTCGCTTCGTTACCGATCTACAGTGCTTTGAGATTTCTAGATGTTTTTCTTTGTTTCTGTTTTAGTTTTCGAGATATTCAGATCAAATTTGAAACATACGTTGAATTTTGGGTTTCACATCATAAAGTATATCGAGTGATTGTAAGAATCTACAGGGGAATATTTTTTCAGAGGTCAAGCTCTTTCTCACTCCATAAACTTTTTTGTGGTGTGCCACTGGTAGATATTGAAATACGAAATGAGTTGTTTGTTTTCTCTGTCAACTTCTTTGTCTCCTGTAATTTTTAAACATCTGCGACCATTGTCGAACAAAATAAATTGTTTTTGTAATTCGCTAGATTTAATAAATTTTTTTGAACAATAGGAAGGAACTCATTATCACAATTAGAACAAATGATGCTACACTACCTGAGAAATATCATTATTTTTATCAAAGGTGCTGGAAAAAAAATCTTGAAACTTTAACGCTCTGTATATCAGTAACGATGCGCTTGAGGAGACATATCTATAGAAACAAAATTGAAACACCCTGTAGCCTTACAAAAACTGATATTTTATGGCTTATTATAGAAAACAAAAATGCTCAAGAACCCACTAACTATCCCGAGCTTTGCAGAGTCCCTACCAACCCTTCACGTTTCAATGGAAATTCAAAATATTATATTAGTACCTATACTGAATTGATCGAAATCCACGAAGGTACTTTTGATTAATTCGGTATTTTTTTTGCTGAGGCTACAAGAGTTGCCTGACTGGCAAGTACTTATTCTTGCTATGTGTAGTAAACAGTAAATAACTCACTAACTGATATACCAAACATAGAATCTGAAGAAAAAACCTCTTAACCCACACCTACGCTTCATTCCCGCATTCATCCCTAGGGATACGGCATGGCATTTCATGCTTTATTTTATTCTCCAGAATTTTATTATTGATTTGCAACATTCACCAAAAACTCACCAAACTTTAGGGGGTGCCGATAAAATGACAAAAACGAAAACGGAACCTACAGTTCAGAAGTGCCATGCTATATCCTCCACTTCGGTATCAATTCATCATCACATAAAAAATGATTGAGAAAAAAGGCAGAGCTTGTTATGTAACAAAAAAAAGAGTCTCTGTTGGATGAATCTGGTGATTTAATGATATTGAAGTTGAATACTACTCATTTCTGGGATTGGTTGATTATTGTGAATAACTATCACTGAAACATTGTAAATGGACGCTTTGGAATCGCTTGATTTTTTTTTGTATTTTGTGAGGTGAAATCTGAACAAGACCAGAAAGCAACGTTTTCCGTAGTCCATAGTACGCTTCCCAACAACAAATCTCCCACAACGTGTCGAACAATTAAGTATACCTCCCTCCTACTATGTATTTTTTTTGTACGAGAAACATGTATATTTTTGACGTTTCTCGACCTGTATATTGTGTATAGTTTTTTGTGGACGTACTTTCCTAGATTATATTTTCCCCTAATGTAGTATCGTTTTACCCAAATCTTTTTCTGTCATCCTTTACTCGTTCTGTATATCCTGTCAATGTTGATAACTTCACGCTGCCTTAGTTTGTGTTTCTTGTTTCATTTTTCCACTAATAATCTTGCCCAAGCCAACGTGTTGTGTATTTTTCACTAACTATCGTTGTGTTTTGTCATTATATTATTAGCACTTAATACTAACATTTTATCGATACATTGTGACTTATTTCTTCTAATGGATATCCTTGGAATATATTATTCTGATATAAACAGCTTTTCTCGGAATGTTATTCAATAAGATTGATATTCTGACCAACAAAATATTAATAATTTGTTTTACAAACACCAACAATTCGAATTCACTCTGTATTTGAGGAAGAAATAAGTACTAATTTGTTTTTTTAAATATTAAGTCTTGATAAATTTATTTTTGTATAGATCTCCGATTTGAACAGCCAAGTCAACGATCTGAGAGGCAAATTGTAAGTATTTTATCAAGTAAATAAGTAGGTATTGACAGACTTTCAAAAATTTCCTACACGTTACTCCTCTTCATAGCAGTACGATTTTTTGAGACTTACATCATTCTATTATGTTTTACCTAACAAGTGCGAAAAATTTATTTACGCTCGTGTTACGTTCTAGTAATTTTCCTAACAAGTGCGGAAAGTGGAACTTTCCCGCACGCGAAGCAGTCGAGTGCGCGAAAGACTCTTTCCGCATGAGTTAGGAACAATATTTTTTCTACAAGCGTAGGAAATTGATTGATTTGTTCGATCATTTATGCCTGGAAATAGGAACAACTAACAATAATGATATATTCTCTATCTTCTAATAATTAGTGATATATCTATTGTGTGTACCGTTTGAAGCATTATGGAGGTAAGCTTATTGCGGAAGCCAACGCATGCTTATGGTGTTTGGCCTCTAGGTTTCAGACATTTCTAGGAAATGAGCCAAAAATACTTCTTCTTTATTTGGTGTTTTCACTTTTTTACTATTGCACCATTCAATAAATCCCGTGTAGTGCTTCTCATACCTTTCTTAAGACTTCGTTGGCAATAATTCATCTGTATCGCATCTGTAGCTGGAAGTTTTTCATCGCAATTCCACTGAATCGAAAATGACAGTAACGCTCTCTCTGTCACTCTGAGAATTACACTAACTTATTTGTATTTGGATTGAGATGAGAACAATTGTTTCCCACATCAGATCAATCAAAGGCTATAGGAGGATTTATATAAAAGTCAAATATTATTTTTCAATATTTCTTCATTTTCACAATAAATAGTGCAATTTGATGGATGATTTTGTACTTTGAACTTACTAAATACTGCAACAAAAAAACCTAAAATTTTCATATTGTGTCACCCACCACTCATATTTTGCGAGAATTTTATATAAATGTTTTTTCCGCACTAGAGTGGAAAAACTTTTCCCGCACTACTGCAGGAAAATTACACTTCCCAAACTAAATTGCGTGCGGGTATAGGATGAATCACGCACGCTTATAGAAAAACTATTTTTTCTACTAGCTTGCGGAAAAACCCAAATTTCTATTCTCCACACTAGTGCGGAGAAAACGTTCAACATCAAAATGAGTGCGGAAAAGTGGACATTTCCGCACTCATTTCTCGTTGAAAAGTCACATTTCCGTACTAAGGACAAAAAAGTAATTTTGTCAAGTTTTTGGGGAGTATACTAACATTTGAATATTTGATAATGATAAAAATAAAGTCTCTTTGTGGCAACTTCTGGCTTTTTCCGCACATCAATTGAAAAAATAGTGTACCGTGCGTACAGTGACTTTTCCGCATTTGTTAGGTAAACTACTATTTTTTCTCTACAACCAACTTGAAGGTTTGCATATTTTTTTCAAACTTAGCACTTAACGATGACGTCTTGATATCTATGTAACCTTTTTAGTGTCTAGGAGCTGAAGTTGAAGTTTTACTCCTAGGATCAAATTTTAAACTTGATTGACAATGTATCATTTTGATTTCCACCTGATCTGAAATGTTTTTTAGCGTTAAACCGACCCTCAAGAAAGTTTCCAAATACGAAAACAAATTCGCCAAACTTCAAAAGAAGGCTGCCGAATTCAACTTCCGTAACCAACTCAAGGTCGTGAAGAAGAAGGAGTTCACCTTAGAAGAAGAGGATAAGGAAGTAAGTCATATGAATAATATATCGGGAACCAGTTTTATGTAATAGGTTTAAATAAATTGCGGTATTGATTCACAGAAAACAAATTGAGTTGAAAACTTTCTGTGGGATTTGACGAAAACGCGAATTTTATAGATTATTATTATTGTGATCATATTTTTGTGCAGGTTCATTTGCCCTTGTGCTTAATAATTCAATGATAATTAGCTATTTGAGCATCGCATAACTACTTTCAATAACATATCGGATGGTTTAAAATGATTTGGTCTTCTCCTTCCTTCATTGAAACAATCATTGATTGAATTTCTATACTACTCATTACTATTATTAGATCTACCTCGTATATCGTGATACAGTATCGGGTATTGGACCACCCCTGTAACTTCTGCATAGCCAATTCAGATTCGATCATATTACAATTCATTATGGCGGACTTCTCTGGTTTTCCTGGAAATGCCAGCAACTTTAATTTTTCAAATGGAACACCCTGTATATTCCTACATATTCTAGTTCAGCAGGTCGAAACGAGTTCAACCTTTACATCAATTCTTTCTAAAAAAATATTTATAATGAAAAATAGTTTTTTTCATTTCACCTCGTGGATGAATGAGATGTGGTCAAGGCTATTCACACATACTAGAGAATCATATTTTTTTCTGAAAAACTATTTTTTGTGTCACTTATTGATGAATCGATCAAATATTCATTTTTTTTAAATGGAAGCCCTATGGATCACCTACATGTCTCTCTAAAACCTACATCAGGGAAAAAAATAGAACACCCTGTATATTTTTACATATATTCGAATTCAGAAGGTCAAAGCCAGTGTACTCTTTATGTCAAATGTAATTTTTTCGAAAATGTTGAAATTCAAATTATTATTTTATTTTACCTCGTGGATAAATGAGGTGTGGTCAAAGCTATTCACAATGAGTTCCACAAAGTAGAGAAACATTTTTTTTCTCAAAAACTATTTTTTGTGTCACTTATTGATGAATCATTTCAGTCATATCAGTTTTCGATGAAAAATTCTATGTTTTCAAATGGAAAGCCCTCATTAAGGAAACAAATAACATACCAATCATTTTAGTATTTCGGTGCAGTTACAAATTTTATACAGGGTGTATCTAAATAACACCGAGAAAATTCAAGGGGTGTGACGTTATAGCAAATGAAGTTCATGAAAACATCTGTCCTAAACTTGCTCCGTTTTTGAGATACAGAATGTTGAAGTTGGAAGTATTAACTATTTTCATTTATAACCCCCCTGTATAAGCTTTCATGGTGCCAAAATTCAGAATGGATGGAGACTGAGGAAGCCCCAAAATTTCAGAATGATTCTAATTGGGGTTATTGAGTAATCTCAATGGAAGTCTTGAAAACACCTACATTAAAATTTGGAGTCAAATCGAATTTTTATTGTTTCCTGAAAAACTGAGCTAGATACAAAAATCACACATAGGAAAAAAAGTTTTTAGTTCAATAGTTAAATCTGATAAAAATATGAAACTCAGAAAAACCGGTGGTGTACAATGACATTCACCATGAATATCGATAAATTTACCCACTGTGACGCCACTGGACATATTATTCTAAATCTGATTGCACTAGAAGGAGCTCCATATTACTGTTGACAAATCCACGACGTTTTATTGAAATTGATGAAAAGACAATTGAGAAATGGATAGTGTTATATTATGATCACAATTTAATAAACACGAGCACAAATGACGTGAGCAAGGGTTACACTTGCTCTTAATTCGGCTGCCTGTCGAACAATATATGAGCCAGTCTCCACACATGTTTGTCATAGGCTCTGATCTAAGCACATTCCATTGAGCAGTAGCACATCTAGTTGCTAGTCGCTAACAAATAGAAAAAAGATTTTTCATGGAAATATCGAAAACGAAGCAAGTTAGGGCACATGTTTATATAAACTTCATTTCCTAAAATATCACAAGGCATCACTACTCGAATTTTTTTGGTGTTATTTAGATACACCATACCCTGTGTATTCAAAAATCAACAACTAGTTTTATATGAATTTCCTTGCAGTTCGAACAATTTTCCAAGTTAACCGTGCAAAACAACATTTCCGAATCCGAATCTTGTCATAAAAATTGCACGTGTTCTGACCTGTTGAACTTGAATATGTGAAAATATACAGGGTGTTCCATTTGAAAAAACAAAGTTGCTGGCATTTTCAGAAAAGTCGGCAGTCCGCCATATTGGATTATCAAACCCAAAATGATTGCTTGCATAACTGTACCAAATCTCCAGAAAAATCTGCTTATGAATGCGGAAATTACAGGGGTGGCCTGACCCTGTGTCACTCGGTATATTTGAATAATCTCAGAAATTTCATGTGATAGGATGCCAGATATTATTTGAAGGAATATGAGATCGATATTTTTTGCTGATACGAGTTAAGTTTCGAGCAAAGTTCAGGAACGGAATTTTATTTTTCGCAGCCGAAGAAATCAGAAAAAGCTGAGTGGCAGACGAAGAAATGACTCAATTAGGCACCGTTGATTTTTGATTCTACTTTTCATGTCAAGATTTTTTTTTGAATTATACATACCGATACACATCGCCGTAAATAAATTATGATAAAACAGAGTCGCAATTTCTCTACAATTTTCACGATTTTGTTTTTTGTACCATATTTTTATTTTTGTTCCACATATTTTTGTGTGTGTGGATGAGTTTATCTTTTGCGCTTTTTCTCTTCGAATGGCCTTCAAAACGAGGTGAGCTCTGTGCTAATTTTGCTTCAACTGCCAAACTGTCAGTAGAATCTGCTAATTTACCTAATGAATGATTGATATTTTCATGAAGGCTTCATTGTAATTTGCATTGCTCAAATGCTGTTCAATACTTTTCAGACTGCCGCTAAAAACCCTGCTGCTAAGGTATTCGAATGATTGGTATATTTATCCTACACCATTTTCTCATCACCTTGTATATACTTCCACGTTTGAGTTCGTTTCCCAGTATATTGTAGATATTGAAATTATTGCACTTTTTTCTTGCTGTCACCTTTGCACCCGCTATCAATTTTTTTGCACAACTTCCCCATGGTAGTGTAGATATAATATTGTTCCAAAAAATCAGACTAGAAATTTGAATGGAAATCATCGAAACGAATAGGTATATTAGAAAAACCCTTCTAATGAGTTATCATTTGATCTACTCCACTGATAGATTTTCTCATAATGATACAGCCCCAAAAACTAGACCCGAAACACATCAAAATTATTAGCATTTGCTTTTAAAAATTTCAGAGCTGACATTTTCCCTATTAACTTTTGAAATTCGTATGGTAGTTGTTCATGCGATATCTTATTAGAAAGGTACCTAGTGTACTTCGCTAAGAATCTTTGAGATTTGGTTTTAATAAATAAAAGTAGTAGGAGAGCCAGCAGCAGATTCCGACTGTCATCTGATAACGGAATGTTATATGTTCCAAAGGCATGTAACAACCTTAAATAAACATTAAATGAGACCCAAACAGCAAATAGACCGATGCCCGACAGGTCAGACTGAAGGTTCAAGAGAGCCTGAACTGACAACAACGCATTATCAAACTATTTCAAAAAATTTCAAATTCAAACCAAATAAATTTTGTATTAAATTTGTTTCTATCTTCAATCGGAGGAGGTATGAATCACTGTGAGCTCACAACATACACCTATTTGTTGTAAACTTTGAAACTGCAATACTGAATTTGAAAAATGTTTATCAGATTTGTAGAGAACAAACATTGGAAACCTACCACATGACAAATATACGTCTGTCCAAGATAAGGTTGAACAGCATGGGGATCTCGGAAACGGTAGGAGATACGAAGTCGCTTAAATGGGGAAAAAGTTGCGGATTCGGAGGCTCATGTCAAGAGCCTTCGAAAATTTTGAAAATTATTTTTAGTTTTTGAGTTATGTCGAAAAAAGTGAATTTTTGGAATTTCTATTTTATTTTTTTTCTCCGCTATCATTAGAGATACAGAAAAACTGAAAATACTTTTACATAGCAACTTTTGATGACGTTCAACGTGGTGATACCGATTTTTTTATGCGACGTTTCGTATTCGTGGAACCATCATCAACTTTCGTTTTTTAAATACGGTCCTGATAATTTTTTCACAGATTCTGAAAGGTTTTTTTATTCTGAATTCAACCATGTACTATACAAGGTGGTTCGAATGTGTTTCGACCTATTTCTATCCATCATCAATGTTTTTTCGAACTTCCAAAGGAAAAAAGCCATCAGTTCCACTTATTTCTGATCATTTAGTGTCAAACTTGATGGATTAGTTATTCAATACTGAAAAGTGAATAAAAAATATTTCACTACATCATTCGATCGATGCAGCGTTTAAAATTGTTGATGAATTCTTACACGAATTACTTTAACAACTTAACTTTGACAATACCTACAGAGACATTCATACCAAATGTTCAAAATGACCATTATTTTCTGAACAAGGATATCCTCTTCTCACAGTTGCTTCTAAGACATTGCTAAGCATTTCTGGGGTTATTCTATTGAATGCTTCGAAGACACTGTCCCTTAGTTCTTCTCCATCATCAAAGTTATTTGCATGTACAAAGTTCGATATATCCCCTAAGAAAAAATCCAGCTGTGTCAAATCAGGCGACCGCGCCGGCCAAGGGATAAAAACGCACGGACTTCTCTGGAATTATGTACCGGAGCGCCATCTTGTTGAAACCAACAGAGTTCTGAACTTCCGCAATCGGTAAATCATCCAGAGCTTCCTCAAGATGATTCTCAAGCGAATTTCTATAACGTTCGGAAGTCTGTGTTTCATGGTAAATAGAAGGAACAATAATTCGTGTACCAAATATTGCAACCCACATATTAAAGCCGAAGCGGTGTTGGTGTCTCGCTGTAATGTATAAATGTTCATTTTCTCGTGAACAATAATGTGTATTTTTTCTATCGAAGCTACCATGATTAGTGACCATGCTTTCATCAGTCCAGATGATCGTTCGAAAGAAATCTGCAAAATTTTAACATTTCCTGGTATACCACTCACAGGATGTCTTGCGCCTTTCGTCATCTCCTGGTTTTAGCGCTTGACATATTCTGAATTTGTATGGATGGAATTTTTGTTTCCGCAAAATGAAATGGGTTGTTGATTGAAACCAGTTGATGAGGTATTAGTGTGTTGACTAATTTTCCTTCAAAATAAGTGGAACTGATGGCATTTTTCCTTTGGAGTTTCGAAAAAACATTGATGATGGATGGAAATAGGTCGAAACACAAATGAACCACCTTGTATAATACATGGTTGAATTCAGAATGAAAAAACCTTTTAGAATCTGTGAAGAAATTATCAGGACCGTATTTAAAAAACAAAAGTTGATGATGGTTCCACGAATACGAAACGTCGCATGAAAAAATCGGTATCACCACGTTGACCGTCATCAAAAGTTGCTATGGAAAAGTATTCTCAGTTTTGCTGTATCTCTAATAATAACGGAGAAAAAAAAATAGTAATTCCAAAAATTCACTTTTTTCGATATAACTCAAAAACTAAAAATAATTTTCAAAATTTTCGAAGGCTCTTGATATGAGCCTCCGAATGCGCAACTTTTTCCCCATTTAACCGATTTCGTATCTCTTACCGTTTTCGAGATCCCCATGCTGTTCAACCTTATCTTGGACAGACTGTATAATTTCGTTATCAGATAACGGTCTAAATTTGCAGCCAACTCTCCTACTATATGACCATTATAATTTCTCGTCTGATTTTCCAATGAAAAATTTACGAATTTTTACGTGGTAATTGATTTTTCAGAAAAAACCAGACTGGTCCAAGAAGGGAGGCGAAAAGGTACAAGAAGTTGAAGCATGATTTGTTCCCTCTATTGTCATCTGTGCGTCCGTTTCCGTATCTAGGGCCACCGCAATTCGAGATATATTTATTTTATTCGTTACTTATCAAGCTACAAAGAGTGATTGTCCGCATGTATATTTGTTTATGTACTTATTAAAAAAAAAGGTGTTTGGATGACCTATCTGTGTATCGTTTTTGTATCCTGTCGTACCGTCCTGTTCTGTTTTAGTCCCCTTTATATTCTACAAATATTATTTTTATTTTCGATTTTTCTTTTATGAATGTTTGGTAAAGTTACAATGATAGCATTACATTACATTCGTAAAATATTTATTTATTGTTTATTTTTTGTATGATTTCTTTTTATTTTTAATTTTTTTCATTTGTTTTTTGTAATTTTCTAGGAAGGAGAAGAAGGAGAAGGTTAGTATGATATTCCTTTTGCTAATAATTATTGAAACAAGTATAAAGCAGATTCCATTTTGATGATGATTTTTTTCATGTTAAATCCAGCGACTTCCAATCTATTCATTTCTGTTTATAATTCAGAAACTATTGTTGGGAATTTCAAAATCGTATTATCACAATTTCTAAAGGTATCAAATCATCGATGGAAAAAAACTACGTGTTCATTCCTTACATACAGGGTGTTCCAACTCTATTTCATAGATATTTATTTTATCTAGAGGGGATTTATGTAAAGTGTGATACATCATTGTGTTCATAAACTTACAAACTATACCAAAATATCCAAATAATGAGGGGGGGGGGTTACCAGAGCTATGACTTGACTTAACAGATAATTAATAGTTGTTACCTACACATTTTCGAGAAAATGCTCATGAAAATATTGTTTACGACACAATGTATACACTTTCCGTAAGATTTTGATAAGTTCAAATCATCATCATTACACTTCTGCTCCAACAATACAAAGTAAGTAGGTAAGTGCAGAATTGATATTGAATCCAATAATTTGAATAGTTGTTATAGGGGATTGTCATCTCGAACTGTTCCAACTTTATTATTATTTTCGTGATTAAACATATCAGCTGGCAATGAACAAATAAATTTTTAATCTTTGGAAGAAGTCCATATTGTTCAAAGTGGAGTGGACATTTTTCAAAAGTAGGAAGGAAGCTCAAAGTCTTTGACATTTGATTTATACAGGGTGTATCTAAATAACACCGAAAAAAATCAAGGGGTGATATTCTAGCGAATATTCTAGCGAATGAAGTTTATATAAACATGTATCCTAACTTGCTTGCTCCGTTTTTGAGGTACAGGATGTTGAAGTTGGAAGTATCAATTGTTTTCATTCATATCCTCCCTGTATAAGTTTTCATGGAGCCAAAATTCAGTATGGTTGGAAAATGAGGAGGCCCTGAAATTTCAAAATGATTGTGATTGGGGTTATTGAGTAATCTCAATGGAAGTCTTGAAAACACCTACAGTAAAATTTGGAGTCAAGTCAAATTTTTATTGTTTCCTCAAAAAATAAGCTAGATACTAAAATCACACGAGGGATTGTAGATTGTAGATTGTAGATGGGTCGTATAGGCTGAGAGACCTCTCGATCACTGCGACCTAGAAGATCTATTGTGATTACATCTATCTAGTTTTGGTCCTCTAACCCTAGACTTCTGATGAATCCTACGATTTTCCTGACGGTTGACTTTTCCACTTCAGCAGGGGTGAGATAGACCTGTTCTAGGTGGTTCAGCCTTTGGCGGACTAATACTTAACATGAGCAAAGTATGTGTTCCGCGGTTTCGGTCGCGTTGTTACGAAAGCGGCAAGTGTCAGTCTCCGCCAGACCCATCTTTTTGAGGTAGTACCTCAGAGGGCCGTATCCTGTGAGAAAGCCTGTGATAAGCTTTAGCTCTGGTTTGCTGAGGCTGAGTAGCTCTTTGGCTCGGTTCTGCGAATGGTTGATGAACCTTTTCGCTTGTCGTTGACCTGGAGTTGCTCTCCAGTAGGAGGACTTTTCAATTTCTTGCCATTTCCCGCGAGTTCCCCCTTTAGGTGACATTTCCTTATCCCACAAAAAGGCTCAGGACCAAAAAGTGCAGATGCTGCACCTTTTTTTGCACACGAGGGATAAAAAAGTTGTTATTTCAATAGTTCAATCTAATAAAAATATGAAGCTCAGAAAAACCCGTGGCGTACAATTACATTCATCATAAATATCGATAAATTCACCCACTGTGACGCCACTGGAAATATTATTTCTCATCTAATTGCACCAGAAGAAGCTCCATATCACTAGTAACAAAACCACAACGTTTCATGGAAATTGGTGGAGAGACAATTGAGTAATAAATGAAAAAACGGTTTTACATGGAAATATTGATACCCTGTATCTCGAAAACGAAGCAAGTTAGGACACATGTTCATATGAACTTTATTTCCTAAAATATCACAAGAAATCGCCCCTTGAATTCTTTCGGTGTTATTCAGATACACCCTGTATGTTAAGCTCTCTCAGGGCACAGAGGGGCCTTCATTCAATGTGAACCAATTTATAACATTTATTTATTTATTGAAACATCAATATTTTTGATTACGGGCATCGACAAGCATAACTACTAGTTAATTTCGTTTTATTTTTTCAACTCCAAAACTTTTATAAGGCTGAAGATGGTGTTTTCTGAGATTGAAACTTGTCTCAGAGTTTGTAACAACATCATTGAATATTTGTGGAGACGACTTTGAGCATTCCTTTCTTCTTTTGAAGTATTTTTTTCTCTTTTCGTATATTTACCTTCCATGAAAACACCCTGCTCTGCATAGCTCAAGAATCAAAAACCAGATTGTATCAAAATTCATATATTCAGAGACAATCACTCTGATGAAAAAAATATAACCGGCAAAAATAACAGAGAGATTATTCATTGTAGTTGTAATTTGAGAGTGGTTCTCCTAATTATAAAAAAATATTAGTATTGAAATTGAACCAAATATCTCTTTGTATTTTGACCCCTACCGAGAGCTTCAACTATACGAGTTGAATAATGTCCTGTTTGCGAATATCCTAACGTGCCGCGATTTCAACTGATCTAAGTGGGAGAACGTCAATTCCAGCGAGCACACAAACATCTCAGAGATTTCAAAAGTAAGAGATTTCGAGACATTGAATCTCCAGTGCGATGTTCTGTTTACACATGAATAGAACTTTTATAGAACAACCAATGTCCGCCGCAGACAGCGTTTATAAAGATGCCCTAGGAATGTCACAAAAATACCTTCTCCCTAGTTTCTTTCATAGCCTTTTCATGGACACAACAGAACATATTCGAATCGTCTTGCGCAAAATAAATCGCTGTAAATAAACCATTTTTGAGGTAGTCGGATTCCACTTCCCTTGGAAGGAAAAATGCATTAAAATAGATTGAACATCAAAATATCTCCTTGATAATATGAAATCACCTTCATAAACGTTTTCTTAGTAATGCTTGCTACATACATACAAATACCGTGTATTAAAGCAGTTGAAATTGAAAGTACACTTTAGCCTTATCTTTCTTTCGGCATTCCTTTTTTGGATTCACTACATTATCTTTCCTATTTCTCCAGAAACACAATTTTATAGCATAGCATGATTTTATCGAATTGAATTTGCATTATAAGCACGAAAGTAGCAGGCTATGGTCTGGGAAGGCGTTTCTTTGACTTGGAACTTGTGATCATAAATGAAAGCCTCACAACTGGAAGGTATATATCGGTGATTTTAGAACCAAATAAAGTTTGAGGATTTTTGTTGATGCCAGGCCTTACGTCGCACGGGTTGTGAGAAATTATCTAGAGGAAGTCTCTATCGCTATCATGGCATGGCCAGCTCGGAGCCCGGATTTGAATCACATTGAAAATCTCTGCGACATTCTTGAGACAAGATCACAAGAGGAACGTAGTTTGAATACTCTGGAAAACGCACGGCAGAGACTGATGATTCAAATTTGGAAAGGGCCAACATGACATTAAGCCTCTTATTTTGGGTTTAGGTGTCTTTACTAAGAAGTCTTTAGTACCCGCGGCGGAAAATAGCCGCTGGCCCTTTCTTCTAACTTATTGTGACTCCGCATTATGTTTCGTTTTTTCGTTATTTATTTTGGATATTAATTTTGCGTAAAATCATGTTACGCTATGAAATGGTGTTTCTCGAGTAATAGGAACCCCTCGAAATAGTATATACTTTTACACCTCAGGACAGAATGCTATTTTTCCCTCGGTGCTTTGTATCTCTCGGACTTCGCCCTCGAGCTACATATCGCACTTTGGGAAAAATCTTGCATTTTTTTCCCTTGTTGTATAATGAACTGAATCTAGAATTTTTCTCGTGTATAATACACACTCTGTGTCAATCAATATTGGGAAGATATTACATTATATCAAAATCAGAAAATTATCAACGTGAAATTAACAGTTATGACACCTGCGTTGCAAAAATCATTTTGCAAGCATCTTTATCATTCTTTTGAAGTAATCAAATATCTGTCAGTCTAATTCTGTGATATGATTTCAAAAAATTGGGAATTTAGTGGTTGTTGAAGATAAAAGAACTTGCCGTTCTTCCTCTTAGACGGTGTTATTGGCTTATTTTTCGGAATTATAGCACTACAGAAGCCATCAACAGTGTATATATATATATGATATTCACCCAGGAAAAAAGTACTCACATTCCCGTGGGAAAAAAGTAATTTGTGAAAAGTGAAAGTGAAAAGTTTATAACATAAATGAATTCCCAAACTTTTTTATTATTTGAAGATGACCAACAACCTTTTCATTATGTTGAAGTTGTTCATAAATGAGATAGAAACTTGCAAAACATGAAAATCCTGACACTACACAAACAATTATGGAGAAGCACAAATATTATTTATGTTAGATATCTCGAAAACCAACTGCAGTTGAAAGAAAAGTTAGATAATTGATTTCGTCATTCATTGAAATATCAAGATAGATGGTCATTAAGTCCGAAAAAATTTATATCGATATTTAACAAAGAGAATGCGAAATACCTATCTCAATGTATACCAGGCTGCACAGAATATTCTGACAACGTTCAAATATACTTATTTTAGAATATTCTAATGTTGTCAGAATGATCATAGAATATTCTCATTCTGCAAACACTATTCTATGAACATTCTATTTGACATATTCTCGGAAGATACCTTGTATATTTTAAGTTTCTTTCTACCTCTTGTATAATTAAAGTTGGGTAGGTAGGGGTCGAAATATACGGAGACATCCTGTTCAAAACTACGTCATCAGAAACCACCAAAAATCATTCGTTGTGGCTAACCACTTGCTTTCTAAGAAGAAGACCAACCCCCCACGGAAGGCCAACCTGCTGAGAATGCACCCCCAGGAGAAGACCAACCCCCCGCCGACGGCCAACCCCCTACCGAAGACCATCCCCCCGCGGACGGGCAACCCCCCACGGAGGGCCAGCCCCCAGAAGAACAGCCACCAACGGAGGGTCAACCCCCCGCAGAAGGAGAGGGTACTACTCCTCAGGCGCCTACCCCGGAACCTCCAGAGACAGGTTAGGGATGAAATGTGGTCCAATCGAATTGCCAAATGTCTGAATTTTCCTAGATTTTCGCAGAAAATAACACCTCGAATCTAACTCCACTCTATTTGGTTGAAGAGTAGCTATTCATACGGATAGTTTTAGAACTCTCATGTATGGGATTCAGCACCTGATAATACGCTCTATGATTCCATACAGAGAAGGGCCATTCGCCTGGTTGGTGATGCCACACTCACCAACTCTTCGACCTCATTAGAACACCGCAGTAAAGCCGGCGACCTTTCATTTTTCTCTGCTATAATTCCATCACTAGCGATACCAGTCAGACGAATTCGACAGGCCCAGTCTCTACATACATACATTTCTCAGTCGTTAACCTTGAAAAATGTCGAACAACACTCTACCAAAACTCGTTCGTCTATAGGACGGCGAAGCTTTGGAGTTCTTTGGCAATGGAAGTATTCCAAAGAACTTATAACCTCCAAAGGTAGAAAAAATCCTACCTCCTCTTCCTAACCTCCCTAGGTACGCACGATGTTCGACGAATATTATACGAATTTTTTTTGTGCGCTCCAAGAGATAGAAAAAATTGTTTCAATACCAAAGCTACTCGAAACACTCATTTCAGTATAGTAGACCGGTAGCTGTGATTTCACCCTGTATGTCTTTTAGAGGTTATCATTATGTATACATACAGTGTGTCCCACTTACCATGCTCACCATGGGTATCTTTTTAATGGTGAGAGATACGGTTAGGTTAGGTTAGGTTAGGTTAGGTTAAATGACACCAAATGTGGAGTTTGTCAAGGCCAACTATAATGTGAAAAAATATTTTGATAAAATCTATTCGTTTTTGTTTCATACGCAAAAAACAGATTTTGATAATTTGCATGTCTCCTCCGTAACTTCTTTATTTATGAAAATATTCAAATAGGAATTTCACATTCTTATGGCAGTTTTTCAAAGTGATTTCGAAAAAAATATGAAATTCATACCAACTTTTCTAGAATTTGAGATATCAGCACCAACTTTAGTTTTTCAAATGTAGGCCATAGCTCACTATGACTTAGTTACAAATCACTTTTTTTTCTCTCACAGATGATGTGTCGCAGTAATAGTTTTGTGTTGATAACAACGGAGTTATCTTCATTTTATACAAAAACAAAAAATTATTTGGAAGCCGCCATCTTGGATTTATAAATTTTAACAAAAAAATCATGATCTCCGACCTCAAAAACCCCCACTTACCAATTTTGAATGAAATCGGACCAAATCTTGTCCGCCATCTAGAGCAGCCATTTTTTTTTTTAATTTCAACAAAAATTCCATAATGTTTTGTCACTTCTGGTTGTCCGATTAACTTGAAATTTGGCAGGTGTTTATAATTTCGGTGACGATACATTATGGAATTTTTGTTGAAATGAGCTATGACCTACATTTAAAAAACTAAAGTTGGTGCTGATATCTCAAATTATAGAAGAGTTGGTATAAATTTCATATTTTTTTCTGAATTCCTTTCGAAAACTGCCAAGAGAATGCGAAATTCCTATTTGAATATTTTCATAAATAAAGAAGTTACGGAGGAGACATGAAAATGATCAAAATCTGTTTTTGAGTATGAAAACGACTAGATTTTATCGAAATATTTTTTCACATTATAGTTGGCCTTGTCAAACTCCACATTTGGTGTCATTTAACCGACCTCGTATCTCTCACCGTTAAAAAGATACCCATGGTGAGCATGGTAAGTGGGACACACTGTATACACTCACCGACAGAAAAAACCGGCCACCAAAAAAATTTACCAAATCGTTCGCCTTGTCCTGTAGTTCTTGTCCGATTATGGTGAAATTTCGACCAAATCATAATAATATATTCATGTCTCGGAATATTAGCCCGAATATTCTGTCCTGAGCGAAGCTGACGGCTTGATCATTATACAGGGAAAAACAAAATTTACTTTTTCACCCTTAGCTTCCTAACGCCCTGTGGAGAAGGTGAGTGGTTGAACTTAGTTTCATTAGGTTTTGGATTGAAGTGTGATCCCTTCTTAACACAATGGTTCTTAATTCACGTCGATAACCACGTTTTAAGAGAAGATACAAGTGTTTTAAGAAAGTATGGATTTTTATCAAAAATAATTCAGAACCATTTTCCAACCTTCAGGGAGAATCTTAAAAGGCAATAGTATACCACGGAATTCCATTTAAAAAATAGCAACTTCGAAACATATCGTGCTCTTAGCACACTCTGTACAACTTGAACATATTTTTAAAATGTAGCGCTAATAGGTCAGCATTCATATGAAAAAAAAAAACTTCGGATAACGTGAATAACCCTGTATGTTGACTCTCAGGCTTCGAGGTGTTCAAAAAACTGGTGATGAACGAAAACTACGATATCATCGCTCTGCCAGAGACCGTGCTGGCCCCCACCGATGACAAGGAGGCCGTCTCCATCCCCCACTACTCCCTCGTGGAGAACAGGAGGAACAGCGGCGACGGCACCCTCATGTACATCAAGGACTCCTTGAAGTACAAGGTGGTCGATCTGACCGTGCAGGACCCCGAAGCTGCGCATCAGGTCAGCTTCGAGGAGTTGCTCGAGCGGCTCAAGAAGAACGGTAAGGGTTGTGGAGCACTTCACCAAAGAGGGACCCATCATCGAGATCCATCGATTGGCTCATTGTGTCCAGAAATGTTCCATCAATAGATTCATTCTGTCCAACGTTGTTCCATTGACAGCTTCATTCATATCTGAAGAGTAGATTCATTCGTCCTCAATCATTGCTTCGCCCCTTCCTTGATTCGCTGTACGATAATGTTCCATTAATTTGTGTCTGATAGTGTTTCATCAATAGCTTCATTCATGTTCAAAGATGTTTAACAATGTTTCATCAATATGTTCGTTTATCTATGGGGATGGTTCATCAAGCAGTGTGGTAATGGCTGTGGAGCATTTCACCAAAGAGGGACCCATCATCGAGATCCATCGATTGGCTCATTGTGTCCAGCAATGTTTCATCAATAGATTCATTTTGTCCGACGTTGTTTTATTGATAGCTTCATTCATATCTGAAGAGTAGATTCATTCGTCCTTAATTATTGCTTCATCCCTTTCCTGATTCGCTGTACGATAATGTTTTATTAATTTGTGTCTGATAGTGAAAGATGTCCAATAATGTTTCATCAATATGTTCGTTTATGTATGGAGATGGTTCATCAAGCAGTGTGGTAATGGCTGTGGAGCATTTCACCAAGGAGTGACCCATCCAAATCATCGAGATCCATCAATTGGCCAATTGTGTCTAGCAATGTTTCATCGATAGATTCATTTTGTCCAACGTTGTTTCATTGATAGCTTCATTCATATCTGAATAGTAGATTCATTCATTGCTTCATCCCTTGCTTGATCGGCTGTACGTTGATGTTCCATAAATTTATGTCTGATAGTGTGATCCATTGGTATATGTCATCGAGATTCATCGATTAGATCATTGTGTCCAACAATGTTTCATCAATATAGATTCATTTTGTCCAACGTTGTTTTATCAATCTAAAGAGTTGATTCATTCGTTTTTAATCATTGTTTTTCATCTCTTTCGTGATTCGCTGTACGATAATGTTCCATTAATGTGTGTCTGATAGTGTTTCGTCAATAGCTTCATTTGTATTTGAAGATGTCCAACAATATGTTTCATCAATATATCCGTTTATGTATAGAGACGATTCTCCAAGAAGTACGGTATGGGCACTGGATCACTTCACCAAAGAGGAAACCATCCATTGGTTGTTCCATTAATAGCTTCATTCATATAATAAAGAGTAGATTCATTCGTCCTAAGCATTTTTGTTTCATCCTTTTCTTGATTCGCTGTACGATGATATTTCATTAATTTGTGTCTGATAGTGTTTCAATAGCTTGATTTATATTTGAAGTTGTCCAACAATGATTCAACAATATGTTCGTTGGTGTATGGGGATGTTTCATCAAGAGGTTTATTTATATCTGAAAATGGATTCGCTGTTCAATGATCTCTAATGTTCGATGTTCAATCAAAAGATTCATTTATGGTTTCATTTGTTCATAACCATTGTTCTAGAGATCATTCCTCTCAATAGATCCTTTGTATCTGGAGATGTCCCATCGTCTATACATTTTTCCTTCAGCATCGTTTCATCTATGTTTAAATCGCTGTTCAAACAATGTTTCATCATTAAAATTATCTGTGATCGAAGGAGTTTCATCAATTTGTAGCTTCATTCATTGTTCCGGGATAATTCCTAACTCGCTGTCCAAGTTCAACAATGTTTCCTCAACAGCTTCATTCATTGTGTTTGAGGATGTTCCACAAATGTTTCGATGTATCCTAAATACCTACCATTAGCTTCGTATTGACGTTCTTAGGTCAACAACCTTCCACTGAGGGAGCTCCAGTAGAAGGCGCCCCACCGGCAGAAGGGGCACCACCAACAGAAGGAGCACCAGCAACAGAAGGAGCACCAGCAACAGAAGGGGCACCAGCAACAGAAGGGGCACCAGCAACAGAAGGGGCACCAACAACAGAGGGAGCACCAGTTGAAGTCACACCGACAGCAGATGGAGCTGCTCCAGGAACGACAGAAGAACAACATCAACCTACTGAAGGTAATATATTATGTATAATAATATCAATAGAATGCAATATGTGGACGTGGAAAGTGAAGCTTCATCCATGAAAGAAATGAATTATGGAGTACCTCAGGGAAGTATTCTGGGACCACTTGACCTATCTTCCAACACTGATGACAACACCAAAGTGATTCTTTACGCAGATGACACCACACTAATCAATAAACATGTTTCAATTCAGCCCTAAGCATGTCCACGGATGCACATGGGATCATCAAAGACTGGTATGCAACAAATAAACTTAGAGAAAATAACGACAAAACTCAAGAAATCATTATAACCATGAAGAACTGTGACCTCCACGTAGAACCGGTGAAAATGTTAGGATTTTATGTTGATAAAAAACTTACATGGGAGGCACATACTTTCCATTTATTGAAGAAACTGGCTTCAAATTCATATCTTTTGAGGAAACTCAATGGTAGAGTAGCCTCTCATATGGTTCGTACTTTGCATTTTTTCATTCGCATCTTCTCCAGTGTGGCCTGATAGTATGGGGACATTGTAGCAATCTGATCAGTCTATTCAGAATGCAAACAGCAGCTGTACGTGCTATCACTAATAAATCTCAAAGAACACATTGCAAACCTCTTTACAAAGAAAACAAGATATTGCCCCTTCCAGCCATGTATATCCATGAATGTTTGGTGCATGTCATACAACACGAGAAACGAAGATACATTTTTTAATGAAACCAGCGAGACTGAAAACTTCTTCGAATGGAGTCAATCACTATGGCCCTAAATTTTTGGATAGGTTGCTGGTATGACATATAATTGAAGATCTCATAAATTGACACTTTCAAAAGAAGAATTAATGATAAACTTCATATCATAGATCATTTGTAGACTAAAGTCACTCATTCATGTTGAGAACGGGAGCAGAATCGGTCCCGAAACGTCCATAGATAAGTAAAGATTCGATATTTTTTCAATATATCTATATTTCTTTCCTCCAAACATTTTCTCAAACAAATTGTCACTGAAAAGCTACTGGATTTTTCTTTTAGACTCCCTGATAGAAAAATTTGTTAAACGCAGTGACATTTCGGGGCAAATCATCTGATTTGTCTCACTACAGTACTATACACATAATATATTGAAATATTACTCATATTTTTATTTTATAGAAACGAGGAGAGAAAATCCCAAAGAATCAAGTAAAACGAATGTACCACCTCCTCGATCAACCTACAGACAGTATTTACTATTTATTTTTCATTCCCCAGGAGCCGTTCCCACCTCCGAGACAGCCGCCGACCCAGCACCGGACACGCCCGAGTCAACCCCCGTCGCTGAATCCGCCCCTGTCCCAGAAGAAACAGGTCCGGCCTTGGAGGAATCCGAGCCCCTCCAGGACATGCCCTCGGGCATAAAATCTCCACCAATCATCGAAGGTGACCATGGGGATGTTCACGTTTCGTCTTCGTCCTATCATCATCAGTATCGTCATCGTTCTGTCTGTTCCACTTATGTTTCATCGACGTCATCGTTTGTGACTAATTATCATGGGGATGATTGATTGAGGGGTTTCATTTGAGAAGGTGCATTTACTTGTTCAATTTTTTTTTCAGCTGCGGCCTAGTTTGCAGGAAAGTATGAGGGGCTTCTTTGAAGTAGGGTACATTTTTGCCATTTTTCTTGGTATGATATGAATGAGAAATAACTATTTTGGATATTTTACTTGTATTTCACTTTTATGATTTTTATTATTAGTAGGTAGGTATCTATACAACATTTATGTTTGTAGACAGTAGTAGGTACCAAATACTACCTTGTATATAGTTTCATCTCATCTGTATTATTTTTTAAGATTGAATCCATGAATTAAATGTTATGGAATATAAGTAGTGTTTCATTCCAATCTATGATATACAGGGTGTGCTTGAAAGATCTGTACAAAATCTTAACACATTAGTTCTGAGGTCAAAATAAGTCGATTTAAAGCAACTTAACTCAGTCCGAAATTGCTCCGTTTCAAAGATACAGAGTAGTAAATTTAAAAAATAAAAATTGACGTAAGTAGGTACAATTCAAAAAAGTATATTGAAAAATCTATTTTCGCATTGCCCCAAAAATATACTGAGAAAAAAGAATTTAAGAACTGATACGTTCAGAAATGTTCATTCAAATTGCTGGGAATACATTGAATACAATTTGCCTTTATCAGTAAATAGGTATACAAACCTAGAGAATAATACATTCATTCAAGTAGATTTCAGTTTGAAAAGAGGATGAAATATTTTTAGCCATAAAATGGATTGTTACTGGTGCGAAGTTCCTTATCGAAATCATTAAATATTCAGTTTATAATGAAGATAGTATCGATATCACAACATTCGACATAACAATAAGTATCTAGACAATAACCTACCGATCCAAGCAAGTGAATTTCCAAGTTCCAAATAAATATATGACAAAAATTGGTAGGTACACCTACTAAAATGTAAAAAGAAATAACATCAGCAAAGTATAGTCAAAAAACCGTTATAATATGGAGTCTGGCGAGAAAATTCCCAATAAAACTGTGGAACACCGGGCAAATATTATATCCCAATTATTTTTCTGGTGAGTCAACTCGAAACGCCCCGTATAATTATATAATTGGTGTGGTCGTGGTTCAAGGATGTTTCATGGTAACTATAAAGGATGGCTCATCCCCTGAATTTATGATCCTGCAGTTCTTGTGATTATGGAATTCCACATAGGTGACACTCAAAATAAGTAGCATGAACTTCAGCTGACGTCACCACGTTGCCTTCTGTAGTTGTTTACATTGCATTATAGGGATTGAGCCATCCTTGGTGGTGGTTCGCAGGGTTCAGATATGGTTATGATTTTCAGCTGGGTATTGCCATTCCTCAAATTTGACAAAGATACTCAATTAAAAGATATAAAAGACGACAATGTAGCACAGGATGTGTCTTCTACATTGACAGACCAGTTAGAAAAGTGAGTGCCTGTATACTATATACCTAGTGAGAGTTATTCCTACATTAACTCATTGCTTGTAGAAATTGGAGAGAAGAAAATACAAGGGCTAGAATCAAGAACACCTCCCCAAAATTGCGAAAAGCGATACTCAGAACATTCGGAAAATCCTATGCATTTTTTGGGTTACTGATGTTTCTACAATGTATTTTGCTAAAGTAAGTAGACAACCAAATCGTGATAAACCACTATTCACTTGAATCACATCAGTTGGTCTCTACTACCCAGACAGCACCAGATATTCCATGAATCTCCCTATCATATATCTTTTGGAATATTCTAGAATAATCTGGAATATTCTCGAATAGTAGTGGAATATTCTCTGAATATGCAGGAATTTCACAGATATTCATAGAATATGTACAAGAGAATATTCTATATATAGATTCCCAGAACATATTCTAGGAATATTCTAGGAATTTTTCTGGAATATTCCAATAAAAATACTGTCAGAGCAACGCCTTAAATCACCGGACCAATAATAATTATCGAATTAAATATTATTGTAAGTAACAATTTCTTGCAAGAGCGTTGTTCAGAATTGGATCAAAAACACTTTTTCTTACAAAATCTCGTTACATACATATAATGAATATTTGATACACTCACATCTCTATGTAGTGATTGGTGTTTACACTATATATACCATTTCATTGAAAAACAGCAATATTCTGGGAATATATCATGATTATACAACATAGAACATTTAGTTGGGAACATTCCTACCTGAATATTCCCTGAACACTCTAACTAGAATACTCACTATAGAGGATTATTTTGGAATATCACAAGAATATTCACACTGAAATATTTCTTGATTGTTCCAGAGACATGTATATATTCTATGAATATTCGGTGGATATTTGGAATACATTCCTCTTTTTTAATATATTTAGAGAATATGCTAGAAATAACTAGTGCTGTCTGGATAGGGATCAAATGGGTCGCTTTAGTCCCTGTTTGACGGGACAAAACTACATGCTTTAGCCCCACTAGCGTAAAACTTTCATTATAAACATCCATGCAAGATCTTGACATTTTCCACTTCTCATTTTCAGGACAATGTTGCCAATCGTTGTGGCCGAGTACCTGAAATACTTTGATGGCGCTGACGTCACCGATAATACAGGGTGGTGCTTAGGTGCTGTCATAGTGGCTTTGGCCTTAGCAGACGTTTTCGTGCATCATCATTGTCAAGTGGGATTTTCCAGGATCGGCATGAGGGCCAGGACAGCTTGCTCCTCCATGGTTTACAGGAAGGTGAGTTAAATATCCTAAAGGGTGATCCGAAAACACCGACAACAAATGGCAAATGATGGTACTTATCGAGATCATCAATAACAAGTTTTGTCTCAGAACTAGAAAAATTGAAGGGGTAAGAATAAAAAAGATATAAGGCGCATGTTGAACAATTTGAGATAATAATTGATCTCAAAGTTAATTGATCATAGAAAAGTCCAAATGCCTTAGATTTCAAATAACTCATTGAATTCAATTTTCAAATATATCGGATGTTTCATTAATATGGTACTAAACTTTGAGGTCAGGTTGAAATAAAAAAAAAGTTAACATAAAGATATGTCCGAAAACGACTCATTTTCGAGTCAAGTTCCTTGAAAAAATCAATTTTCCAATAATTTCAAAAATATGCCCGAACTGTTAGTGATACAATTTTTCAATGCCTGTTGAAATCAAAATAAGGTATTTTTTTGACCTAATACAGTTGATGAAGTATTATCAGGAGCGTACCCTCGAGGGCGAATGCAATAGTTGTTTGCCCAAAAAATAACACCCACAGTAGATTCATTAGAATTTTTTTTATTCGAGCAACCCAAAATACATCTTCTTGGCTCTTTAGTTTTTTTCGTATCTGGCTGCGTTAACAAATATAAAACTCAGAGGTCACATTTTTTGGGTCAAAATAGGAAAAAAAATTCATATAAAGACATGTCCGAATACAATTTTCTTCCGAGATACGGGTTGCTCAAGTTCCTTAAAAACTCGATTTTTCAAATATACCTGAACCGATAGTGATTAAATTCACAATGTCTATTGAAAGCACAATGAGTTATTTTTTGAACCTAATACAGTTGATGAAGTATCATCAGGAGCGTGCCCACGGGGCAAGTCCAATAGTTTTTGTGCACAGTAGATTTATTTAAAATTTTTTTGATTGGACCAACTCAAAATACATCTTTCTTGGCTCTTTAGTTTTTTTCGTATCTGGTTGCGTTTTAGGAATAACAACAAATCATTTATATTATATTGTATAAACATAGCGAAACAAGAACTAACGTATACCTACCAATGTCAATTTTTAAATCAATTAAATATAATTTTCTTTTAGAAACTTGAGCACCTTGTATCTTGGAACCGAATCTTTTGCGGACATATGTTTATATGATTTTTTTTCTTCTTATTTTGGCTCAAAAAACACGACCACAAAGTTTTGAGCAATAATAATGAAACAGCCTGTAATCATAACGAATCGTCAAAGGGAATATTGATAAAAAATTATTTGGTAGAAACATATATAATTATTTTTATTTATGTAAGTTGAATAAATGTCATTTCACCTATGAACATAAACAAATTCGCAGTTCAATTTCATGCTCCTTCCTTCAAGGAGAAATTTGTTTAGTTGCTATAGTATGAAAAGGTGACATTTCAAAAACTTCCCACCCTCAATCTTCCTTCCGGTGAATGATATGACAAATCTAAAAAACAGGTCGATTTCATTCCCGAGGACGACACTTAAAACTATCAATTCAAGCCCTCTTTGTTCAACCCCCTAGGAGGGGTAGTTGTTACGCTTACAATCTCAAATGGAAAGGGGGGTCAAGTGGCACATCATCTTGAAGGGTGTTCAATTCACTTTCCAACGATACCCACCCTATTTTATCATTTTCTGTTGAGTAGTTTCCGAAAAATGCCGTGTCACTTAGAAAACTTCCCACCTCTACGATCTTCCTTTCTGTAAATGCTATAAAAAATCGAAAAGACACGTCAGTTTTATTTCCAAGAAAGACACTCAAAATGCATATTTTTGAACCCTTTTAGTTCAATCCCCTAAAAGGGGTAGATTTTACCCTTAGAATCACAAATGGGAAGGGGGTCAAGATGAATATTATTTAGAAGGGCGTTCAAGTCTCTTTTCAACACACCCTAGTTTTTTATATTTTCATGAGAAGTTTCCGAAAAATGCAGTAGTAAACTTACAGAAGTAATTATGAGATGCCTGCACTGATATGCATGGTTTTATGATTATTATTTTGAATGCATCTCAGTGCAGGCATATTCTGATTACTTCTGTGAGTTTGGAACGGCAATTTTCGGAAACTGCTCCTTAAAAATTATAAACTAGGGTACTGTTGGAGAGAGAATTGAATGCTCTTCAAAAAGAGGTGCACCTTGACCCCCTTCCCATTCGAGATTTTAAGGGTAACATCTACCCCTCCCTAATAACAGACTTATGTCCCATGGATATCCTTAGGACGTCCTGTCGGGACATTCAGGACGTCCATAGGACGTTTCAATTTGATACCGTGGACGTCCATTGGACGTCTGTGGGACGCACAAATGTCCCACTTGAGGACCATACTAGGGACGTCCTTGAGGGATATCAAATACCTAAATTCTACAGTATTCCTCATCAAGCACTACAGAGGGCATCCTTAGGACATCCATAGAACGACCTATCAGCAACGCTGAGGGATCTCAATTGGATGTCCATAGGATGTCCCAGGGACGTACGAATTATTCTCGAATTTGAATTTTTCTGGGTCTCTCTAGGACCAGATCTTGCATAACTGATTAGGATATCCAGTTGAGTTGATGGTCCGTAGAAGGTCCACAAAAAGTGTCCCAAGGATGTCCAATGGACTTACGTGAAGTGCATTGCAAGGAGTACTTATAGCCTACGAGCAATCATTCGTCGGCGAGGTTTAAGTTAACGTCCTCGCAGGGACAACATATCGAAAGTACCGACTGGGACGTCCATAGGACGTTATTTCTAGGACATTGGAAGAGTACAGTTCATGTACCAATTGAAACATCCGACGGATATCCCTAAGGGACATTCAAAGGATGTCCCTAGGGGACATTCCGATTGTTATGCGATCCTGGAAATATTAAGGGCGTCTGTGCAGAGATATTTGAAGGAATGTACCATCAGGGACATTTTATGGTTGTCTAGAAGGGATATTATATAAGATCTGAAGTCATGCCAGAATATGTACTACTCGGGACATCCGATGGATGTCCCTAAAGGAACATTCAAAATCATATCCCATCAGGGACATGCCAAGGACGTCCTTGCATTGACATTCTACAATATTTACCACGTGAGACATCTAAGGGATGCTATTCCTAGGACATTCGAAGTGATGTACCACGTGGGACGTCTAAGGGATGCTATTCCTAGGACATTCGAAGTGATGTTACCAGCTGGGACATTCCGTGAACGTTCTTGCTCGGACATTGCATGAGATGTACGGGATGGGACGTCCCAAAGACACTTATTTTTGGTACGGGACATTCGGACGTGAATTGCACCAAATAGGGACGTCCCTAGGACGCTGTGTGCTATTAGGGAATGAGAAATTTCACTTGAGCTTCATACATTTACAATGTGATTATGCTACGGATATTTTTCCAGATCCTGAGACTGAGTCAATCATCCCTCGACAAAATAGATTCTAATCGTCTAGTATCATTGTTATCCAATGACGTCATGAAGATAGACATCGCAGCACCTCTGGAACCTCACTTGTACATAATGCCCATACAATATTTGGGGGCCACTTTCGTTCTGTATGATTGTGTGGGCCTTGCAGGATTCGCAGGACTTTTGGTGATGTTATTCCAGTCGGTACCTTTGCAATGTAAACTCTTATTTTCTTGTTGACTATTTCAGTTCATTTTGAAATAACATTTTTTCAGATTGTCTGTCTAAAATCCAATCGGTATTCATGAAACGAATTACATTGATCGCTGAAAAGAGAATTGGGCTAACTAAAGAAATAATCAATGGCATACAAATGATCAAGCTGAATGCTTGGGAACAACCATTTGAGAAAATGGTGGGAGCTACTAGAAAGTAAGTGAAAACAACTACAAAACAAATTAAAAAATTAAACGTAAGAAACAAACTGTTATAATAGCGGTATATTAAAAATTTAATTTGATCTGAATCAGATAAAGTATTGTTCTCTTTTGATTTATACATATCATTAGTACCGATATGTTAATTGATTACTTATTTTGTAAAACTAATTTAAACAGAGCGTGCCAACATATTATGCAATTTTTAAAAGTATGTGATTAACTGAAGATTTAAAATAATATGGGTTATTATAATAATGAATAAGTAAAGCAATATTTTTCAGTATTTCATGAAATGTTTCAGTAGATCAGGTGATCAATATGCAAATCAGGAGATCTATTGAGAATTCTGTAGAATTGGCAACCCCGCAGCATACGAAAAGTGTTTGCGGACGAAAAGTTAGTGTCCACGGACGAAAAGTACTTGCCTCCGGAAATAGTCGGTTTTTCGTTTTAAACTTCGAAAATTAGAACGTAAAATGTGATTTTTTGTAGAGGTTGACGAAAAAATATTTTTTTTGAAAGTTGTGCTCTTATAGTTTGACACTTCTCAGTGGCATACTAATGTTGGCATATGTGAGAGTGATGTTAGTATACAAATGAGATACAGGATGATTACATGAACTGATCTTGAATCTACGTCCAAAGATCTTTTCTTCAAACATTTTTCCAAACAAAGTGCCACTGACAAGCTATTGGTTTTTTTTAGGCTCACTGATATTAAAATTAGTCAAATCATCTGATTTGTCTTACTACAGTACTACACATACAGGGTGGCCCACGGTCGATGGTACCTTAGACGTATACGGAAAACGGTACATTGGATTATCCTGGAAATTTGATGACTGTAATAAGCGTTTGTGATCTAACGATTCAAAATATTTTCAGCGATGCAGCGTTGCCACTTTTACCAAAAAGTAGCATTATCTTTGTTATTTCGAACGGAACACCCTGTATTTCATTGCGTTTTTAGATTCTTCTCGAAGAGCTGATTTCATCAATGCATCACACTTGTGGTCTAGCAGGAATTATTACAGAGATATAGGGTGTTAAAAATCGAAATCTTTCAATTTTAGGAATTTTTTGTGTGGAAACTATTTATTATCGATCAAAACGGCTTACATGTCCCTATCTTAACTTTTGATTCACTATCTACTGACATTTAATTGGAACAGATACAGGGTGATCAAAATTCTGAATCTTGGACCATCCTGTATTTTTTCCAATTAAATGTCGGTAGATAGTTAATCAAAAGTTAATATAGGGACATGTGAGCCGTTTTGACCAATGATGAATAGTTTCGACACAAAAATATCCTAAAGTTGAAAAATCTCGATTTTGAACACCCTATATCTCTGTTATAATTGCTGCTAGACCCCAAGTGTGATGCATTGATAAAATCAGCTCTTCGAGAAGAATCTAAAAACGCAATAAAATATAGGGTGTTCCATTTGAAATAACAAAGATGGTGCTACTTTTTGGTAAAAGTGGCAACGCTGCTTCGCTGAAAATATTTCGAATCGTTAGATCACAAACGCTTATTAGAGTAACCAAATTTTCAGGATAATCCAATGTACCGTTTTCCGTATTCGTCTAAGGTACCATCGACCGTGGGCCACCCTGTATATTGAAATATTACTCATATTTCCATTTTATAGAAACGAGGAGAGAAAATCCCAAAAAATCAAGTGAAATGAATGTACCACCTCCCCGATTAACCTACAGACAGTATTTACTTGTTTCTCCCCAAAATCCCCAATTGTAGTTATATTTATGTCAGTGTTATGTTATCTAGGTAATATTTTAGTTTCGTGAACCATTTTTCCTTCCTAGGAGACAACTTTTTCCAAACAATCTGACCTAACTCGTCCTAATATATTATATAGGTATATAAGTAGGTTATGATATGAGGAAGGAAAATATCCTTTCTGCATAAGAAGGAGACTACTTTTTTTAAACAATCTGACCTAAATCGATTTTGCAGGCAAGTATTGTGTAACCATTGGCAATTGACATGTTTGGGACCGAATTTACTCACCAGTAAATGGGTATTGAATTTTTAATTTAATTTGCTACTTGCTAGGACCAAATTCACCATCACCCATATAAACAACCAATGACAGTCTCGTAAAATTTTTGTCCGAATAAATTAATTTTCAAATCAACTACTTATCCAAACTTCCGAAGTCAGGTACAACTAATCACCTGCACACTGATTTTGAGCTATATTGTCTATCATCAGTACAGGGTATCCCACATAACATGGGCCACCCCCTTATCTGGTGAACTATTATATATACAGAAAAAAATTCGGAATAAAAGTTGTATTACTTCTCATGAAATTTATTTTTTAGATACTTTCATTTATACAGGATGGTCCATATGTCTGTGACTAATCACACATACGTTTTTTCAAATAGAATACCCTATATTTTATCATATTTTTAGATAGTACTTAAGAAGACGAGTTCGGATTTATACACGATCTTCTTCAATAAATTGCCAAATTTCGAAGCCCTATAGAAACGTTACGAATGAAGTTTTCGATTCGCAGTTTCCGCTATAAATTGACAAAGTCTGTATATTATTTTGTTCTATGGTGAAAATTTAGGAATTTTCAATTTGCCAAAAGTGATGACGTATTTTGAAAACCAATAAATATCTCGAGATTTTCAAATGAAACACCCTATATTCCATTCCAAATTTGCATAGAGCTCAGGAAGACGAGTTCAATGATATATCATAACATGTGTCTGATATCACCCGTTTCGGACTTATACACGATCTTCTTCAATAAATTGCCCAATTTCAAAGCCCTATAGAAACGTTGTGAATGAAGTTTTCGATTCGCAGTTCCCGCTATAGATTAACAAATTTTTGTATGTTTTCTTGATCCATGGTAAAATTTTATGAATTTCGCATTGGCCAAAAGTGATGATGTATTTTGAAAAACGATAATTTTTTACAAATTTTCGAATGAAACACCACCCTATTTCATTCCATCTTTGGATGAAGCTCAGAATGACGAGTTCAATGATATATTATAATATGGGTCTGAGATCACCCGTTTCGGACTTATACACGATCTTCTTGAAAAAATAATCAAATTTCAATGGCAAAATTCTGACTGTTATCTTCATATTAAATAAAATTTTTGTAATTTCTGTGAAACAATTCGTAATGAAGAGTTTTGAAATAAACGAATATTATCAAAATTGTTATGTAATGTTATACTATTATTTCACTGGAAAACATTTTGGAAATTATTGAGCACAGGTTATTACAATTAAATTTCACCTACATTTGACTCAATACGAGACCAATGCGGGAATATTCAATCAATAAAATGTATTTAAACATTTTTTTTGATTGTCTGCCTTATCAATTTGGATGCATTCATTGCAATAAATGTCATTTCCTCATAAAAATCGTATACCTTTCATACTGTTCAACATTTTTCATTGAATTCTCAATTAATAAACACTGGACATAAGTAAATGATCGAAGAGAAAACCAAAACTCAAAGTGGAATGACATGCCAACGAGAGCTGAGTAGGCTGTGCACTCATAGATGGGATTTTTGTTTATGTCATATCAATAACTGTCAAACCCGATTATTTATTGTTGAATTGGTGCAGAGAAACTCTTTCAAAATGCATATTTATTGTAAATAAGAGAGATTTGATCTTTATGAGCGCTATTTATTAAAAAACAGAAATACTGTGCTGGCTTTGAGAGAATATCGTGACCGTTTTCCACAAAGTGTCGTACCAAACAAAAAAATATTTCAGAGAATAGAGAACGATATCCGAACAAAAGGTATTCTCAAACCGTATAAGAGAACTAGAGGAAATGTAGTTTTGACCGAAGATCGTGTATAAGTCCGAAACGGGTGATCTCAGACCCATGTTATTATAGATCATTGAACTCGTCTTCCTGAGTTCTATGCAAATATGGAATAAAATATAGGGTGTTCCATTTGAAAATCTCGAGATAATTATTGGTTTTCAAAATACGTCATCACTTTTGGCAAATTCAAAATTCCTAAATTTTCACCATAGAACAAAATGAAATACAGATTTTTTTAATTTATAGCAAAAGTTGCGAATCGAAAACTTCATTCACAACGTTTCTATAGGGCTTTGAAATTAGACAATTTATTGAAGAAGATCGTGTATAAATCCGAAACGGGTGATCTCAGACCCATGTTATTATATACCATTGAACTCGTCTTCTGAAGGACTATCTAAAAATATGATGAAATATAGGGTGTTCCATTTGAAAAAACGTATTTGTGATATGTCACAGACATATGGATCATCCTGTATAAATGACAGTATCTAAAAATCAAATGTCATAAGTAGTTATACAATTTTTATTCTGAACTTTTTTCTGTATATATAATAGTTTACCAGATAAGGGGGTGGCCAAGTTATGTGGGATACCCTGTACCTACCTTTTCCTGCATTTTATTTCCACAAAATATAAAAATATTTATATGTAATAAGTATTGTGCTGTGTATATTTCAGTCAATGTATTAGAACCCGTGAAAATTTTCTAAATTTTGATTATTGAAATAGTTGTTCTACAATTTCAGGCTAGAGTTGGACCAGATAAGTAAACTCACCCACATCAAAGCCATTACAGACTCTTTTTCAACCCTATCAGAATACGCCGCAATTTTAGCTACCTTAGCAACTCTAGTACTACTAGGAGAGCAACTAGAATCCAATGTAGTATTCACAGCCATCTTGGTCTTCAGCATGCTTCAATATACATGCTATTGTTTTCAAGAGGCTCTGGTGACTAACGAACAATCCAAGTTAGTAATGGATGAGCTCGAGGAATTCTTGGCTCCAGAGGAAAAAGGGGATGAAGTGAGGGTGATAAGTTATACGAAAAATAGAAAAGTAGGGTCTCTAAGAGCTACGGATGCTCGTGCCAGGTGGGGTTCCACAACAATTCTGAAGGTGAAAACAAGACAACATTTGTAGCCTCATGAGTTGAGGATCATTTTTTTCAGGACATCAATATGAAACTCAGCTCAGGTAAGCTTTGTTGCATCGTGGGTCATCCCGGATCTGGGAAGACTTCTTTGCTACTCATGCTGCTCAAAGAGATGCCGCTAATGTCGGGAAAGGTCGATCTAGTAGGCACCGTTTCTTACGCCTCACAGCAACCTTGGATATTCGCCGCTAGTGTCAGAGATAACATACTATTCGGGCGGCCTTATAACAGATCCAAGTTGAGTCTCAACTGAATTAATGTTTTGTTGTTACTGTTTTTTGCTTGTTGAAGGTATCGAACTATTACCAAGGCGTGTGGCTTGGACATAGATTTCTCCCAATTTCTCGAGGGCGATAAAACCATTCTGTTGGATAAAGGGCCTTCGCTGAACGAAGCTCAAAAGGCTAGAATTAGTTTAGCTAGAGCTGTGTATGCTGATGCCAATGTTTACCTTCTCGACGATTGTTTCTCAAAAATGGATCCACAACTCGCTAAGTCCATAGGTTCAGAATGTATCCTGAAGTATTTGGGAAATAAAACCAGGATATGGGTAACGAACCAACTGGAGTTCGTCAGAGATGCTAACCTAGTCGCAGTCTTGGAAGACGTGTGTAGATATACTAGGTAAATATCTTAGTTTCAGCGTTTGATTTCATTTCAGGGAAGAATAGCTAAAGCTATGAAGTATCAAGAGTGGACAGAAAGTGACTTGAACGAATTGAAATCCAAGTTTTCTTTAGTCGATCATGATGGCAAAGGTCCACAACACAATGTAGAACGTAGAAGGTCTTCAATTTCGTCCACCTATGTAAGTATAATCTCTTTTTTCGTAAAGGCGTATGAAAATATTCTTCTCATCTTTGTAGAGCTTCCTTGATAGAGATGATTTCATATCGGTCCAAGAAGAAGTTGTTGACTACAACTTCCGTAGTGTTTTAACAGATTATCTCAGAGCAGGTGCCAATACTTGTCCCTTGGTGTGTCTAGCTATTTTGTTTGTAATCTCCGAAGTGGTTTTAACTCTGAACTATCTCTGGATCACATATTGGTACGAATCTCTTTCTACACCAATTCCGAGCTACCATGTGTGGGTAATTTTAGGGTGGACGCCAATTCTACTAGGTATGACTCGGAGAGTAATCGGCCTTTGATGTATACAGCTTTTATACCGAACATCCTGTATGTGGGCCAGCAGCAAAACGTCAGCCAAAAAGCTAGAGGAAGGCATCACAAGCATTCATATACCTTATTTGGGATACAGGAGAATTATTTCTTCATATATGTGCAAGCTGCCATTGTTTTGACTAGCTTCCTCTTGCTGATATCAAGATCATTTGTTTTTCGAACGATATGCTTGGTTGCCACAAAGATACTACATGGCAGTATGTTTAGCAACGTGCTTATGGGTTCCATGAATTTTTTCTTGAAGAATGCACCAGGTAAAATAAATATATTCAAATGTTCATATTTGGATACTGAAGCTTTTCCTTTCAGAGAAAATACTGCATACGTTTTCTGAAGACTTGAGAACCATAGAATTCGAGATGCCACAAGCGACCATCAATATTATACACTTGCGTTTGGTACAAGTTGGTATGGTGCTGATGGTTTTTCTTGCTTCTCCATTGACGATCGTTCCAGCTTTCTTAGTAGCCATAGTGGCTGTTTTTTTGGTGAAATATTATTCCAGTGCCGTTCAAACTATCAAAAAACTGGAAAGAACAAGTAGGTTTATAATATCAGTTCTTGAAATCACGTTTTACAGGGCGAGGCATTTATTTTAACGATATATAGAACACGTGAATAATGAGTTATGTCACATTCAATCTGTATACCGGATTATAAAATCCCAAATACATGTGTAGATTCAAGATTGAAAGTATGACTGTGCTATATCGTGGGAAAGGTAATTTCATACGGAATTATGATTTCTAGAAAAAAAATTCTGTATTTGAAATGAAAAAAATCAATGCACTTCCGGTCAAGCCAGAAGTGTCAATTGGTTGATCATGATGTTCGTGAAATCCCAAATTCATCCCACAAATTTTATAAGATATATGATCAAAAATCAATCGTAACGGAACATATGTTTCGAGCTTATATAAGCACATCATCAGAAAGTATCATAGTTATGGAAATGAAAAAAGTAGACATAGTATAGTTAATAACATGGCAAACAGGAGAATATGCTCCATGATTGTCTCTATGTTATAACTTATTTGAACGATTAAGGGTCGGGTTTATATTTTACAAGGACCCACGTGCCCTTGAATTACTAAAAGGTGATAACTAAACTTTGAAAACTGAAACTAAAAAGTTTGATGAGGCATCAAAATCATCCTGAGTTTTCCCTGTTTGTCCTGTTATTAAATATATATACTATTTGTTTGTCTATCTTTCTCATTTCCTCAAGTATCATCATCATCATCATCTTTATTATTCCCAAGAAACAATTGACATATATGCAAGAACCAATTGACATACCGGGTGGCTACGGAAGTATTGCCTACGGAATATCTCAGTTATTGTATGAAGTAGGTTTGTGAAATTTGGAGCGTCGATATAATGACATAAGAGCTAGAATTTGAGCATATTGACATGTCGAAGATAACTTCCGGTCTGACCGGAAGTAACATCAACTTTCTTATTTTAAATGGAAACACCATTTTTTTTTCTTTTCGCTTTAGTCAGCATTCAATTCCCTTTCTAATGACATATCACAAGTTGGTATCTAACCAGAAACTAGATCAGAAAAAAATTATCATTGAAATTCACCGAGTAGGCCGTGGAAGCAAAATGAAAGCCAATAATTGAAAAGTTGGCTATGGAAACCATACGTTACTTGATAACAGTTGCTACTACTATGATATTTTATTTTCATTCGTCGGCGTTATAAAAAGCCGCCAAAAAAAATATTGGAAAAATTGGGAAAAAAACAATACTCTGTAGGTCCATAACTTAAATAGGAACATACAACTTTTTCTTGCTTGTACCATTCAGCATAACCATTCCTTTCTAATGATATAATAGAAAGTCATTTTTTGAAATGAAATACCAAAAAATCCAATTATTATTCTTCAAGTAACAAAACAGATTATCAATAATAATAATTTTTTTCTGATCTAGTTTCTGGTTAGATACCAACTTGTGATATGTCATTAGAAAGGGAATTGAATGCTGAATAAAGCGAAAAGAAAAAAAAAAGGGTTTCCATTTAAATTAAGAAAGTTGATGTTACTTCCGGTCAGACCGGAAGTTAACTTCGACATGTCAATGTGCTCGAATTCTAGCTCTCATGTCATTATATCGACGCTCCAAATTTCAAAATCCTACTTCATACAATAACTGAGATATTCCGTAGGCAATACTTCCGTAGCCACCCGGTATATGTTTATAACAGGGAACATTAAAAAAGTGAACCATAATCTATTACATTACATTTAAAATGTAGTAAGTATAGGTATAATAATTATTCTAGTAAATAGTAATTCTCACAGTTCGAGCTGATCCTTGTTTGAGTGAATGAATGATTAAAATAATTGATATGTTATATGATCCCTATATGGATGACATTACAAAATTCAGACGAATGAATATTTTTTAAGTTCTTTCTTGAATTTTTTGGTACTGATATTATTTTCAAGTCTTGTTGGCAAATCATTGTAAAGTAATAATCCATTGTAATATATAGATCTCTTGCCAAATTCAGAATGTATATTAGTATTAATTTCAAAATTCAAATTGAAATGTTTATAATTGTGTTTGACTGAATGAATGAATGTTAGTATTTTGAATTCATATATTGATTGAAGATCAAATATTTCCTTTGGTTTATGAAGGTTTCTCGTTGGTTCCAAATAATCCAATTTATATAATATACATTTTACAACTTCATTCTGAAGGATTCTAAGTGGCTTTATAATTGATATAAAGTAAAGTATGATACTTTCTATTATCTGATGATGGGCTTATACAGGGTGTCCCATTGGGAAACGGAAAAACTTCAACGGTGGGTAGAGCTCATCGAGGTGGTTCTGAATATACCATATTTGTAGGGTCTCACAAGTTTTATAACCGAGATAATATAGGTTTTTTTATCAATTTTGCCCAATTCTTTGTGAGGACATAACTTACGAACCACTTAGTATATTCTTTTGCAATTTGGTACACAATTCCTTCTTCTTCTACCAAAGCGACTCACCTATCAGTCACGAAAAAAATCCAGGTCCGGATTAACAAAAGTTGATAATATTTCTGGACACCAAAAAGGACACCCTGTATTTTCGAATTCTCAAAATCCGCTTACATATTTGGAAAGTGTACAAAAAGCTGAACCAAATGGTATACTTGTCATTTTCCCGCATGCAATTTCACTAAGGAATTTCTGATTTTGAATTCGAGGTTTTATGCATTTGGATAGGTAAAAAAAATATGTTTTGAGTTTTCCCAATCGAATAACAACAATTATCACGAACCACGTACCTAGTATATTCTTTTGGACTTTGGAACACGAGTTCTCCTTATTCTACCCAAGCGCCTCACCTATCATTCACGAGGAAAATCCAGGTCCGAATTAACGAAAATTGATTATATTTCTGGGCCCCACAAAGAACACCCTGTATTTTCGAATTTCCATAATATGCTTACATAGTTGAAATTTGCACAAAAAGCTGAATCGGATTGTCTACTTTTTGTTTTCATACGAATGATATTTCACTACTGAATTTCTGATTTTGAATTTGAGGTTTTATGCATTTGGATAGGTAGAAATCGAGGTAAGATGGAAAGTTTTGAGTTTTCAGAATAAGAAATTAGTTAGTGAAAGAGCATGCGGGATATTGAAAAGTACACAATTCGATTCATCTCTTTGTGAACCCTCCAAATATGGAACCGTATTTTGGAAATTCGAAAATACTGGGTGTTCTTTTTCGGGCCCAGAAGATCATAATTTTTCGTTAATCCGGACCTGGATATTTCATCGTGACTGATAGGTGAGTCGCTGGGGTAGACGAAGGAGGACTTGTGTACCAAATTCCGAAAGAATATACTGGGTGATTCGTGATAGTTTTTATTATTCGATTGGGAAAACTCAAAACATTTCATTTTTACGTATCCAAAGGTATAAAACCTCATATTCAAAATCAGAAATTACCTAGTGACATAGCATGCGGAGAAATGGAAAGTACATCATACGATTCAGATTTGCATGCACTTTCCAAATATGTGAGCGGATTTTGGAAATTCGAAAATACAGGGTGATATTTTTGGGGTCCAGATATATGATCGATTTTCGTTGATCCGGTCCTGGATTTTTCTCGTGACTGATAGGTGAGTCGCTTTGGTAGAAGAGGGCGAAATTGTGTACCAAATTCCAAATGAATATACTGGGTGGTTTGTAAGTTAGGTCCTCACAAAGAATTGAACAAAATTGATAACACACTATATCTCGGATATAAAACTTGCGAGACCCTACAAATATGATATATTCAGAACCACCTTGATGAGCTCTACCCACTGTTGAAGTTTTTCCGTTTCCCAATGGGACACCCTGTATATGAAATCACGTAACGCAGCATTACATTTGACAACACCCTGTAAAGTGATCAAGTCGCCTTATATAGCTTGAGTAATTCAATTTTTCTCTTTTTTATTCTCAGGTCGTGATCCTATGATTTCTCATATTCACTCCAGTGTACGGGGTGTTGCCATAATAAGGTCTTCCGAAGCGGAAAAAATGGTCACTGAGGAATATGGTGCCATGCAAGATAGACAGAACTACTTCAGAATGATGATTTTGATGATCAGCGAAGCTTTTGGGTTCTATCTCGATGTCAGTTTCGTGTTTTTCTTGGCTGCAGTCATATTCCATTTCAATGCATTGAAGAATGGTGAGTATTTATTCCAACACAACACAAAATGTACGTTCATCATGAAAATCCTGAGACCGAGCATAAAGCAAGACAGGCATTCTTGCCTAGGCTTTTGCAAGATCTAGGATTCTCTTTTTTTATACAGAGTGGGCCTTTGAAAACGAAACAGAGGCTCTGTAGGTCGCCAAAACCGGATTATCAAAAAAAACTGAAACAGGTCAACTACATTTTCGAGGGGGACATCTTTCTAAAATATTTTCAGCCCTGCGGCGTTGCCGCTTCTAAAGAAAAGAAGCAACAACTTTGTTATTTCAAATGGAACACCTTGTATTTTATTGCATTCTTAGATTCTCTCCGAAGAGCTGAATTCATCAATGCATCACACTTGGGGTCTAGCTGTAATGGTTTCAGGGATATAAAGTGTTCAAAATCGAGATTTTTCAACTTTAAAATTTTTTTGTGTCGAAACTATTCATTATTGGTCAAAACGGCTCTCATGTCCCTATCTCAACTTGTGATTTACTATCTACTGACATTTATTTGAAACAAATACAGGGTGGTTCAAGATTTAGAATTCTGATCACCCTGTATCTGTTCCAATTAAATGTTAGTAGATAGTGAATCACAAGTTGAGATAGGGACATGGGAGTCGTTTTGACCAATAATGATTAGTTTCGACACAAAAAAATGTTAAAGTTGAAAAATCTCGATTTTGAACACTTTATATCCCTGAAACCATTACAGCTAGACCCCGAGTGTGATACATTGATGAAATCAGATTTTCGGGGAGAATCTAAAAATGCAATGAAATACAAGGTGTTCCATTTGAAATAACAAAGTTGTTGCTTCTTTTCGTTAGCAGCGGCAACGCCGCAGGGCTGAAAATATTGTAGGACGATGTCCCCCTCGAAAATGTAGATGACGTGTTTCAGATTCTTTTCATAATCCGGTTTTGGCGACCTACAGAGCCTCTGTTTCGTTTTCAAAGGCCCACTCTGTATATTATTTTATTAACATCATGACATGTACTTCAATTAGAGAAATAAATTGAATTGAATTGAATTGAATTTATGAGTATTTATACAGAGTGTTTCAAAGTAAGTGCTTCTTGTGATATTCTAGAAAACAAAGTTCCTATAAACGTGTCTCCTAATTTGCTTCATTTTCGAGATACAGGGTATTAATATTTTCATGAAACATTGAGCTTTATTTGGTAGTGCAATTAGATTCAAAATAATATTTCGAGTGGCGTCACAGTGGTGGACCCCGCACTTTTAGTACGTAAAATGGTTCTCGGTGAAATTTTCTGAATTTTCAGTATGTTGTAGAATTCGATGAACTGATTGAACCTGCAGAATCGTAAAGTTCTTTGATGAACAGATTCTGAGATACAGGGCGTTGAAGTTACAAATCGGTATTTTTCATTTAATTATTTCCTCGAAATTCAAAGATGCCAAGTACAATTTTCTTCGCTCATATCAATAACGAACCTCCATATTACTCAACATTATTCAGATGGTTCAGATGATGTAATTGTTTACAGAGTGAAACATATAAACATTTCAGTGATGTCTGAAAATTCGATGTAATAATGAAATATCGAAAAAATAATTTAGGCATGCAATATACTATTCTCATTCCATCATGAATCACAATTCATACATTTCATACAGGGTGATTTGAAAAATTGGTGACACCTAAGACCGATTTATTCATACACATCCTGTATATTCGAGTGAATTGTTAACCTTCTAAGATAGCTGATACCGTATGAACATGATTTCGTTGAGATATATAGGGTGATCATGAAGATTTTCGAAGATGAAAATGACAAAAAATCGTGTTTTTTGAAATCACCCTGTTATTCATGATTAACTCGGTGAAATTCCCTAATAATTTTTTAATATATTCATCATTCGCTCCTCTACGCTGTCTTGAAAATTCAGTTTCCTATCATGACGGGTGTCATAGTTATTAATTCAGGAACTTACCATTTGCATGAAGAGTTGAAGAGACTTGTTCACTTACATTCGCATAGTGGCCGATATTTTTCACAAATAGTGAAACGTGAGAATGTGGAGACAAAATACAACATACTGAAAATTCAGAAAATTTCACCGAGAACCATTTTACGTACTAAAAGTGCGGGGTCCTTTATAGATATTTATGGTGAATATCATTGTTCGCCTCTGGTTTTTCTGAGTTCCATATTAATTTCAGATTGAACTATTGAAATATTAATTTTCTTATTCCTTGTGTGATTTTTGTATCTATAGATTCGTTTCTGAGAAACAATAAAAATTTGATTTGACTCAAAATTTTAAAGAAGGTGTTTTCAAGACATCCATTAAGATTACTCAATAACCCCAATGAAAATCATTAGGAAATTTTGGAGCTTTGTTAGTTTCCATCCATACTGAATTTTGGCACCATGAAAGCTCATAGATAGAAACAATCAATACTTCCAACTCCAACATCCTTTTCTTTTATGTTCTGGTATCGACGAAAAGGGATATCCTGTAATGTTCAGAGCAATATGTTCCAGAGCCTCGCTGTTCGTTGGATGAACGAGTCTTTGGGAAGAGATGTTCTGCAGGTCTCCAAAGTGACCACGAAGGAGTGCGAAGCCTCAACTCGACGGGTTAATCTCGCGGGGACTACCAAGGGAGGAACAATTGTTGATATTTCAGAAGAGCATCGTCCATAAAAATATCTATAAAATAGAGCCAGATCGACAACTTCTCTATGGTGTTCCAGAGAAATGAGTGAATTCACCCACGAGACGAATTGCCCTTTTTTGGACAGAATCCAACAGTTTCAGGGTATGTTTGGGTGCTGCATTCCAAATATGGAAGCAGTATTCCGGGACAGGTCGAATCTGTGCTTTATAGATCATAAGCAGCTGACTGGAAGTGGAATAGTTCCTGGCCCGAAACAGAAAATCAAGTTTTAGGGGTACACTTTTAGCAATTGATCTCACGTGATTTTCCCAAGGAAGGCCATTGCAAGTCAGGACTCATGTTTATATGAACTTTATTTCCTGAAGTTTCTCGCATTTATTCAGAAACACCCTGTATAAATAAAAGAGCTTGAAAAAATCTTATTCGTTCAGAACAACACAAATTTGAATTTCCAAATAGAAGACAATTCAACCGTGTTTTTTTTTCGCTTGATGTGTACGAAAGGGAATCCCTATAACAATAACACTGTGTCCATTTTGGTTAGATTGGAATTCTTTGTGTTTCAAAATGCCGGATGGAGACCATGTTGGATGTATTTTCCAATAATTAGAGGGTGAAGGCAGACCTCATTCGAAGGTTAATTTGATCATTATGTTCAAATCATGAAAATGGGAGATAGTTGATATTCATCCAGAATGAAATGTCGACTCAATTTTAGTGGAACTCCAATTAGATTTTGAGAATCATAACAAGACATGACATAAAAATAATAATGTTAAATATTATCATTTTCAGAACATACTTTGAGTGGTTGCGTAGGTCTAGCAATATCGCAGAGCATAGCTTTGATAGGCTTGCTGCAACTGGAAATTCGAAAATCCATCAAACTGTCATTCAAACTAGCCAGCGCCGAAAGAATCTTCAAATATACAATGTTGCCCAAAGAAATTCCAGACGAGCAAGTCAGATTCACGCCGACTAATTGGCCTCATTTCGGAAAAGTCATCTTCAGGAATGCTTTTCTTCGGTACTCTCCCGACGAACCACCCATCTTGAATAACCTCAACATGGTCGCATTACCTGGTGAAAAAGTAAGTACTACAAGCAATGGTGTTTAAATTCTCTGAGGTAGGTACTCTCATTTCTCATCTTCGATAATAATAAGTTGATCTTCGAAATTAAAGAGAATATGGTAGAAGTATTTGAAATCTAACTCATACCTACTGTATGTATCCACGTATATTCAGAATTATACAGGACAGCTCAGCTCAATTGAACGTTCTGATTGATTGAAAGTCATACGAAGAAAATAATCATTTTTATAACTGAACCCTATGCTGGAACAACGTTGTAACCGCCAAGATCTATAAAAACGGTATTTCTATGGAACAAGGTTGTATGCGACCTATACAATCTGCTGTCATGATAGTGGGGGCATAGGAAATTTTTATGGTGATTTCTGGTGTCATTTCGGTTAGTCAAGTTTGGAAATTCTGTGGAACAACGTTGTATGTGCATCACGGCTTCTAGTTTCCTGCGCCCTTTCTTTATTTACATGTGTTGGGTCTGTAGTTTATCGTCGTTATAAGTAGAAATTGACGTTTCTGTGACAGACTCAGTTATGACACAACTAAATAATAATTAAAATTCTTTTTTTTTTTGATCACTTGGCTTTATTTTTGATCTTGAAACAACGTTGTAACCGCCTTAGTTCCTTGGAATAACGTTGTAACCGACGTGGATATATAACGTTGTTTGATTGAAAAAAGAAAAATATGCTCATAAATCATAATTCTGCATGTGGTCAAGTCTATTGTGCCTATCATCCAGTCAAAATCTTCCTTGTTAGCCATATCAGGCAAATATTGACTTCATTTGATGGAACAGTCGATCATATACGGTTTTTTTCGATTTACCAAAAAAAAAAACATTTTTGGCGTTTACAGCGTTGTTCCAGCATAGGGTTCAACTGTTGCTCTGCGAGAAGTCTGTCGCTATAAATTGAAGTGGGTGTTTCCAATTTTTATTTTCCATCTACGGCTATGATTGATTTAACAGAAAATCTAACCTCTAATATCGTATCTGACAATCAAGCGGTACTAGGGAAATTGAAAAGACCATCAAGAGCAGAATATATGTATTATTCTTTTATCCACTCACCAATGTGATAAAGAAAATAAATAAGGACAGAAGTTCAGCTATGTCCGAACTCTTATATCTACTTATCTACAAATATCATTCAGTGACTCTCCCTACTAATTTTTTTGAAGGTCGGCGTCGGCATCATCGACAAACCAGGTTCAGGCAAATCGTCCGTCATGGCAGCCCTTTTCCGACTGGCGCCCATCGAAGGGCACATCACCATCGATTAGTGTTTTAATATAAAGTCAAAATTTTCATCAATAGAGACAATGATATAAAAGAATCCCGAAAGTTAAGTGAAATTAACGTACAACCTATTCCTAGTTCTTTTTTTCGAGGTCGGCATCATTGGCAAAACAGGTTCAGGCAAATTGTCCGTCATCGCAGCCCTTTTTCGGCTGATGTCCATCGAAGGGCACATCACCATGGATTAGTGTATTAATATAAAGTTTAAATTTTCATCCATATTGAGAAGTTTTTGCCTTGTGTTGAAATTTAAAATATGTTTATTAGCAAAAAGTAAACGAGTGCGCATATAAAATTTTCGTAATGAAAGAGTCACATGGTCAATCCTAATTTTTTGCAGTGTTCAGTATAATATTTATATTATTTGGGATATTAGGCCTCACATTTTCGTTTCCAAATAAAAGGACCAACGTTTTAGTAGGATTAATTGATGAGTTGTGCTTATTAGAAAAGTTAACAATCCGGTGAAGATCGCTGTTTATAGTTTCAGCTGCTGCATTATATGACGTAGGATCAAAGTAATGGATTATTTGTGTATCATCCGCATAAAGTTGGTTTCGCTAGTGTTTAAAATTTTCGGCAAGTGTGATGTATTCAACAAAAATGATAGAGGACCTAGGATGAGGAACTCCAGACACAATTTTCCTTGAGTCGGAGTACTTATCATCAACACATACTTACCACTGAACTATAAAAATTTAAAAAAAGAGAGTACTGTAGTAGTAAATCCATAATATGTGAATTTAGAGATTACTAACTTATGATCTATCAAATCGAATGCCTTAGAATAATCCAAGGTAATTAGAATAGCTGCAAGTTTTTTATCTAAGGCACCAATTAAATTAGGTAAATTCAAGAGTGTTGTAGTACTAGTCGTACTAGGATATTTTCGTCATCTACTTGTATGTATATATACTGCTCTTTCGAGTATTTTGGAAATCACAGGAAGTAACAAATCGCCACATTCCAAGCAACAGTTCAATACATGAGTGATATGGTCAAGGATAGTAGGCAAGCATAATTTCACCATGTGAAGTGTGACCTCGAGTGTGACCTATACCTAGTTTTTTTTTTAAGGTCGGCATCATCGGCAAACCAGGCTCTAGCAAATCGTCCGTCATCGCAGCCCTTTTCCGGCTGGCGCCCATCGAAGGGCACATCACAATCGATGACGTGGACACGTCTGTGACCAGTTTGAACACGCTCAGATCCAGCATCTCCCTCATACCACCCGATCCGCTGCTGTTCTCGCCCTCCGTCAAGTTCAACTTGGACCCTTTCGACCGCTTGGCCGACGACGTTCTTTGGAAAGCCCTTGAAGAGGTCAGGAATTTTTTTATAGTTTTTTTTATTGAAGTAAACTTCATGTTTCATTGAGACTTATGTTGCCCGAAAGAAAATTGAATGACAAAAATTGTCAACAATATCAGAACACGAGAGCTCTCACGATGTCCAATTCCTACGATGCCCACCTTCAGATCGACGATTACGAAGAGAACAGAAAACACATGATTCCCACCATGCCCACTTTTCAAAGATTTCTACGATGCCCAATTCCCACCAGGCCCAACTTTTTCGGATTCCCACCATGATGGAGGTAAGCATGATGGGAATTGGGCATCGTGAGAATGTATGAAAAGTGGGCATAGTGGGAATTGGGCATCGTGGCAATGTATGATAAGTGGGCATGGTGGGAGTTGGTCATCGTGGGAATTGGGCATTGTGGGAATGTATGAAAAGTGGGCATGGTGGGAATCCAAGGAAGGTGGCCATGGTAGAAATTGGGCATTGTACTACAGTTAATTTTTTATGCTCACCTATAGCTACTATTATATAGTTACACCTATTTTCATTCTCTCAGTATCTTTTGTATTTTTTCGTTGTTTTACGTATTGAATATTTCAACCCAATCGGTCAAGCCGTTTAGTAGTTGACGTACCGTCAGCAGCGCCACCTATCACGTCCCATTGCATTTTCAAATTAGCATTTTCTCATGGTAAAAAGTAACTGTAATAGTAATTTTCCTAACAAGTAGTCGAGTGCGGGAAAGACACTTTCCGCATGAGCTAAGATCATTATTTTTTCTACAAACGTAGATTAGATTAGATTTGGAATGGGGCCTTCGGGCTATCTGCCTCCACACTGCGACCTTTTCAGATCTATTGTGTCTGCCCTCAAAATCGATTAGAGTTCTTCGGCTAGCCCCGCCTTCTCTATGAGACTCTATAGGCTAGCTTTCAGTTATCCTGTGTATCTCTGGGCTCCTGGTTATTCTTCACCCAGCGTAAGGAACCTTAGTCTTGACAAGCCCTCACAGTGGCAAAGTATGTGTACTGCTGTTTCTTCCTCTTCTTGACAGAACCTGCACAGCAGTTCTTCAGTCAGACCTATCGTACTCATGTGTTTGTTCAGCCTACAATGCCCTGTGAGAAGTCCCACTACAAACGTAGGAAATTGATTGATTTGTTCAATCAATTATTCCTGCAAATAGGAACAACTAACAATAGTGATATATTCTATATCTTCTAATAATTATAGTGGTATATCTATTGTGTGTACCGTTTGAAGCATTATATGTAGGTAAGCTTATTGCGAAAGCCAGCAGGATCATGGTGTTTGGCCTCTATGTTTCGAAAATTTCTAGGAAATGGGCCAAAAATACTTCTTCTTTATTTTTTTTTCACTTTTTTACTATTGCACCATTCAATAAATCCCGTGTAGTGCTTCTCATACCTTTCTTAAGACTTCGTTGGCGATAACTCATCTGTATCGCATCTGTTGCTGGATGTTTTTCATCGCAATTCCACTGAATCTAAAATGACAGTAACGCTCTGTCTGGCACTCTGACAATTTTTTGTTTTGATTGACATGACAACAATTGTTCCCCACATCAGATCAATTGAAGGCTACAGGGGGATTTATATAACAATCAATTATTATTTATAAATATTTCTTCATTCTCACGATAAATATATACAAACTTACTGAAATACTGCAACAAAAAAACAAAGAAAAATTATATTTTGTCACCCACCACTCATATTTTGCGAGAATATTATACAGGGTGTTATTTAAGTACGTGGCCAAACTTGAAGGGGTGATTCTTTGAGTGATTCTAAGACGAAAAGTTCATATAAACATAGGTCCAGTAATGCTTCGTTTTCAAGATACAGGGTGTCAAAATTTTTAAAAGAAATCGTTTTTTTCGTAAATATCTTAATAACCCTTCAACCGATTTAATTGAAATTTGGCAGTGTTATTCAAGGTCGTTAAGGGCTAATTTAACCCCAACTATATCAAAATTATCATGTCTAGTGGCGTCCCGGAAGGCACTGTAACCAATATTTTTGACAGAAAAAATGTGCGCCACTGATTTTTTGCAATTTTTGTATTTGTTTTACATTGAACAACTAAAGTTACAACTTTTTTATAACTCGAATTTTTTTCGTATCTTGCTTTGTTTTTGAGAAAAAACATAAAAATCACTTCATTGCACATCCCTGTGACAACACAATAAAACATTTCAACTACTAAACCATCAAAAACTGTGGTTTTTACTAATATTTTTTCATATTAATACTCTATTCTAGTCTTGGAATTTTCTATCCAAATCAATGCAATGAAAAAACAAAAAATATGTATGTATGAATTGCAGCACTTGCCTTCGGCTCTTGGCTTCGTCTCGTCACAGGGATGTGCAATGAAGTGATTTTTATGTTTTTTCTCAGAAACAAAGCAAGATACGAAAAAAATTCTAGACATAAAAAAATTGTAATTTTAGTTGCTCAATGTGAAACAAATACAAAAATTGCAAAAAAATCAGTGGCGCACATTTTTTCTGTCAAAAATATTGGTTACAGTGCCTTCCAGGACGCCACTGGACATGATAATTTTGATATAGTTAGAGTTAAATTAGCACTTTACGACCTTGAATAACACTGCCAAATTTCAATTAAATCGGTTGAAGGGTTATTAAGATATTTACGAAAAAAACGATTCCTTTTGAAAATTTTGACACCCTGTATCTTGAAAACGAAGCATTACCGGATCTATGTTTATATGAACTTTTCGTCTTAGAATCACTCAAAGAATCACCCCTTCAAGTTTGGCCACGTACTTGAATAACACCCTGTATAAATGTTTTTCCCACACTAGTGAGGGAAGAAATTTCCCGCACTACTGTGGGAAAACTTTTTCCGCACTACTGCGGGAAAATGACACTTCCCAAACTAAATTGCGTGCGGGTATAGGGTGAATCACGCACGCTCGTAGAAAAAAGAATTTAGAAATGGTGCAATTTTACTGTTATTTATGTTTCAAGGTGGAGTTGACAGGAGTTATAGGCACTCTTTCTCAGCCAGTCAATGAACGCGGCTCAAATTTCAATTTGAGTACCAGACAGCAGATTTGTTTGGCGCAGGTGATACTAAGGAAAAATAAAATCGTTATTCTGGATGTGTCAACAGAACATATTGACCCACAGTAAGTTCAATCTTCCCTTTGTTTTTTAAATGTTGTACATCATAAGATTCAGGGAGAAATCATCGCTAACATTATACAGGGTGTATCTAAATAACACCGAAAAAATTCAAAGGGTGATTCCTTGTGAAATTTAAGGAAATAAAGTTCATATAAACATGTTTCCTAACTTGCTTCATTTTCGAGATACAGGGTATTAATATTTCCATGAAAAATCGTTTTTTCATTCATTACTCAGTTGTCTTTTCATCAAATCCAATAAAACGTTGTGGTTTTGTTAATGGTAATATGAGACTTCTTCTGGTGCAATCAGATTCCAGATGATATTTCCAGTGGCGTCACCGTAGGTGAATTTATCGATATTCATGGTGAATGTCACGCCACCGATTTTCATATGTTCATCAAATTGAACTATTGAAATAACAACTTTTTTATCCCATATGTGTATTTTTTTATCTAGCTCAATTTTTAAGGAAACAATACGAATTCGATTTGGCTCCAAATTTTAATGTAGGCGTGTTTTCAAGACTTCCATTGAGATCACTCAATAACTCCAATTAGAATCATTTTGAAATTTTGGGACTTTCTCAGTCTCCAACCATACTGAATTAAAAAAATTGATACCTCCAATTTCAACATCCTGTATCTCAAAAACGGAGCAAGTTAGGACACATGTTTATATGAACTTTATTTGCTAGAATATCACAAGGAATCAACCCTTGAATTTTTTAGGTGTTATTTGGATACACCCTGTATATTATCTCTCACAAAAATTTTCCTGTCTCCATAACTCTGGAACCATGACTTGCCTAATAAATGAATACGTTAACTCCCGGAATGAGAAATTGAATGCATTTTTAATGGAGTATCACTTGACTGCCATTAACATTTGAAAAACATTGCTATGCTTATTGTTGCGTCAAAAGTGTTCTAGGATTTTGTCGAAATGTTTTTCCAGTTATGGCAGGCGGTACGTTTTCGATGGGCCACCCTGTATATCGACTATGTTCCTTAATGATATGCTAATATTCAAGGTGGCGATTCTTGGACCCATTTCAAGAATAAAACTTCATATGAACGTAAATCGCAAACGTCCTAAGTTTTGAGATACAGGGTATCAAAGTTGAACATATACATAACGGTGCGAAAATGTCAATATGTTACATACTGTGGTTATCCAGTAATACTCAAAATTTGAAGTTTGATCTCGATTTTTCTTGAAAACGGAGCGTCCTGTCGAGTGTCAACAAGAGGATCTAGTTTGTACAAAATTGAATGACTTCTTATAGCAATTTATTAAAGGAAATACTCCTTCGTTGCTCACTTTCAAGTATAACATAATCACTTCTATTCCCCTAACGGCGCCACTGGTAGAGAGAAGAAAAATTTGTATACATAAAAAAATGCACCCTGATGCTTTGAAGATGAGCACCGAATTTCATGAAGATGACTACAATATTATTCCAGTTATTATCAAAAAACTTTTTTTTTTCAAAACTTCATCACACTGTAAGTATCTCAAAAGTTTATACTTTTAGGACATACGTTAGTGGAAAGTTTTTTTCTTGAAATGCGTTGAAGAATCACCCCCTTGAATATTAGCATGACTTTAAGGAACCCACTGTATATGTTAGCCTGAAGACAGCTATAACTATAACTATAACCACTAACTAACTAATAACTAATCATAATCATAATTTTCAATCTCAGTTATGTTCAAAACTTTCATTATTATCATCTTAGAATTGAGCAATTACTTTCAGGATTATTATGTCGTTAGATATAACTTTGGTATAATGAGTTTATAAGCTTCTAGCTTCTACTCTTGTGAGTTTACAAATAAATAAAAAACTACTACTCTTGACAGTTCTTGAATGGATAATTCATCACACTAAAGATGTGCAAGATGTTCTTTGAACCTAGTATCAATGTGTCTTCTAATTTGGCCTACATAAGTTTTTACAAAATCATATTCCTGATTTTCCAAGCGTCTCTTTTTCTTCGACTAAAACTGACTTCTTTCTGTTTCGTCGTCTTTCAGCATTGACCAATTGACCAATAAGACCTTGACGGAAATCCTGAAAAACTCCACCGTCCTCGTCATCACCCACCGACCCGACTTGGTAATGGACTGCGACAAAGTTCTCGTGATGGAGACAGGCAGGGCGACGGAATGCGGCCACCCCCACGTGCTGCTACAGCAGCCGGAGGGCGTCTTGGCCAAGATGGCGCGAGAGTGTGGGGAAGATGGCGAGAAAAGGATGAGGCAGATGGCCAAGGAGGATTACGATAGGAAGCATTTCGGGATCGAGTTCACTTTCGATCGGTTCGAATGACAGGGAAGATGGTGGAATAGTGTGAATATTTAGCTGATGTGTTGATACAGTTTGTTACAGCGTAGAAATAAATTATTTTTATTCGATCTAAGGATCTTGACTTTCATTTATTTTTAACGTGCTGCTACAGCAGCAGGAGAAGTCTTGGCCAACATGGCGCAGGAGCGGGGAGAAGATGGCGAGAGGCAAATAGGGCAGTTAGCCAAGGAGGATTACGATAGAAAGCATTTCGAAATTGAGTTCACTTTCGATCTGTTCGAGTGACAGAGGAAGATGGTAGAATAGAGTAAATATTTAACTGATGTGTTGATACATTTCGTTTCAGTGTAGAGATAAATCAATTTTATTCGATCTGAGGAACTTGACTTTTATTTATTTTTTACGTGCTGCTACAGCAGCAGAAGGGTGTCTTGGCCAAGATGGCGCAGGGGTGGGGAGAAGATGACGGGAGGCAAATAGGGCAGATAGCCAGGGAGGATTACGATAGAAAGCATTTCGGAATCGAGTTCACTTTCGATCGGTTCGAGTGAAAGGGTAAGATGGTGAAATATAGTAAATATTCAGCTGGTGTGTTGATACAGTGTAGAAATACAATATTTTTATTCTATCCAAGGATAATGCCTTTTATAAATTTTTCACGTGCTGCTGCAGCAGCAGGAGGAAGTCTTGACCAAGATGACGCGGGAGTGAGGTGAAGATGGCGAGAAGCGGATGAGGAAGATGGCCAAGGAGGATTACGATAAGAAGCATTTCGGGAATCGTGTTCACTTTCGATCGGTTCGAGTGACAAGGGAGTGTAGAATTAAATAATTTTTCTTCTATCTGAGGATTTTGACTTTTAACGTGCTGCTGCAGCAGCTGGAGGGCATCTTGGTGTCAAGATGGCGTGGGAGTGGGGGAAAGATGGCGAGAACCGGATGAGGCAGTTCACTTTCGATCGGTTCGAGTGACAGAGGAAGATGGTGGAATGGAGTAAATATTTAACTGATGTGTTGATACATTTTGTTTCAGTGTAGAAATAAATTATTTTTATTCGATCTAATGATCTTGACTTTTATTCCTTCTTTACGTGCTGCTGCTGCAGCAGGAGGTCGTCTTGGCCAAGATGGCACGAGATTTGGGGACAGATGACGAGAGGCAGATGAGACAGATGGCCAAGGAGGATCATGGTATAAATCATTTCGGGATCGAGTCCGCTTTCGATCGGATTGATTGAGTGAATACAGGTTATATTTAGCTATTGTGCAGGTTGTTTAGTGTAGAAGTGAATTATTGTCTTGACTTTTATTTATTTTTAACGTACTGGTACAGCAGTCGGAGGGCGTCTTGGCCAAGATGGCGCGGGAGTGTGGGGAAGATGGCGAGAAGCGGATGAGGCAAATGGCCAAGGAGGAATCGAGTTCACTTATCGGTCCGATTGACAGGGACAATTCAGATGATTTGCCCCAAAATGTCACTGCGTTAAAAGAATTTTCTTATCAGAGAGCCTAAAAGAAAAATTCACTAGCATGTCAGTGACAATTTGTATTGAAAAAAGTTTGGAGGAGGGAAATAAAGGTATATAGAAAAAATATCGAATTTTCACTTATCTCTGGACGTTTCGGGACCGATTTGGCTCCCGTTTCCAACATAAGAAAAGATTGTTTCAATAGCAAAGTCGTATCTGTCTTGAAGCTTTTCAGTTTTCACTGACAATTGGTGACGTTGACAATCAAATGAGTTACAGGATGTATTCATTAATTAATCTTGAATTTACCATTGGAAAGAAGAAAGCAACCAGAAGAGAAAAATCAAGGAATTTGCTTGCATTCTTCTGAACGGGATCGAGTGCACTTTCGATAGGTTCGAGTGACAGGGGAAGATGGTGGAATAGAGTAAATATTTAGCTCATTTGCTGATACAATTTGTTACAGTGCAGAAATGAATTATTTTTATTCGATCTAATGATCTTGACTTTTATTGATTTTTCACGTCCTGCAGTAGCTGGAGAGCGTTTTGGACAAGATAGCGCAGGCGTGGGGGGAAGATGAGGCGGAGTGGGGAGAAGATGACGATAAGCGGATAAGGCAGATGGTCAAGGAGGGTAACGATAGAAAGCATTTCGGATTCGAGTTCTCTTTCGATCAGTTTGAGTAAGTGAACACAGGATATATTTAGCTTTTTTGCATGTTTTTCAGTGTCGAAATAAATTATTTTTATTCAAACTGAGGATCTTGACCTCTTTTTATAATTTGACATAATTACAGTTATACAGAGTGGGCCAACGAAAACAAAATAGACTGAATAACTTTAGGGAGAAAGTTTACTTGAAAGAACGGTGAAATAGGTTGATTTTCAATTCTTGGGAGACACGACATTTATATTTCAGACTAACACAATTTCCAGTTTTATTAATATTTCTATTTGAACGCCAGTTCAAAAGGAATAGCGAGTGCAGGAATGATCTTGTGTGTCATTTTAATTCCAGAGCTCACCGTGAAGTTCTAAATAAATTGAAATTACAAAATAAAAACGGAGGGCTATTTTTTCGCCAGAAATATCGGACTTGTTTATGAGCCCGCCCCTGGAATGTCCAAAAGATACCTTATTCAGATATTAGCAGATTGGGTGATGTGAATAATAACTTGAATTCTGCCAAGGCGTTTTTTGAGATAATTCAAAGAAAAAACTTCAACCCCTAGCACATTATCAGTTTTCCAAGAAAAATAACACAACACTCAGTGTCATTAAACTCAAGAATCCAAAATCTTCTCAATGAATCGGTTGAATGAAATGTTTAGAAAAAAGTTTATTCCTTTTGGTTTGTATATAAGTAACAAATCATCGCGAATTATAAGGAATGGAATCGTGAATGAACTTGAAACGTGCTTTCTAAAGGTTACCCAACCGTTTTCAATTCTTATTCAATACCTATAATACTTAATTATTCTTTTTGGAATCATTAGGAATTGATTTATTCGTATGTTCCATGAAACTGGATATTTAAAATAAATCATATTGGCGTTCCTAGTATCTATTAATTTTCATACTGGAAAATTGAAAAAACTTGAGATGAAGTTTTTGTATTGGTGTGCTTACATAGTGAATCTAGTAGGTATATTGACATCTCGAAAAAATGGACTATAACGTATAATTGTGGTGAAGGGTTCAATTTGAGTACATACTATAGCTACGTTGTTTTGCTATATACATTATTTCTAGAAAATATGTTTTCAGTTGAATATTCATCTACACATTCTTATTATTTTATTCCCAACTTCTTCTGAGTTTGACTATCTATCCGTCATCTTGAATATCGGAATTTTCACGAAGGAATCATAATCTCTGGCCCCGAAAACCCCAAAATACCAGTTTTGAATAGAATCGGACCATAATTACAAAACTCGTCCGCCATATTGGATCCGTCATCTTGAATTTCCAAATTTTGATGGAAGAATCATAATCTCCAACCCTGAAACTTAAATAATCACAAAATCTGCCATATTGGATCCGCCATCTCGAATTTCCTAATAGTATCCTAATATCCGTCTCCTGGTTCTAAGCTACCTCCCTACCAATTTGCAACCAAACCGGTCCAGCATTTTTGGAGCCTATTCAATACAAACAAATATTTCCTCTTTATGATATTAGTATAGAGTAGTATCAAAGCAATTACTGAATTATTTTTCAATTAATATGGAATGAAACGCTCTAGTATTTCATGTATGACTACTGAAAATCGTCAAGAGTAGTTGATAGTAGCTTGTTTTATTGAGATCAAAAGTGACACTTTGTTTGACAAACGAATTTTTCCAAATTTGCGAGTCAAACAAAGTCACTTTTGATCCGAAAGAAATACAGATCAAGCAAGTATGTGCATCTTGAATAGGGCTTCCCTGATCAAAACAAAAATACTCAAGTATAAGAAGTTGATTAAGGTGTATTTATATCTCCAGCATGGGTATGAAATGCCAAATCTGCCGAAATCGGAAACAAAACAGGTATGCGTCCCGACCCAAATAAACAACCGTCACAATGTTGTTCATTCTTGATGACCTCTAGTGCACCCTTTTTAGTTCCTAGGAGGTAAAGTTCAACTTCAGTTCCTAGGAACTAAATGTGTAGCCTAGCAACATACCTATTTTGCTACCCTGTGTCAGTAATAGAATCGCCAATTCAAGAGCTAGTTCTGGTATTGAAGTGAACGACTTGCAGAAAAACTTAATTTATCAATCAGTGCTATACCTGGTATAAGAAAATTATAGATCTTTCCTAATTGTATAGGTATGTTTCTAGGAAACAATGATTAGAAATTCATTACTTCAGTTCTCAATTTTTTTTCTTTTATTGGAGTGCACGAAAGTAAATCTCTATGATGTTCGAAAGAACATCGTGCTTACAAAGGGATGATAGGGAGAGGAGGAAGGTGTTAGATTTTTTCTTACTTCTGAAGATTATACAAGTTCTTGGGAATACATCCATTGTCCAAGAATTCCAAATCTTTGCCGTTCTATAGAAAAACGAGTTCTGGTAAAGGAAAAATATGCAAAGTTAATTTCCTATCCAGCAGACGATGATATTGAAAAAATGCCATTTTCTCAGCGACCCATCTTTTAAGTGATGAAGCATTTTTGGATCCTGAACATTTTTTCAAATTTAGTGATGGGATTCATACAAATAATTCATAATACTTTTTTCTTCAATGAATAGTTGGAATCAAACAACACTCACAATATCATGTTTGAGGTCCCATCTAATGAAATAAAAATCAAAAACATTTGTAAACAAAACAAATCATCACAAATCTTCTGGAAATGAAGCATTTGAACTTTCACACTGGCAATGGTTACTTTATTTGCGCCACCTTGTATATCATCCTGTAAAACAGTAAATCTAGTGCTATAGGTACTAGTTTTTATCAAATAATTTTGAACACTGCGTTCACTGGTTCACTTCTTTAATTTTTTTTTTGAATCCACTTCATTATCTTTCACGACGAATTAAACTTCATTTAGTACCTACTTAGTAGTAACAATGTCGTGGCCGTCATCACCTCGAAAATCTAAAAATAACACCATTTTATCGCCCGTGTGAAATACGAAGAAATTTCCATAAAATCATTAAAAACCTATCAGGGCATTGAGCGAAAACCATAATAACACGATTGTTTCTGTTCGACTGCTGATTAAACAATAACAATATAATCACTTTCCGATCGATTTATTTACATAATATCGATCTCTGTATGTGGTATAATTAAAAACTAATCTTGACCGACGCCTAAAAGTGTCATTAGGAATATATCGGGTCGAAAATTATTGCATTTTCAGAAATGCCATAATAGACGAGTAGATACCTACTCGAAAGAAGTACCATTTACTTTGTTATTTCAAGAGTATAATTTTTTTTTTTTCGTTTATTTTTGTGTATTTAGTTTTTGTGAAAATGTTCTACCGGATTACTCTAGTCATGGCTTTATCTGCTGGTAAGTAGTACTTTGGTACTAATTACATTTTTACTATCACAGAGAATAGACCATCGAGATATAACTGACCACCCTCATTAACCTTTGAGTGGGTTGGGATGAAATTGTGAAATGTTGACCGATTTATATACAGTGTTATTCATAAAGTCGGCATCATATATGGGAAACACTTTTAATAATAATACATTTTGGAAATTCGACTTAGCCCTTAAGTTTTGCTAATATGAAAAATGGACTACTCGATCGGGTTCACGTGACTTTCTACACGTGCCAAAAAAATACATTTTTCTCAAATTAATCGTTGAAAATGGGTTTAATTAATTGAATTTCAAAAGAGTATACTTGAGTAAAGTTGTTTCTATTTCAATTTTACTTATGGGTATCGAATTTGAATGTTCCATAACAACTTGAGTTTTCGATATTTTTTCAATTTTCACGAAATGTCTATGATATAAAAAAAATTGACACCGTCGAAACTAGTTCGTTGTAGTAGTTTTATAATGCTACCAACTTTCAATCACTAATAATTATCGACAAAAATATGATACTCTGCAGAAAATAATAATCCCCGCTTCAAATTTCTGTTATGTTTGATGCAAAGTTGATGTATAGTCTATCATTCAGGAGCCTAATTTATTTATATGGATTTTTTCAGTACTAGGATGATGTTAGAATCCTCTTCCAAAATATCATCAAACTACTTTACGTAATATAATTACTAATCACAGTTTTGTCAAAGTTGCAAAATTAGAAGAAATACAAAAATATCAAGAACTGAAAGTTGCAATGAATCGTTCAAATTCAAGCCACAAGTGTGAAATTGGAATAGAAACAACAACGAAATTCGCCTATTTTCAGCGATTAATTTGAAATATTTGTATTTTTTGACAAAAGTCACGTGACACTGACCGAGTAGGTCATTTTGTATATTTTTTTAAGCAAAACTTGAAAGGCAGTCGAATTACGTAATTGACTGTTATTCACATATGTAGGAAGGCATTGGTATCTCGGAATTATTCGATTTCGATAAATTATTTCGGAATTCCCACTTTGTATATCGGAATTATTCGATTCCGATTTATTATGTCGAAATTCCGACTTGGTATCTTGGAGTTCCGACTCATTATCGCGCAGATACTCAATTCCGACTCATAATGTCGGAATAATGACTTAGTATCTTGGAATTACCACTTCTTATCTCGGAACAATTCAATTCCGACTAATTATGTCGGAATTTCGACGTTGTATCTCGGAATTGTTCAATTCCGATTCATTATGTCGGAATTTTGACTTAGTATCTATATATATATAGAAATTCTGACGTATCATCTCGGAATTTTTCAATTTCGACTTATTACCCTAACAACACCAGTACATCCTAGGGACTTCCCATGGACGTCCCTGATTTTATACTAGGACATCCCAGGGATGTCCTTTGTCGGGACAACGTACATACTAGGGATGTCCCAGGGACATCCGCTGGCCGCTAAGAAAGGCATCCAAGGGATGTCCTTCTGGTACGTCCCTGGGATGTACCAAGTACGATGAAAGGATATCCCTAGGACGTCATAAGGATATCCCAGGTACATTCTTTCGACAAAAGAAAAAATTTGCAGGTCGAGTAGGGTTGAACCCGGGACCTTTGGCTTATCATGCACGCACCTTGTTCCATTGGCTATCATGCCTCCTGAAGATTTATGTACTAAACAGATTTATAAACAGGACTTAACTACAGAAACCTGAATAAATACAACTTTAATAGGAATTGGGTATAATTATTATCATTCTTGGGTGTTTAAAAATGAGGGGCATTATGCATGTACGATTTCTGTCTGCGAAAAATGGTAATTTCTTAAGAAGTTCTGAGACTTTATTCTTTATTTTCATTTTAATCATTTTCCGGAAGAGGAACAAACATTTTCGAAAAAATTCAACTCAATAGTTTGATGAAATTCAATTACTCTGATGTTAATGGATATCAGATACTCCAGGGACACGAATAGGATAAACTAGGGATGTACCGGGCGGGATGTCCACTGGACAACCACTGCAGGACATCCCCTGGATGTCCCAATCATGTCCTTGTACCGCGGGACAAAAAAGGGACGTACCTAGGACATCCCTGTGTTGTTAGGGTATGTCGGAATTTCGACTTTGTAATTCGGAATTAGTCAATTCCGATTCATTATATCGGTATTCTGTATCTCAAAATTATCTAATTACGTTTTCTCATTCCGGAATTCTGACTCAGAATCTTGGAATTCCGACTTCTTATCTCGGAACTATTCAATCTTGAGTTATTATGTCGGAATTCCTACTTTGTATCTCGCACTTATTCAATTCCGACATATTATGTCGGAATTTCGACTTTGTATCTCGGAATTATCCAATTTCGATTCATTACGAATTCCCAAAAAGGCGAAAAATTGTTGGTAAGAATTCTTCTTATGCAACAGTGGTCTATTTGCGAACATAAAATCATTTTCAATTTCGCAAATTCGCTCAGATAAAGAGGCTACTTTATAGTGAATTTACTGAAAATCGATTCATTGTATGTTAAAAACAATAATCCTTATTTGGTAAAATACTATTTATTGAGCAGACCTTGTCTGATTGATGATACTAGGTATTATTATCTATCATATTCGCAAAAAATACCGAATTTAGGTATATTTATTCGATATCAACATGTACTTTTTCACGGTCTGCGGAAACAAATTATTTTCAAAATAATTGGCCGCTAGGAGCCTTCAGACTTCAGGGGTAGACACCTTTTTCGATAAAAATGGTTCATATAATCGGATCATAACTATATTTGAGGCATTGAAGGGTGGTTGATCAATGAATGAACATGTTTTATACAAAGTGTTTAGTGTTCTTCATCAGGCAATATCCATTGCTGATTGGTGAGTAATTTTCAAGATGAATGGGAAATTTTGCATGTGTTGTTATTCAATTCCTTTTTTGAATTGAATCTTTATTTCAATGAGAGTGAAAACTTTGCTTAAATTCACTACTGTACAAATATTTTGAACACGTATGTTGACTGAGCCAAAATATTTCTTCCTGTGAATTTTCTAGAAATTTTTGATATATTATTATGTGGGTGTACAGTGTGTCCAGTTTTCGATGCTTTTATGTGATATCTCAGTTTTCTTTGGAGATAGAACCTTGCGGTTCTCGCTGTCCCATGCCACTTTTTTGTGAAACTGAAGATGGCCTAATCAGATCTTGCATGACTGTTTTCGTTTATGAGATACATTTTTTTCATTCATTTATTTATTTTTATCGCTTGGAGCGCACGAAAGGAAATCCCTATAATGTTCAAAGAACATCGTGCGTTCCTAGGGGGGATAGGGACAGGAGGTAGGTATTGGAATTTTTTCTGAACTTCTGGAGATTATATGTTGTTGGGAATACTTCCTCGGGCAATGAATTCCAGAGCCTAGCCGTTCTATGGATGAAGGAGTTTTGATAAAGTGCTGTTCGACATCTTTCGAGGTTGATAACGAAAGGATGTGCTGACTGGGCTTGTCTAGTTCGTCTGACTGGTATTGCTAGTGAAGGGATGATAGCAGAGATTTCCGAAGAACAAAGAACATTTCCCGTGGAAGTATCGATAGAAAAGTGAAGGGTCGCCGACCTTTCTACGGTGTTCCAATGATGTCAAAGAGTGAGTGAGTGTGGCGTCACCCACCAGACGAATGGCTCTTCTCTGGATGGATACTAGGAGCATCAGCGTATGTTTTAGTGCTGAACCCCATATGTGGGAACAGTATTCTAGAACAGGCCGTATCTGCGCTTTGTAGATCATGAGAAGCTGTTGAGGTGTAGAGTAGCTCTTCGCACGGAACAAGAATCCGAGTTTTTGTGAAGCAGCTTTTGCGATGGATCTGACATGATTATCCCATGAAAGAGTGTTTCTGATGGAAATACCGAGCATAGATATGGTGGGCGCGGTGAGGATGGTGGTGCCAGACATTACAATATCGGGCATACTGAGTTCCGCCTTTCTAGAGAAAATACAGGCTTGAGTTCTGGTGGCGTTGAATTCAACTAGGTTGTTGGTTTCCCAGGCTGTGATTTCGTCAGCAAGGTCTTCATTGATAGCATTGACTTGCCTGCGCCGTGAGTTCTTAGTTTCCTGGGAAGAAATGGGAATTCTGGAAGAGAACGCAGTATGGAGGGTACTTTTTGAACCCCCTCGATATCAACAAAGTTTCGCAGCGAAAATGTCAAATCGAAATCTTATTCCATAGAGAATTTTACGCAAAATCCAGTAGAGCACACAAATTTTTTTTTGCAGATCTCTACAAATCAAACGTATGATTTTTATAATGGAACGCCCTGTATTTTGTAGGCTCATCGAATTCCTTATTTTTTTCCTTGAGACTGATATATAATTTATGAATATACAATTTTCAAAAATTTTTCAAATTGATGTCAATTTTCCCACACACAATTAACACACTTTCTTATATAGTAAGCGGCACAACATACTTCGTGCAACAGAGGCAGTTTTCCAGGAATTACAAAGAAATCCTTCAATGCTTTTGAATGCATAAATACCTATTAAGAAAGTTTGTGAGGGAAAATGGACATCAATTCAAACAATTCAATGAATAAGTTACTGAATAATTTCGAAATTCAATTGTTTTAGTAAATATTCAACCTGCTACCGTTTTCAACATGAAGAATGTATTTTTTTTGTATGCCATACAAAAGATCCATTTTTTTTTCGAAAATAGGAGCAGATTCGTTCCCGAAACGTCAAAAAATGAGTGAAAATTTGATATTTTTTTTATATACCTTTATTTCTCTTCTCCAAACCTTTTTCAATACAAATTGTCGCTTGGAAGCTAGTGAAATTTTCTTTCAGGCTCTCTGATAGAAAAATTCTTTTTCTGCAACCGACACAAAAGTCGTCCATTTTGATACCAAAATCAGCTCTCAAATTGACGTTTCTATTACTGACACAAAAATAGGTATGTTGCTAGGCAACATATTTAGTTCCTAAGAGCTAAAGTTGAATTTCACTTCCTAGGAGCTAAAGTTCAACTAAAAAGGATCTACTGGAAGTCATCAAGAATAATCAACATTGTGACGGTTGGTTATTTGGGTTGAGACGCATACCTGATTTGTTTCCGATTTCAGCAGATTTGGCATTTCATACCCATGCTGAAGATATAAATACACCTTATTATAGTTTAGTATTGGGATTATAAACATCTCAGTAACGTATTTTCGATTTGATCAGGGAAGCCTTCAAGATTCAAATACTTGCTTGATCTGTATTTCATTCGTTATTCTCGGGATGGATAACTTGTTTTTGAATAATCACAACAAGCAATAGTTTTTTTGTCTCAAACAACGATATTGTTTAGCTTCATTTGATTATCAAGTCAAACACAGTGTAGTATGGAGAGGAATAAATAATTATCATTGTCGATATGCTCACTAACCTAACATTTTCCACGTCTTGTTCCTATAGATGGCACTGGCGCGGTATTTGCCATTAGAACACCTGGTCCATACACAAATATGTCACGCTGTGGTTGCATTTATTTTAAAACTTCAATTCGAATATCCTATAAAACCTAACCTGCTGTTAATGCAGGTAGAATATTCTCACCACATGGATTATTTGTCAATATTTGTTGCATTGCATACATATGGCACGGCATCGGTGGTTACATGTTTATTTGAATTAATTGTTTCGGTTGCAGAAAAAATAGCATGTTTCATTCGGATCAAAAGTGACTTTGTTCGACTCGCAAATTTTGCTTTCGCTCGGCTTCGCTAAACGCTCCGCCTCGCAAATGCAAAATTCGCTTGTCGAACAAAGTGTCACTTTTGATCCTAATAAAACAATCTACTATTAAACGCAGTGGTATTTTGGTGCAAATCATCTGATTTGTCCTCACTATACACGTATATTGAAATAGTATTCATGTTTTTATTTTTTAGAAACGAGGAGAGAAAATCCCAAAAAAATCTGGGATAATGAATTGTCTTATATATTTTTCTGAAAATTATGTATTTGCAATATTTAACATATACACATAAGTACATATAATTCAATATTTTGTTGTAACACCCAGGATAGTAATTGTTCTCTGTCAGATATTTCAACAATGATTTTTTCTATGACTGTTGAAAACTAGACCCTTTTAATGTAACATCTTCGTTGGGTAACTGGATGCATTACACAAAACAAGCCACGCCCCGTGTGTAAGAGCCTTTACACAACAGGCTATGGCCAATCAGCAACAAAGCAGATTCATTACCTACAAAACAGTTGACACCAGTTGTATTGATAATATGGGGCATGCAGTGAAACATCTTAAGTGAAACGTTTGAATCAGACTCGTCATGAAATGTCATAATTTGACAATAGCTATCTGGCGTGATTTAGAACTGACTTTTTGTGCAAATATGATGGATTCAGAAAGCGAAAATGAATTCAACTGCTCTCCACCATCAGAAGTTTTGAAAGCTGCCAATTCAATACAATCAGCCTTTTGCCCGAGGAATCTAAAAAAAGGTATGAAGTGGTTTGGCGAAAAGCAAAACTTGCAAATTCGTTTTCGGATAATGTACTGCTAGCCTATTTTGGCGAATTAGCAGCTAAACACGAAGCATCCTCCTTGTGGTCACAGTATTCCATGCTTATACTGAGAAGCACAATTTCAATAAAAAATTATGTGAATATTGACAAATATTTGAAATTACGAGAATTTCTAAAAAGGAAATCTGATGGATATATGTCAAAGAAATCGAAGATATTCACTGCTGATGAACTCAACCAGTTCATCACTCAGTCATAGAAAAAGTATAGTATTCTACTTGCGTGTAATGGCTATTACTCATTCGAATGATTACGACGTTCGCCTGCGGCTCACGTCGCAAACTTCATTCTCATGAGTAATGGCCATCATTACACGCTCGTCGAATAATATACTATTCTCATTCATCAAAAACCTATTCAATCTCCTTCCAGGCGACATCCTGATGTTCCTGGCAGGCACCTCCCTCACGTGGTCCAGCTCGCAGCTGCCCAAGCTGTCGCACCCCTCTACCACCCCTTTCGCCCGCCCCCTCACCTCGAGCCAGGCCTCGTGGGTCTCCTCCCTGCTAACGCTCGGGGCTGCTCTGGGGCCATTCCTCTTCTGCTTCCTGGCGGACCGCGTCGGCAGGAAGAACACCCTGTTGATGGCCGGAGTGCCCTTCACGGCCTGCTACCTGATGATGGCGTTCGCGACGAGCGTCGAAACGTTTTACGCGGCGAGGCTGGTGATGGGATTGACGGTGGGGGGAGTGTGCACCCTCATGCCGATTTATGTGGGGGAGATCTCGGATAAAACCAACAGAGGGTTTTTAGGTCAGTATTATTGCTATTTATGTTTGTTTTTAGAGTTTCAAGGTTTGAAATTTGAATGATATGGAATCCAAACACAAAGGTAGGTAATATTTCATGATTATTAACCGTCACAAAGATACATGTGGAGACCACAGGGGAAAAAGGGTGAATTTCACAATATAGTGGAAATTGATATAAACTACTCAACACTAATTTCGTCGCACACCAAAATGTCGCCTCTGTTATAATGTGAATAACTTTTTTCAGTTAACAATTTGAATTTGGTTCACACTGTTCGATAGCCCAGTCCTTCAGCTATAATCTCGTACTTCATTGAAACATAAGGGTATTCACATAAAATCTGTACATGGTGTTTTCCGACACTGTGCAAAATTTCGGAATATTCAAAAGGCTCTCAAATGGTGAAAAAAAAAATTTTCTCAACTTCGTCAACAGAGGCATGAAGATGATCTCATTACCTCAAGATATTTCGCGAATCAACTTCCTATCTCTCTTATTTACAGAGTGATCTCAAAAAATCAAATTTTTTGTTTTGCAGCCATAACTATTTTCCACGTCAACCGATTTTGGAAATCTTAGGCTCATTTTGAAGATAAAACTTCAGATGAAGAGATCTGAATATCAGAATTGACTCAAGATGGCTATCAAAGATCTAGAGTTTTCTTGAAAGTGACACAAATCTGGAACGCCCTTCGAATCTCGGTTGGGAGGAGAATTGAATGAAAATCAACTTGTTCTCGGAAAAACAATTCATTCTGGATGCGTCCATATTTTCCTCGCTCTCAGTAGTCAAGAATTGTGCATGAGAAAATACAATTGAAACATGTTCTTGCAAAAACATTAGATCATTTCTCCTCTGTAATGTATGGCCCGCCGTAATCAACGTTACAAGAATCACAATGAGTGACTGACAAACCCGACCAGCTGAGGCTTCATATATGGTGTACCAACAAGAACAATGGATTTTGATTTTTTCAATGAAGTGATTTTTTTACAGTTGTCACGTACATATCATGCGATTTAAGAACATGGAGACCCCAAGTGTGATACATTGATGAAATTAGGTCTTCAGGAATAATCTAAAAATTCAATAAAATAGAGGGTTCTCCATTCAAAATAACGAAGTTGCTTGTTGTTTCTGATAGAAGTGGCAACACTTTATCAATGAAAATATTTTAGGCGGATAGAGAATGTTCAATTGTCGAAGCATTCCAAATTTCAGAATGTTTTGTCTTTTCGTTCTCCAGATACTTCTAATAGGCCATCCACCGTGGCTCACACAGTATAATATATCAATTTCCACTATATTGTGACATTCCCCCTTTTTCTCCTGTGGTCTTCACATGTATCTTTGTGACGGATAATAATCATGAAATATTACCTACCTTTGTGTATGGATCCCATATCATTCAATTCCTTTTACAATCACTTTTGTGTGAAGTGATTCTGTCTCTGACCATTCTACCAGTTTGACCAATGTATACTAGATTACAATCAGTGCAAGGAATTTCATGAATGATATTTGATCTATCCTTGACTGGTAGAGGAGATTTCGATTTGGAATGAAAGTGAAATATTTCACCTTCTTCAATCAATCATTTTCATAGCATATAGCAACAAACACCTTTTTTCTGCAATAGACTCAAAAGTCGTCCATTTTTTTTCCAAAATCAGCTCTTTCAGTTGACTTTTCTCTTACTGACACAATAAAATGATAAGTATGTATGTTGTCATCAGGCAAAACTCTTAGTGTCTAGGAGCTAAAGTTGAAGTTTGACTCCTAGGAACTAAAAGTGTGTCGAATGACAGCTGATATGATAGCTGCTTGGGCACTGGCATGCTCAAGTGAGTCAAAATAGTGTCACTTATATTTTTTAATTGGGTATCAATTATTTCGATTGCAAAAAAATAGCATGTTTCATTCGGATCAAGAGTCACTCTGTTATCGAAAGTCACTCTGTTTGACTGTTAAGTGTCATCAATAGGCCACTTTCAATGACATTTGGGAAAAACATAACATAGCTCCCGTTCTATTCAATTTGCCTCTTTTTTAGTTACACCAGGGTTAACCCGACTCAACGTTCAAAAATTCATTCAATTTGCATCGATTTTCTTCAATTAATTCAAAAATTCACATGATAATTTCTATATTATTCTGTTTATCACACATTCAGAATTATCACTGAATAATAATCTCTTATTTATACTGAAATTTCCGAGAATTAAAGGACATTCGATTGTTGATGTATAATTAATATCAATTCGATATAATGAAAATGATATCACAACTATATAATTTTTGAATTGATATCAATATCGAATCAATATTATCAGAATGATATATTTCTCCTACATTATGTTTGAGATGATTACTGAATATCGCATGATATTTGCAACGAACACTATTTCCATATTTGTATTTTTCATTTGGCAATATTAGTTCATAAATATTAGACCCACTTCAGATAGATATAACCATAGATCAATGACTCCCAGTCATTAATCTATGATATAACTAATGAAATATGTCAGAACCAATATCGCACTAATATTGGATTTCTAATATCAAATCGATATTAGTAATATTTCTCTCAGTATTTTAGCGTTGTTATAATAGCTGGCGCCACTAGCATCTCTCCAACAAACTACTGCTCAGAGCCATCAAAATCCTAAGCTTTCGTTTAACTTGGTTTGGTATTCTGGGATACAGGAAGCGAAAATGGATCTGATAAATATTATGCTAATGTTTTATTAAACCAATATCGATGTTTTTTCTTTAATGAGGCTAATATTATGGCTTAGAATTTCTAATTTGAATTTTGTAGCAAACACGAAATACAATATTGATTGAATTCAACATTAATATAATATTGCAAATCGATCACATCCTTGTTGGTCAATATGGTAGACAAATACAGGATGAGTCATTGAAATGGGAAACTGAAATAACGGCTTCGCTGTTCGTGACGTATCAAAGTTATTCTTTTTTCATGGGACACCCTGTATTTCGTTACATTTTCGGATTCTCCAGTATGAGCTGATTTCATCGATGCATCACACGGGTCTAGTGGTGTTCAAAATCGAGATTTTTCCGATTTTTTTGGGTCGAAACTATTCATCATTGGTGAAAACGGCATACATGTCCCTGTCTTAATTTTCGATTTACTATATCTACTGATATTTGATTCGAACGAATACAGGGTGGTTCATAATTCTGAATTTCGAACTACCCTGTATTCGTCCAAATTAAATATTAGAAAATAGTGAATCAAAAGTTGAAATGAGGAAATGTGACCAATAATTAATAGTTTCAACACAAAAAAATCTTAAAGTTGAAAAATCTCGATTATGAACACCATATATCTCTGTAATCATTCCCGCTAGATCTCGAGTTTGATATATTGATGGAATCAGCTCACGAAGGAGGGAAATGCAATAAAATACGGGGTGTCCTATAATAAAAAGTATAACTTTGATACGCCACGCATATTTGAGCCACCCTGTATACGCAAAGTAATTTAGAAATATGATGCTCTTGGGCCTAGATCATCACAAACATTTTTATTCATCTATCTCAAACAGCGAAGCTGTTATCTCACTTTCCCATGTCAATGACTCACCCTGTATAAATTCAATATGAGAGTTATTATAAGAAACCGGTTTCTATGAGTTGGCATCCATATCTTTGTCCAACCTCATTGTATACTAATATACTCTATATTGGATAGAGCATATGAAACAAGATTCAAATTCAACACCAGCACCAAGATCCCATAATGTTCACATTGATTCATTGGGTCAATATGTAAAATCAATATCTCCCCATTATTCACTCTATATTGGTTCAATATACAACCAATATTGATGTTCTATACTGTCTGTAGGTTCATCGAGGAGGTAGTATATTCATTTCACTTGATTTTTTGGGATTTTCCCTCCTCGTTTCTATAAAATGAATATATTCTTTTTATTTCAATATATTTGTAGTTGGACAAATCAGATGATTTGTCCCAAATTTTTCCCAGGGAGCCTAGAAGAAACATCCAGTAGCTTGTCAGTGACACTTTTTTTGAAAAAATGTTAGAAGAAAAGATATATAGATATATTGAAAGAATATCGAATTTTTACTTATCTTTGGACGTTTCGGGAACGAATCTGCTTCCGTTCTCAACATGAAAATGCGAAATATTTTTCTTTGGAAGTTGTGCTCTGCTTATAGTTTGACACTTCTCAGTGTCATACTGATGTTATGTTGACATATGAATATATATTGGATCTTTCTTTTATTTTATTCAGACCAGGGAAGAGTTCCTCTTATCCTGATATCTATTATGGAACAAGATATATAAGAACGGTATTGAAGTTTGATGCGAACAGCCCTGAAAATATCCTGTTACTCATTTGTAGACCAAAATCATTCATTCATATGCCAACATCAGTATGACACTGAGAAGTGTCAAACTATAAGCAGAGCACAACTTCCAAAGAAATATATTTTGCATTTTCATGTTGAGAGCGGTAGCAGTTCGTTCCCAAAACGTCCAAAGCTAAGTGAAAATTCGATATTTGTACAATATACTCAGATATATTGAACAAATATCGAATTTTCACTTAGCTTTGGACGTTTTGGGAACGAACTGCTACCGCTCTCAACATGAAAATGCAAAATATTTTTCTTTGGAAGTTGTGCTTATATCTGAGTATATTTCTTCCCTTCAAATATTTTTTCAAACAAAGTGTCACTGACAAGCTACTGGATTCTTCTTTTAGGCTCCTTGATAGAAAAAATTGTTACGCAGTGACATTTTGGGGCAATTCATCTGATTTGTCCCACTAAAAATATATATATATATAAATAATAAGGATCTTTTTTATTTTATAGAAACGAGGAGAGAGAATCCCAAAAATCGAGTATAATGATTAATGTTCTACCTGGGTAGTAAAGTAACACTTCATCTATTTTTCCCCCAGGTTCCTTAATGGCATGCGCCACCTGCATGGGCCTCCTCTTCTCCAACGCCCTGGGCCCTTTCGTCTCCGTCCAAATCTTCAACCTCATCCCAGCCTTCCTCGCCTTGGTCTTCCTTCTCCTATTCACCCTCTTCGGCGAAGAGGTGCCCCACTACTACGTCAGCATCAACGAAGACCTCCTTGCCAAAGAGGCCCTCCACAAGCTGCGAGGAGGCATCCAAGACGTCGAGGAGGAGCTCATCGAGATCCAGGACAAGTTCAAGGAGGAGGCTAGAGGAAGCTTCGCGGATATCTTCGCGTCCAGAGGCCTCAAGAAGGCCTTCTTCACCAGCGTCATGTTGCTTCTGTTTCAGCAGTTCTGCGGTATCAACGTGGTGTTGTTTTACAGCCAGAGGATTTTCGAGGACTCGGGGGCTAGCTGGTCTCCAGAAATCTGCAGCATCGTGCTCGGGGTAGTACAGTTCTTGACCAGCTTCATAGCCCCAATAGCTCTGGGGGAGTTCGGACGTACTACCCTTCTGTGCTTCTCAGGCATTGGCATGGCGCTATCTGAGGCTTCCCTGGCTGCTTATAGCTACCTCCAAAGCAGGCCCGATTTTCAAATGGCGAGCTATCTCTCTGCCTTCCCCATGGTTGCTATGGTGTTGTTTATTACTGTGTACAATACTGGATATGGTCCTTTGCCTTGGCTGATGCTAGGGGAGTTGTTTCCTACTAGGGTGAAGTCACTTGCTACCTCTTGCACCTGCTTCTTGAGCTGGATGCTGACTTTTATTATCACGAAGCACCTGATGATGGTTTTAGATTGCGTGGGTTTGTCGGGTTACTTCGCGATCAGTGCGGGATTTTCATTGGCAGCTGGACTGTTTGGGAAATTTTATTGTATTGAGACGAGGGGTAAAAGTCTCCCCCAGATTCAAAAAGAGCTAGACATGTGATATGATTTTTATATATTTATTTATATATATAGGCTTTTGTTTATACTTTTCTATTGACGACAAATAAAATTATTTTTTTAAATTTGTGTTTTCCTCAAACATATACTAGGGATTCTAGTCTGGAGCTAGTTGGTCTCCAGGGATCTGCATCATAGTACTGGGAAACGTACTTAGTTCTTGACCAGCATCATAGCCCTAATGGCTCTGATGGAGTTCGGACGTACTGCCCTTCTGTGCTTCTCAGACATTGGCATGGCGCTATCTGAGGCTTCCCTGGCTGCTAATAGCTACTTCCAGAGAAGAACCGATTCTCAAATGACAAGCTATCTCACTGCCTTCCTCATGGTTGCTATGGTGTTGTTTATTACTGTGTACAACACTGGGTATGGCCCTTTGCCTTGGCTGATGCTAGGGGAGCTATTTCCTATAGTAGGGTGAAATCGCTTGCCCACCTCTTGCACTTGCTTCTCGAGCTGGATGCTGACTTTTATTATCACAATGCACCTGATAATGATTTTAGATAGCGTGGGTTTGTCAGGGTATTTCGAGATCAGTGCAAGATTTTCCTTGGCAGTTGGACTGTAAAATTTTATTTTATTGTCTTACCCAAATTCAAAAAGAGCTAGACATGTGATATAATTTTCATATATTCATTTATATAGACTTCTCAATTGACAACAAATAGAAATATTGTTTTAAAAATATGTTTTTCTAATTTTGACATGTAATGTGACACTTTTCAAAACTGACGGAAGTTTTGAAACGTCTTACTTTACGTAACCAGTTGCGTAAAGTAAAATTTCACATAACTGGTGATGTAATGTTCATTTCATTCATTCATTTCACACAACAAGAGTCGGCAGAACTCATGTAAAACTGGTCATTATCTTTGTTCATGCGAAATGTTTCGTCAAAATTAGAAAAAATATTGTACGTGACACGTTAGGAAACGCCATTTTGTGTAACTCTGTGATGTTGCGGGATCTCGCTTCGCTCGTCCCGCAAAATCCCATCGTTACACAAAACAACGCGTTTCCTAACTGATTACGTAAATATCTATTCCAATACCAGTTTATCTGAAGATGCAGGAAGTACTCAATCATTGACTGCTGAACGAAGAAATTTCCTATTGTCAATTAAAAATTATTCAAGGATGAAAATGAGAATTTTATATTAATTGCATCTCAAGCCAGTTTCTAACATCAAATTTTCATTGTATAGCATAATATATGTTAACTGGGATGAACTATTATAAGTATTTATAGTATTTTTCCCATTCAGAATTAAGATTTTTAACCACCCTTTATCTATTTCAATCGAATATCAATTGATTGTACTTGAAAAGTTAAGATAGGGACATGAAAACCGTTTTGATCAATTATGAATAGCTTCGACACAAAATATATTCTTAAAGTTGAAAAATTTCGAATTTTCACACCCTATATCTTTGTTATCATTCCCGCTAGACCTCAACTGTGATAGATCGATGGAATTAGCTCTTCAGGATGAATCTTAAACTGGAATGATATACAGGGTCTTCCATTGGATAAATCAAAGTTGTTGCTACTTTTCAATATGAGCGGCAACGTCGCCATGCTGAGATTATTTCAGGTCGATAAAACACAACTAATTATCCAAGGCACCAATTTCTCAGGATAATCCTGAGTTGCGTTCTCCAGAAACTAATGTGCCATCCACCGTGAATCAACCCTATAAAATTATGAAAGACTATTTTACGGGAGATATCAGGACATAGAGTTTTTTATGTCAACACATTCTTTGAATCGAATTGGCATTGCCTACGTAACAGAACAGTGCTTCTGTTTACATAATTACAAAAATTCTAACAGTATTGCTGACCCGACATGCAGAAAAGAAATATGCCATCTACATAGTTCTCAAAGTTTTTCCTGGGATTCACATTCAATTAAACATCTTTATTGTGTTGAAATCATTTAATTCCTATAACGATAATAATGATAATAATGAAAATAATAATAATAGTAATATAAATAATCAGAATGAATTATAATCATGCATTATAATAATACTGGAACAAACGCAAATATGTCAATGATAGTAATGATAATATCAACTCATCGATGAGAGATGAAAATGGATGCATTATTATTGTTCACTGGTACCTAATGAATTGAACCTTTGATCGGTTCTCATATCTTCAAGTCATCCTGGATTTCCTCCAAAGTCTTTCCTCTAGTCTCGAACAAGAAAAAGTACACGAACAATATAGCTGAAAAACTGCAGAGCCCAAACACCCAAAAGGCACCTCCAAGTCCAATTTGGTCTACGAAATAAGTAAAATACTTCGTAATAAAAAAGCCCATACCCCAATTAATAGTTGTAATAATAGAGAACGCGATAGTTTTGACCCTAGTAGGAAAAACCTCACCTAGAATCACCCAAGGCAAAGGACCGAACCCATTATTGTAGCTCAGCAGGAACAATGTAAGTGCAACTATAGGGAAAAAACTCCAAGATGAAAGATCAGCTCCATGCTCACTGAAGTAGCAGTAAACACCAAGAGGTATCTCGAACACTGCCATACCAGCAGCAGACGCCATCAGCATAGTCCTCCTCCCAAGCTTATCAGCCAAAACAGGAGTAGAAAGGCTGCTGAAGAACTGCACCAACCCCAAGATGATAGCACAGATCGCAGGCTCCAAAGTCGACCCGGTCATATAAAATATGGTCTGACCGTACATGAGTACAGCGCAGATACCAGTAAAAGGCTGGAAGATCAGAAGCCCCACGGCTACCAAGAAGCTTCTGATGAAGGACATGGACCTCATGACATCCAAAACGGTACCTCCGCTCTGCTCCTGGATCTTCTGCTTGATATCCAGCATTTCCTTCTCCACATCTTCCCCTGAAGGTCTGATACGCTTCAGAACAGCCATAGCTTTAGCCTCTTCTCCTTTCACCATCCAAAAATGCGCAGTCTCCTCGCCGAACAAGAAAAACAGCCCCAAGAAGCCCAGTGGCATCACCGCCAGAATGATATTGAAGGTCGTCACCGCTATCCAAGGTCCGATGACATAAGGAAAAAGGAATCCCAAGTTAACAATGCAGCTCATTATGGAAGACATGCTACCCCTATTGTTTTTACTAGCTATCTCACCGACGTACATTGTGAAAACGGCGAACGCGCCCCCTAGGGGTAACCCTAGCAAAAACCTCGCTACATAGAAGGCTTCCGCCCTTCTTACCGAGGCCATGAGGATGTAGGAGAGGCAGAGAGGCACCCCCATGGAGAGCAAAGTGTTTTTTCTGCCTATCACGTCTGAAAGGAGGGTAAATATCGTTGGACCGATCGTGGCTCCTAGCAGTACCAGGGATGATATCCAGGAGCCTTGGATGGTGGTGATTGGTTGGTCGAATGGGGTGGTCGTTATGTTCGCCAGTTGGGGTAGCACCGGGGATGACCATGTGACGGATGCGGCTACTATGAATAGCAAGTACGCTCCTGAAACAAATTGAAAATTGAGCTCTTTTCTACCTTGAACGAGAGAGAGGAAAGTTTTCTCCTCTTCCATTTTTCTCTTCAATGCTACCAACTTGTCCGCATTGAGATATAGAGAGGTCCGATAAATCGTTCCTTGTCTAACCTCTAGTCTGCGCCACTGAACTATTTTCGATGTTATGATGATATTCTTTCCTTCTGAACTAACTGACATATATTTCAGTTAGACTGAACTAAATCAGTTAGCATGCATTCTAACTAATCAAATTCTCTCGAAAGAATGCATAATAACTGATTCAGTTCAGTTTTAGTGAGATATTTCACTTAGTCCAAGTTATAATGATGTGATATGTCTAGGTCATAAATTTCATTGACTGAAGAATATCTATCTAGCGAATAGCTAACGAATAGTTAACGAATGAAAAACTATTGAAAAAAATAGAAGAAGTAAAACTGGTAAACAAAATCATACATAACCACAGATGCACTTGAAGCAGAAATGGAGAAGGTAGTTGGCTTCATTCTGGCAGGTTATGGTTCTGTGTGTGTCCATATTTAGTGCGAAATTCTTCGATATCTCGAAATCAATTTTATCACTAAAGAAAAACTTTTGAGAACAAATTTCTTCCGTTATTGAAGGTTCCATTTCAAAAATACTTTCAACAATACTGGGTGTTTTATAAAAGCGGGAGGACTCGGAGACGAGTTTTTTTAAATAGAACACCCAGTATTTATTATTCAAAATTTATTCCGCAAAGGCTTAGCTCTACATCGCCATACAAAAATTTAATTTGGTTGCGGCGTTGCCAAGTTATAATTGATGAACCCATTTTTACTACTTTTGAAGGGTCATGTTGAATTGGGTATGATATATTCATTTATTACAATTTTGAAAATATTTCCGGCATACAGTGGTAGCAAGGTCTCACGTACACGAATTCAGTAATTTTGCGAAATTATTCTTCACAGGGTGCTAAAATTCACATTCTGAATATTGTAAGATTCAGACGACGTTCATTAGAATTTTTCAAATGGAACACCCTGTAATTTCCTTATGTTTATCACTATCTCAGGGCAACTTATAAGGCATGATTCCTTTATTTGATTCGAGTATGGGAATATTTCTTGCCACAGGACATTCGAGGTCCTACATTCTACATCATTCAGGTATTTTTGCAATATATGCATTGTCCAAATTTGAACTATTCCGTAATTTTGTTACTTACGATTTAAATAATATGTACCTATGTGAAACAAACAAACATGCCAAAAGCAACGCCTGCCTTCAAAACCACTTCTACAATACAAACAATGTAGATTTGAATTGCGAGAATGAGGAATTTTTTTTTTCAATTTGGAACACTTTTATTGTCGCTATTTCCACGATCCAAATCTCCATTTAACTTGAAGGAGGCAAACTCATTATGATACAAACAATATTTCTTCACTACGCGGGTTTCGGGAGAGAATTCAGCAAAATATTAAATAAATTCAAGGTATATTTGATTGTGACGATGTTTGACAGGCCATTACACGAATAATGGAAGTGTATTTCAAAAAATCAATTAATAGTCTGCAAAAAAACTGTGAAAGTAGCATTTTGGATCAAATTTTCCCCAGGTTCCCCAGGCTGTAATTTCAGCAAGATCTTCATTGACAGGTTGAACTGCCTTTGTCGTAAGTTCATAGTTTCCTGGGAAGAAATGGGAATTAAAGAAGAACACACAGCATGACCGGTGATTTAAGATTATCGATTATCGATAATCACCATGCATCGATATTATCGGTTTATCGATATTATCGATATTATCAAAATTGTCTATATTATCGATGAATCAATGATTTTTATAAATTATCGATGGTGTTGATATTTTATGCATTATATAAGTACATGAAAAGAAACACAACACAGTTGATCTTTGATGGCGAACGCCAATCATTGATGATTCTTGAGCCTTCCAGATATTCGGTAAGCTCAATGTTGATGGCTTCATCCATTACTTTGGAAATAACTGATAATAGGCCTATATACAGGGTGTTTCATAATTGAATGCTGATCCTAAAGGGCGATAATCCTTGGATGATTTCAAGAAAAATTCTTCATGTGAACATAGGTCCGTAACAGCTTCGTTTCTGAGATACAGGATGTTGAAATTTAACAAAAAAATCAGTCATTCCCCAATATCTCTGGAACCGCTCTGGCTTTTTTCTTCAATTTTGGTACATGCCGAGTATGAATAGAAATACATTTTTGTCATAATGAAGGATTTCTCAATTTCCATCAGTGGCGTCCCTGTTAACATACCCTGTCATATTTTTCATCAAAATAATGATAAACCACTGTCTTTTTTCCAAATGATTACCATTTTTGTAATTATCCTCTATCTTCTCATAAAAATGGTCTCTTGTCTTTTTTTCGTCCGGCGAACGGTTTTTGAGTCAGAAAATAAAATGCATTCATTTGCTTGTCCCTATTCGATTTTTACTCTTAGTCATAATTTCACAATTGTGGTAACCAAAAGATCTGAGCAATATTTTTATAATTTTATGGTAACTATTTTTAAGTATTTGTACTGAAGATAAAAGCCAGAGCGGTTTCAGAGTTATTGGGGAATAACTGATTTTTTTGGTAAATTTCAACATCCTGTATCTCAGAAACGAAGCTGTTACGGACCTATGTTCACATGAAGAATGTTTCTCAAAATCATCCAAGGATTATCACCCTTTAGGATCAGCATTCAATTATAAAACACCCTGTATAGTTGTTGTTGGGCAGGCTGTCATGGCAAAAAATTTGCAGAGATTCGGTGTCAATTCTGGTACACACTTTTTGAGAAAGTCAACTGATTATTTGTCCTTGCTACTGAATTTGCCGTTGAAATATCGGGTATATTGAAATTAGGATTAAATAGAAAAAGAAATATTGCTATAACTGTAAAATTACGAAAAATTGTACCCACATTCTTCATAACCTACTCACCACAGTGAAATCAAGTGAAATGTTCCCGATAAATTTCTTTTGTTATGGTTATGAGGAATGTTAATGACTAAAACCGATAGTTCCATACCTTCGATATTTTTCTCATACAATCTATAGGTAGCTTCCTATAGTGGAATCATTTCATGAATAACAAATATAGTTACCTATATCATCAGATGAATGTTATCTCACTTTTGGACATTGTCAACAATGTAAAAACTTCACAAACGATAAGATTTCCACAAAATGTTGTCAACAATACCTCAAATTTTCATGAAAATTTCACACCAAACATTTTCGATCAATTTGAAGCCTGTATTTTGTATCGTTACTATAGCAACTGAACAAATTTCTTGGAAATGTTTTTCTCCTCCTTGTGGGACGGAGCATGAAATTACACTGGAAATTTTTTGACGTTTATAGGTTGAATGACAATTACTTTCTACTTCAGATTATTTCGAGTTCATTCTATAAGTCGATAAATAAAAATCATTTATCAACAGTTTACCATATTATATTATGTAGGTATACTTGCAAATTCGAAATTTACAAAAACACATGTTAATTGTTACTATACGTTAGTTCTTACATTTCATCACAAGCAACCATCATTTTTATTCGAACACTATGATATTATACCTACCTACTCTTCAGTTTTGACATGAAGAATGACATACGTGAATAATAGTTATTTATGTATTAAGGGAATTATGAGGGCCTTAATTACCGATGGCAAAGTTTGCGTCCCGAGGGCCTCTGGCCCGAGGGACAGCAATTGCCAGAGGTTATTAAGGCTCTATAATTCCCGTGGTACATAGATAATTTTATTTCTGACCGATGTTCATAAAAATATGTCCATATTTAGAACGCAATAAATGTTTAAATTCATAAACTTTCTGGTATATTTGAATTAGGTAGCGTTGATTGTAGCATTGTTGGTTGTTGCTAGGTTGTCGCTATGTTACATGTTTATTTTTTTTAAGCGGCGGAAGTAATTTTCAGGGAACATTTGAAAATTGTACATTTATTATTTGTAATGACGTGAATAAGGAAAATATGTCTTAGTTTTCATCACATATAAACGTTTATAAGCATTTCTCGTATCATTTTCACCTGTAAAAGGTAAGAGGGAGTTTTGGAACCTTAATATCCCAAGGGAGTTATGACCCTCATTATAGATATCGTAACTATGACGATATAAGCTTATAATGTCACTGTCAGAAATAAAAAATATTTATTCTTTCGAGTTAACATACAAAGCCTACTATTCAAATGTCAAAACCATCAAAAATCGTCATTATCCAAGTATAATATTTTGATTATATTTGAGTGTGAATTTTTCTTACCGAATACCAATTCAGCCTCAATTAATATCCGGGAATTTTTTCACAAACACGAATATTTAGGAAATTTTCAGAATATTTGTGTTCTCGAAAAAATTTCCGGAAATAATTGAAGCTCTCGTGATAAAGTGAAAATAAGGGTCAGTATATTGGCAATCATTTTAATATTCACTAGTAAAAATAATAGGTACTTATGTGAATTGTGTAGACAATTTGATTCCAAATAAAATCGAAGGGCATGATAAATTAATTATTTTCTATTAAACAATATATTCGCAGAATTTGGCTTGATTACTATGTTCATTATCAGAACGAATGCGATTACACTTATCAGGATGATACATGCGAATATGAATTTTTCGCAAATGATTTCGAAAAAATATTCGGTAATACACATCGATATATGGAAGTTGAAAATGGCTGAGATTCCTGAATGCATTTTCAACAACGATAAAGCAAATTAGCCACTTTCGTGACTGCTTGTTAGTTTTTTTATTGTCCATTAGAACCTATCTTCATACAGGGTGAATCTGAAAGTGAGGTTTTGCTCAACAGGATATATATCGCACAATAATAAGTTGTTTGGCAGAACATTGCTCACATAAAATATTTTAGATAACGGAGGTACCAGAATTTAATAGTTTAAAGAAGAAACATTTTATTTACATTTTCTCAAAAAAAAAAACGCAAGAAAGCCGTTATTAGTCTAGCATTAGATACCCTACAGTGGCATTATTTCATTAAAAACACTAATCAAAAACCTCTTTTTACATTTTCAACCCATTTATTATCGTTTTGAAGTGAACCAAAAAACTTTAGGAGGGAAATGAAGCATTAGGCCAAACAATTCATTTTGGCAAGATATACAGGCTGATTCAAAAGTAAGAGGCATCCTCTTGGGGTCGTAATCCTCGCATAGAAATAAGGCAAAAAGTTACTATTAATATGGGTCCGAAATTGCTACAAGGGACCTTTGCCCCTTTTAATAGGACGCCTCAAAGATGATTTTTCCTGTATAACTTTGAAACCCTTCATAATTAATTTGAGAATTTGTGTACGGTATAAAAATGTGATGGTCAATAAGGTTTTAATAATAATAATAATAATAATAATAATCATAATAATAATAATAGGACTCTATTAGGCGAAAGTTTAGCTACAAAGAGCTATTCTTACACTTTAACCTAAGTGCATAATCTATGTATAATAAGTATAGGTATAACAATATATTTTCCAAGAGAACAAACTGAATCTAATTTATATTCTTAATATAACTCATCACTTTTCTATTTTTCGAGTTGTGGAAATATTAAATGACGTAGAAGTAATTTGTGCATTTAGGTAGATTGTGCATTTTCTTAGCTTCATTCTGAATGACTCGATACTCAGATTTTCAACGTTATCATCTGAAGCATTATAAATTAGTGGTAGTTGGTAGGAGAAAGATGCTTTAAATTAACTGGTGGAGTAGTGTGGGATGTTCACAGTAGCAAGATTCCTTATATTGAGGTTATGCAATAATTGATGACGAAATTTTATTTTTTCACAAAGGTATAGTATATAGGGACGTTTCTCATTGATAATCTTATGGAAAGCAGTAGTGGCATGTAGAAGACGACGTTTTTTCATGAAAAGCCAGTCCAGAGATGAAATAGATTCAGTGATTCAGATCTACGCAAGCCCAGATCTAGTCTAGTGCAGTTGTTTTGCATTTTTTGAATTCGATAACAGTCGATACATGGACCATATACTATATCGCAATAGTTCAAATTAGATAAAACTTGTCAATCAGTTTTTTTCTTAATCAAGAGATAGTAATTGTCGACTTGAGTACAGCAATTTGATACACCCGTAAGCACGCTGAATAGAATTCAAAATTTCAAAATTTCATTCAGGGCCGTCACATGCGTAGGAGGGTGAGGGTAAAAACTTTTCTTTTTCTTCTACATTTTGGATTGATGTGATTTTGTCAGGAAATCATAAAATTCTAGATTTTTCACGTGAAAAAGATACTCCTAGTTCAATTCGATAAAGCGTACCGTTTACGAGAAAATCGACTTTGAAAATTTTTTGATTTGGGTATGTTCATTGATGAGAATTATTTTGCATCACCATAAAAAACCATTATCAACTAACATTTTCTTCAACCTCTTCGAATTCAGAATCTTATTTTCCATCAACTGTTTATTCCGTACACCAATTTCCAAAATTCAATATTGAAGGGTTTTCAAGTTATATGGAAACATCGTCTCCAATCTGTCATATTCAAAGGGGCGTAGCTTCCTTATAGAAAGCATTTTCGGACCCATGTTGATAGAAACTCTTTGCCTTATTTTTATGCAAAGATTACGCCCCCGGGAGGATGCCGCTTACTTTTGAATCACCCTGTATACCCTGTTAAATAAAAAAAACTCACTTTTAGATTCACCTTGTATATTCAAGGAATACAGGGTGACATTGAAATAAGTACAGATACTTCAAACCCTGTGATAGCTCGACATATACTATCGAATATGTCACCAATAAAAAAAGGGTCAACATTTTGGGAAGACCCTTTTTTTCCCTGAAAGTTCTACACTGTAGCTAGATTCAAATTTCTGTGCTGAGGGCACAATCATGCGGAGTTCAATCATTTACATTGTTTTAAAGTGGCATACTTCAATTTTTTCCATATTCTGTTTAAATTTTGGGATGAAATTTCTCGTTAACCAGAAGAATTGAAAAATCTGATATTTTGGGAATATTCGTTGGACTATTATCATATCGATGTGCTGAATATATGCACTTCTTTCAAAAACACCTCGTATACCGACGGGTAATTTGAATTCGAGTACCAGAGATACGAAGATCGTTAAATTATTAGGGCAAAATATGCCGTCGAGAAAATTTATAAATTCCGAGTATTTCCGGTGGAATTCGGGAAAACAGAAGAAATTTTGTACTTTTTTTTCTGGCTTTATCCGCTCAATTAAATAAAAACGCTCTAGAATGCACTTCTGTCGAATTTCATCCAATTTGTTTCAATCATTTTTGAACAGCATACAAAAATGTTTTTCTATATGTAAACTTCGAACTCGTCTCACGGACAAACGGTATATATTTTAATATAAATAAGTTGGGTCCGATCAACTGATTTTGAACTATATCACACGACGTGGTAGCTCTGGGTACCAGCAATGTTGGGACACCCTAAATATTCTCACCGCCTTTTCGAAATATAAAACATCATGTTACAAAATCAGATATAAAGGTTTTCTTCCTCAAATCTCTCTGATTATCCACTTTCAAAATTGAAAAATAATCATATATTTTTTTTACCTACTATCAGGCACAGTAGATTAATTTGCACCACCTTGTAAATGAAACTTCATATTTACCTGCAAACACAGAAGCATACACAGGGTTGACCAAATTGAGAGAAAAAAACATGCTTCCTGGAAAGTAGCACTGCCTCACATCAAATATTTCGTTTATGGATACTACCACATTATTTTCGTGTCCCACTCTAACCCAGAGATGATAATTTTGAGTCACCAAACGACTCCAAGTTAACTTCTACAACGAAGAGGTATCTATAAATTCTTTGCCGAACCTTGACCAACATGAATCTGGAATACCCTGAGAGTATAGTTGATTGTTTGAATTAAAAATGAGCAAAAATCACATTGATTTACTCAGGCAATAATAAATGAACTAGGCGCATTCACTAACATTGATTGCATACTTTCACATTCCCCCCAACGTTGTGAGTTCATACTATTATTTACAACAAAAAGCGTGGCTGCAATAGTGGAAGGGAGATTGTTGGTATTTGCAAATCACAACAATATCAAATGACTATCATTGTGTATGTGACATGACATCTGATAATGGAAATTGTTTGATGAATTCAAACTGAAGCAGTGCCACTCCTTGAATCTAAATCGATCGAAAATAACTTCCTGTATATGAATTAATTCATTTATTCAATTATGCTGTAGGGAACATTTTCATTCTTCTTGTTATAAAAAAAAAACAGGAAGCAGGTATAGTGAACTGGAAATGTTGTCCTCGGGGTTTTGAAACGATCAGGATAAAATTATAAAGTACAGAATATTATAAATTAGCATGCGTCAATTTAAACACTGCTATTTTCCGCGCATCCGGGACTTTAATGTGTCCTTCAGTACATGCAAATAAGTACTGATGCGAACCATTTGAATCCTTGAGTTGCATAATTTATTTTTTTTTTCTTATGAATTCCAAGAATCTCTAAAAAGCATCTCAAATTATACAAAATTCAAGAAATAAATGTCTTCCTTTCATCACCGCCGCTACTGGGAAGTTCTTGCAGAGAATATAGTGATTTATAGCTAAGAATTGAAAGAATGTCTTCAAAAATACAGTGAGGACGTAAAAGTCCTCCCCCCCTTTATCTTCTGAACGGGACAAGCTAGAGAGGTAGGGTAAAATTCTTTTAGTATCTTTTGGCTTGAAACTATGGTTGTTGTCACGTGGCCTAAATGGGGGTGATACGGTTCCTGGTTTTTAAGGTCTTTCGATTTTCTATCCAACACCACTTCCCCACTTAGCAAAGTTGAAAGCTATGTTGATGCATTAGATGTGAAACTGTCATTCGAAAATCAAATTGATGTTATTGTCCGTAAAGCAATGAAGAATCTTGGATTTATAATGAGAATGAGTAAAAACTTTCAAAATTTGTCAACTATTTTAACATTGTATAATGCTATTGTTAGACCAATACGGGAGTTTTCCACGATTGTCTGGAATCCATTTTATATTAAATACACTTCGCGTATTGAAAGAGTGCAACATAAGTTGATAAATTTCATAAATTACCAATTCAACAAGCAGCGTCACTATTATTCGTATAAGTCAAACCTACATTTTCATAATCTCAACTCCTTAGAAGATAGGAGATTATTTTTTGATGTTATTTTCGGTTACAAACTGGTCAATAATATGGTCGACTCTGAATATTGTCTTCAGTCTTCAGAGTTCAATTGTAACCATTTTGGTATTCGTAATAGAATTTTTTTTTGATAGATAGTTATAGATCAAACTACTTATTGAATTCGCCAATGATGCGTTGTTGTCTCACATACAATAATCTTGTGAGGAGTAGTCAGGTTATAGACGTTTTTTGTCAAAATCTCAGTTCGTGAAAACGGATTGTAAAATCCTATATTTTCCGCTCAAATCAGTGAAGAATCACATTTTCTTCAAATTTTTTCATTGAATTAGATCATTAAATCGAATTGTTACATCATCTCACTATTTTAGCCAAGTAGTTATAGTTGTAGTATAAACTTTCGATTCAGGAGAATTATATTTTTGTTACTGAGTGCGGCCCTGTGATAGGAAAGCATGTGCTATCTTTTGGGCAGCCAAAATACTAAATAAATAAATAAATATATGTTGAAGTTTGATAATGTAGCATTGCAGCAATATTACATGTTGCTGTGACATTGCTGGAACATTACATTTTCGAATTTAAATTCGCAATATTGCTGAACAGCAGTAATTGCTACAACCTTGCATCAACATAGCTTCCAAATTTGCTTAGTGGCAAATTGGCCGAGCCGCGTTTCAAACTGACAAGCGTTCGAAATTGGCTTCAAATATCAATGTCAATAAATGAGAAACCTAAATAACTTTCAATTGCAACGAAATTACGAGTGAAAATTGTAACAACTGCTCAAAAAAGCTCGAAATGTTTACCATTTTACGTATTGACTCGAAATCAATCGATTTTGGAATTCAATCCGAACATTATTATTTGCTGTTTCCGAGGTGAATTTCAAATGCTTGACATTTTGAACGGCTTGGCCGATTTTTACAACCGAATCGGTGTTAGAAAGAGAATCGAGATACCTTCAAAACAAGGTACCACGTGACCCCTCTTTAGATTCGAAAAACAAAGTTGATGGTACCCACTTGACACTAGGCCACGTGAACTCAACCATTTTCATACAAAAAGGAGTGAAAGAGGCACCTTTTCACCTGAGTTTCACCCGACCTGGTTAGCTTGTTCTGGATATTTACCGAGAAATGGTGAAAACTCTATTTTACCCCTCATGCACTTCAACGCCCTGTAAATTCTGAACCCCACTTGGGATATAGAAAAAGTGGTATGTTCTCGATATTTTTCAATATCGACCTGGAGATCTCAAGTCAGTAAATACTGGATAACAAAAAAAAACACTGATATAATGATAAATTTCTATTATTTTTTATCTTCTGCTATAAAATTTGTGGATTATCATTTATAAAAAACTCAACTACAATAAATATATACATAAATTATTATCAATAAAAACACAAACTATCAAAGTTACTTGAAAAATACTATATCCATATGGAGGATTTGATATTATTACATAATACAGAATAGGTATTCAAAGTCTTGCACCTATTTCGAATTAGGCCATCGATCAGATTTTTATTATGATATTCTTCGAAGGAGTTGCAATCAACCGATTTTTAAAGGTTTGTAATTGAAAATCATTCATTTAGTAAATGAGATAACATCTGTATTACTAATATTACTAGTTTTCAATTCCAACATGAATGACTGAAACTCAAAATTCACGAAAACAAACTCAGATTGACAAGAACTCCTGATATGTTCTGTTTCCATAAAAAATATAAAACATGCCAGAAGTGAATTCATAAAAAGTACCAACTTATGAAAAATAACACTGTAGTTATTGAAATGAATCCACTTTGATCACTAAGAAACAGGATAACCTAAGAGTATAAATGAATAGATTTCAAATCATAGATAGCTCAAATCACAAGACAGGTTCAAGACTTCAGTAAGACACTAAATCTACGAGTATTCGAAACTTTAAACGCTAAAGTATACAAAAATAAATTTATTAGATACCACAATATATTGCTCGAGAGATTGCTTCTCTTCAACCTTAAAATTATAAAAATGTGTTCATAGAACTTACTTACATGATATATCATAGATATATGGGACCAAAAATCACCGAGCACAGATGATCCCTCCAGAACCAGATCGCTTCTCTAACATCGAGCTCAAAAGTCACACAACTCGAGCATCCAATGCCTGTTCACGAGAAACAATCGCAAAAGTTCCATCGGAATCTCAGAACGGTGAATAATTTACTTACACGATTAAAGACAACATTATTCTGGAAATTACCTTCCGTAAAAAATATGCTCAACTAGCATAGAGGCGTTAGTAACAAAGTAATACCCAATGCTACTAGCCTCGATCACATTTTGACTGCAAAATGTTTGAATCTATAACGAAAAACCTATCACCACCCCACATTAGTTACTTTGGTATTGGAATTAACAATTTACACGATTTTTTACATACATGTTCGTATTTTACGTACATGCCTGATATTTTACATACATGTCTGCAAAATTTTACACACATGTCCGATATTTTACATACATGTAAATATCGTTATTTTCGCGATTCTACAAATTATACGGATGACAGAACTGATAAACGAGCCTCTGCGACCTCTCCGTCTTCTTCATGATGCCCTTCTTGTAGTACTGCCGTATCGACCTGCTCAACTTGTCGTAGTTCATGGCCGGCCTGTTTTTGCGCTTGCCCCACAGTTTGGCCACTTTGACGCTATCTTCGATCTTGAAGATGCCCTTCGAGCGGTCTAGCCATCGAATGCAGGAGCCGTTGGCTTGAGGGGTGGCGAGCAGCTCCTTGAGGAACTGCCACAGGTGGATGTGGGTGGCGGAGCGAGAGGTGGTGGGTTTGGTGGGTTCCGAGGGTACCGAGGGTACCGAGGGTGGGGGTGTTTCTTCCTCTTCGTCTGGAACATCGGAGGATACATTGACTTTATTGAATATGCCTTAGCAATTCTGGTAGTTCTTAAATTCCAATATTGTAGAATACGTGCTAGCTTTTACCCGCGGCTTCAATCGCTTAGAAGCTCTTAAATAAATATCAAAGATCATTACATTCTTATAGAGCTGAATCAGTGTGATTCAGTATGACACAAAACCTCGAAATTGAAATAGTTTTGATCTTTAGCAATCTACTGTGGTATTGTTTGGAATGGGTTGAATGAAACACACTCACATAATCTTCAAGTGAGACAAAACACCTTGCTTAAAATAGTACTGAAAAGAGATAGAAGACATCCAACTGAGATCTTATACAAGGAGGCTAGTTTATTTGATATCAGAAAATTATACACCTATCACTGTATACTATGGACGATGAACTCGCTTCTTACATATCTAACACACATCCATGACACCCAAGCCAGATCCGAGAGAACAATTAGTGTTCCTTTTTGTAAACATTTATATACCCAAAGGTTTGTTACTTTCTTTGGACCAAAACTTGTCAATCAAGTTCCCATTGAACTACGAAATTTAAAAAGCTTTAAAAAACCCAGGAAATTAATCAGATCCTTCGTTGATCACAACTTTGATTTCCTAAAACAAACGCTCGAATCAATCTACTGAACCATGCCCGAATGATTTATCAATATTTTATTTAAACCTGTCTCCCTTTTGCCTGAGTGTCTTGTCCGGTACTCCTGTGAGTTGATCATTGATTTCTGTTATTTCTAAATTTTTATATTTTACTGACATGAATTGATAGTTTCCTTTATTTTACTTTTCTTTTCTATTTACTTTCATGGTTGTTGATTCTTCCATCAAGATTAGAGAGTTCAAGATGGTGGATCCAATATGGTGAACGAGTTTTGTAATTATGATCCGTTTCTATCCAAAATTGGAATATATGGACTTTCGGGGTCGAAGAGTATGATTCTTTCCTCAAAATTTGTAAATTCAAGATGGCGGATCCGAAATCGCGGATGAATTTTGCAATTATGAAGATGCCGGATTCAATATGACGAACGAGCTTTATAATAAAAGTGTTTTGGAAAAATCATTGAAACATGCTTTCACAGATAGTCAAATTGAAGTTAATTTAAACAACAGCGTCCCAAAGTATTGCCCGAACATCGTGCTGCTAGAAGAAATTTTGTTGATAATTATGGACAGTGGAATATTCCTGAATGGTCGAATGTCTTGTTTACGGATGAGTCAAGGTTTTGCCTTAACATGGTGGATGGAAGAAAAAGAGTGTGGAGAAGAACTGGTGAACGGTTTAATCAAAATTTAATAACAGAATGCGAAAGTTTTGATGGTGGGTCCGTTATGGTGTGGGGAGGGATTTCAATGAATGGAAAGACACCCCTCCATGTTTTTCCGGTGAGGCAGTCGATGAATGTCCAAGTTTACATTGACATTTTAGAGCAGTATGTCTTACCTTATGCAGAGTTAGTGGGCAATAATTTTATATTGATGCAGGATAATGCCCGACCACACACCGCAGCAATAGTGCGAAACTTCTTAGAAGCTACTGGTATTACCATATTACAATGGCCTGCGAGAAGCCCCGATATGAATCCTATAGAACATTTGTGGGATGAATTAGGGAGAAGGGTACGTTCTCGCGAGAGGTCTCCGGAAAGTCTCGCAGAAATGGTAGATGCATTAGTGGAAGAATGGGATCGTATACCAATGGAAACGATAAGCAACTTAATTTCCAGTATGCCTCGTAGATTAGAAGTTCTTAGAGTTGCTAAAGGAGGCAATACACGGTATTAAGCAGTCATCCCAATTTTTAATTTTGTGTTTAATAAAGATGTTTTCTAAAATTATTGGTATCATTTTATTACATTAGAAAATTGTTTCTCGATAAATTCAGAAAGTTGGTAATCTGCAAGGATTCAGCAAAAAAAGCTGTAATTCGAAAAATTTTAGAGATAAATGATGAATGAAAGAACAAAATTTCGTATAGGGTGCAAGCACTTTCTTTGCCATTACTCAATTAACACACAGGTTGACTCAAAAATTAAGAATTTGGTTCGAGTTATTCCACCACCATCAAGGAGGCTTTGAAAAAATGTTCACCTCTTTATTTTTTTCAAAGACAAATGCATTACCTACCAACAAATAAAAAAAAAATCGGCCTACTATTTTTCGTTTTTTTTTTAAGAAGATAGGTCAAATATCAAGTGCGTCACTTTTTTGGAACTGAGTGTATATAATTTGATAGATAAACTTCACAAAAATTGGAAGAGAATCTAAGAAATTGAGTCAATTTGGCAAACTTTTTGCCTGGCCGGTTTTTTTGCCGGTGGTATCATCGTCTATGAAGATGTATACATGAAATTCTTCAATTTTGATTCTGCACGTGAAGATTCTCTTTGTGCAAGATGGAAATGTAACATTTCTAAATGTCAGCATGTCTCACGATTTCGTGCGAAAGAAAACGTTCAGTCAGAACGGAGCAGAAATATTTCTTTGTGCCATATATCGTGTAGCCAATCCCTTCTCGTTTTAATGATATTTCCACATAATATTATTATTATACGCCAAGATCTCCAAAGAGGTTGACCTTCACAACTCGGACGATAATGATAGTGATAATATTATACAACTGCTCCTTCCGAAGAGATATAATCGTCGAATGTTTATAATCAATTTGATACTGTTTCAACACAATGAAATTAATGAAAACGAAAACACACACGATGATAATATTTCATGAGTTATTTTTTGAATGAAGATTAGAAAAACTGCATTTTTAAGATATCTTGACTTCAATTTTGTTGACTATTTCACTCATCACCTGATCTGATCAATCACAAGCCAGATACAACATGTGCTTATCACAAAAACATAAGCTGTCTTTCAATTCTGATTGGTCTGACAGCGTTCATGTTTCCAACGATGTAACCATGGATAGCAAATCAAAGTCTTGATGTAACCATTGATACCGAAGCAAAGTCTGTCAGTTTGGCATGAAATAATTATGACTGTACTAGTCAGAATGAATCACTCATTTATAATAAATACTTTTTATGCTTCGTGAACGTGATATAGTCTAGCAAAATACCAATCTGTTCTGAATATTTTCACATAAATCTATCTTTCATTGTTCACACAATTGAGTTTCTAGAGTATAGTTTTCCTTTTCAATCAAGAATATTATTTTTCTCAACTCTCACCTTCAGAAATATCACCGCTAGAGGCATTGCTGGAGGTAGTTTCAGGACGCCACTGTATTCTTAAATCATCATCCGAGTAGGCAGCTTTCCATATTTCTAGTTGGGCATGAAGTATTCCACCCTGTAAGAAAATTAACAATGAAAAAACTCGGTTATACGGGGTGGCATTGAAATAAGTGCAAACATTTCAAACCCTTAGGAAGCTCGACGTATACTATCGAATGGCACCAACAAAAAAATATATAGGGATCAGAATAAAATTTGGGGTTAGACCATTTTTTCCATTCAAAGTTCTATACTGTAACAAATTTTCGAGCGGAAGGCACATTCAGTTATTTCAAAAACACCTCGTATATAACTTGAAACATCCATTTTGGATTTCAAGCTGATTCTGCTAAATTCATGTATGGCTCTATCATAAAAAAATATATGAAGAACATAATAACCCATTAGCCTCATTTGCGACGCATATTGTTTTTGTTTCTTTGGTAAAAGTTTTGATAAAAATATAGGGGTGAGGCCTACTCAATAACAGTCCTGTTCTAACAGCCACAGAAACACCTAGAGACAATTCTGGACCACCGTTAATTATAATAATGAAGAAAAATAAATCAGTCGAAACATATTCAGACGTCGAAAATTAGCAACAACTTTGTTATTTCAAATAGAATACTCTGTATTTCATTGCATTTTTAGGTTCTCCTTGAAGAGCTGATTTTTCATTAATGTGGCACACTTTGGGTCTAGCTGGAATCATTACAGAGATATGGGTTGTTCAAAATCGAGATTTGTTAACTTTAGGATTTTTTTGTGTCGAAACTATTCATTATTAGTCAAAACGTCTCACATGCCCCTATCTCAACTTTTGATTAACTATCTACTGACATTTAATCAGAAAAAATACCTACAGGCTGGTTCAAGATTCAGAATTCTGATCACCCTGTATCTGTAACAATTAAATGTCAGTAGATAGTGAATCAAAAGTTGAGATAGGGACATAAGAGTCGTTTTGAGCTCGTATAATCAAAGGTTTTGACCAATAATGAATAGTTTTGACACAAAAAAATCCTAACGTTGAAAAATCTTGATTTTGAACACCCTATATCTCTGTAATCATTCCCGCTAAACCCCAAGTGTGATATTTGATGGAATCAGCTCTTTATGTAGAATCCGAGGTAGAATCTGAAAATGTGAAATACAGGATATTACATTCGAAATAACAAAGTTATTGCTACGTTCAGAAAAAATGGACCTATGTCCCACTCGAAAATGTAGTTGACGTGTTCCGATGTTTTTTTTAATCAGGTTCTGGCGAGCTACACGGCCTCTGTGTCGTTTTCAAATGGCAACCCTGTATATAACATTAAACAACCCTTCTACAAGATCTCAGATATCTCATTTTCACTCTGTTCATGTCTCCATAGCGGCTATTCAGGCTGGTTCTTGAGAATGACAGAAAAATTCATCCACCCTGTAACTTGAGAACGTTATGGCCTTCTAGGACTGATCTATATGGCATCACCTTAGCAAGTTCGATTCATTGGACCACCCAGTATAAGTACTTCTAGTGGTTTCTGCTGAGTGCACAACTCTTGACCTGAATTCCAATAACCTGCACTCGAACAACAAGCCTTCATTGCAAATACAGACCTGTCGTTTTTCGAAAAAAAGGCGATTAATGGCAGCACGTTTATTTCGCAACAGAAAATAATAGTCTCTCAGATCATAAATCATAATTTCATAGCGATACGAGTCGTTACTTCAATTTTTCACAAAATTACCCACAAGTCTTTTGATACCTAACCATAAGTACGGACAGAGTATTAACCAAAATTTCTGTACAAACATGTGTCGAAAAAAATCAGCTGATTTTCCAGATTCAGCAGTCCTTAGACATCCTTTACCTATATGTATAATAATAATAATAATAATAATAATTGTATTGCTTCCAAAACAAAATTACAGCCAGAGTTATATTATATGGTGTGTGAAAAATAACTGTAAAATCAGAAAAAAATACTACATAAAAAAAATTATGATATGTACAGGGTGACTGAAATTACAGCCTCATCATTGAGATCTCGTTGACCGTAAGAAATACAGGGTCGGTTGAATAATAGCGAAATTGCACAATCTTCGCAACTCATAAAATTCTGGATACATTATTGAGAGAATCCAAAAAAACTAAACTTCTTATTTTCAAGTTAATTGGAGTAATTAATCGAAATGAATGACCATTTATCATGGCCACTTTTTCTTTCCTACAAGTTGGCGTTTTCAACGACATTTTTTCTTCCAGAAACTATCATCACTTTTTTTTCGGACCTGGATTTTATTTTTTCTTATCTTTAGACAGCCTAAAAACAATGAGCTATCACAAAACATTCTTCAATATTTCGTTTACAAACATTGACAGTTTCTGTATTTTTTTCAATATTCAATACGAAACTGTAAATTTTTACGAACGAAACATTTGAAGATAAAGATTCATGATTACTCACGGCATTTGGGCAATCCGAATAAGGTATGGCAAATTAAATGAAAAATCCAAATCCGTATTTGAAAAAATCAGTTGATGATGGTTTCCGGAAGAAGAAACGTTGAATTTCAAATTTGAAAACGCCAAATTGTTGTTGAATAGAAAAATTAATTGTCATTCATTTCGAATCATTTCCTTCAGATAACTAGAAAAAAATAAAAAAGATTTTCAGGATTTTTTTTCATATCTCACTTTTCATAGAATTACTTTTTTCCCGCGAAAAAAAGAGTACTTTTTAACCAACATATCAAGCGTTTAGACGCATTCGAATCAGTGACGCCAGAAAATGTATTTGCAGAGCGTGCCCAAATATCACCCACGATATTATGAGTCTACGTGATTAACTAAAGATCAATATTGATAGGTGATTATAATAATGTGTCATAATTTTTTTCAGTAGATTATGAATGTTCCAGTAAATCAGTAGATCAATATGCAAATCAGTAGATCTCCTGAGGAGAACCGGCAACCCTGTCGGGTGCTGATATGGCAATCTGGAGGCATCGTCCACCAAATTCGAGACCAAATTAGAATATTGGTGGACGATGCTGGAGCTGGAGGTTCCCTGATCATTATTTTTGTTTTCTGATACAAGCAAAAGACGTCGCGCACTTGCAATGATGCCAGTTTATATTGACATTATCTCTTATTTCGTCATGAGTGATAAACGCACGTTTTTGCGTTTTCATTCTTAATCGAGAAATTTCAAGATTTCTTGTTTTCATGAGACATAAAATTTCGTGTCTTGTCTTGAAATCTAAAATAAATTCTTTCTTGTCTTGATCTTGTCTTGAGATCAAGACAAGATCCAAACAAGATCTTATCGTTATTCACAATATTTTGGCATACGAATCGTGTTTTTTGCGCTATTCATTAATTCAAGCAAGCTTTCTCATTGTGCTGTTTTGCAATACTCAAAAAATGCAGCGAAAGACGAAGGAATTCAATTTTTCAGGTAAATAGTAATCTCGAATATAGTTTTCATTATGAAATTTTGTCATTTCTTATTGAAATACAACCGTTTGCCACTTCTGCAATAGAAGCTAATACTGCAAATAGATTGAAAATGTCTACAACACACACGATCATATTTCGTCAGCATGCCAGACCAGTCCTTCCGTTTGATTGCATGACTCCAATCTTATTGTATTATTTTGACAATTTCACGAGTATTTTCATCAGCTTCTATAGGATCGCGTGCACGATGACCAACCCTCTGAAATATTGAAACACAACCTCACTCTTCTGTGAATTATTGAAACACAACCTCACTTTTTTCATTTGTTTACAGAGGAATCAAAGGATTGAAATAGTTTTTCACAATATTTTGGCATACGAATCGTGTTTTTTGCACTATTCATTAATTCAAGCATGCATTCGCATTGTGCTGTTGTACAATGGACAAAAAATGCAGCGAGAGACGAAGGAATATGATTTTTCAGGTAAATAGTAATCTCACATAGTTTTCATCATGAAATGTTGACATTCCTTATCAAAATTTCTTATGCCACTTCTGCAATACAATTAGGCTAATAGATTGAAAATGTCTGTATTTCTTCAGCATGTCAGACCAATCCTCTCGTTTGATTGCATGAATCCAATCTTCTTGCATTATTTTAGAAAGTTCACGAGTATTTGTATTAGCTCCTATTGCAGAAGGAATTCCGATGAGAAATCAGAGAAATTACCAAATTCCAAAAATAAAAACTATATGTGAGTGACTATAGTGGGTACCTATACTTTCAAATCATAATGTACCAACCGGATTCCTTCGTCTTCTGCTGCAGTTTCTGTGCATTGTACAACATCAACAGCACAATGTGATGGCATGAGCGAATTAATGAATAGCCGAAAAACACTATTCGTATGCCAAAATAATTGTGAAAAACTATTTAAATCATTTGTAAACAAATAAGAAAAGTGAGGTTGTGTTTCAATGTTTCCCCTCCAGGGTCGCGGTCGGACATTTGACAGTTCTTGCACGCAACCTGTTGGGACAAGCACGATGGAGGCAAGAAAATGATGATAATGAGAACTTGTCGTGAATTTAAAAATACACAGACACTCCGTCCGTACCCTCTATATGTCATATGTCAATAGTGTTTTGAGTTATGGCTCATTAATATGGAACCCTGGTTACGATATTTATATAAATAAACTTGAACGGATACAGAATATATTCATTGATTACGTCAATAAAAAATGCTTTCCATCGAACCCCAGCAACCGTAACTATGTTCGAAATGAGCTGAACTTATTATTATCACTAGCGCATAGGAGGAACATTTCAGACGTGAAATTCCTTTATAAAATCATAAATAAGTTAGTTGGTTCGCCTGCTATCCTCAGTAATATTTATCTTACAGCTCCTACTTATATTACGAGGAATCATCACATTTTTCGTTACGAACAATCTCAAACAAATTATTTTTTGAACTCTCCAATGCATAGATGCAAAATATTATTCAACATGCTGTCAAATTCTATTGATATTTTCTCTTACCCACTTTCCAAATTTTCTCACATTTTGAAAAAACATTTCCTTGCTTCACCTACTTGATTTTGATATATTTCAACGTTTTAATATGAACTGAATAAAATTATTTCACCTTTGTTTATATCAACACACTACAATCACATTATTGATTTTCATCAAATTTGTAATTGATATTCGATTTGTTCAGTATCAATATATCTGTATGATGAGATATGAAATATCTGTGAATACTGTTTTTGGGTTAGTCCAGTTTGTATTCCTTTTCGTAAATGAAAATAAAAAATAAAAGATACATCGAAAAATTGCTATTTCGGCGACCGCCCTGTATTCAATGCCATCGCCCGTCCTTGGTAGGAGCGTCGCAGAGGGTAGGGGGGGCCAAGGGGAGATAATATTTTCTACGCGATTACGCATCGTCCGAAGAAGAGAAAGTCTTTCTTATGTTTGTCGATGACCTAGTTGACCATTTAAAAAAAAGTGCGGAGGAATGTGAATTTTACATCGAACGTCGCGTTCCGCCTGGCAGAATCTTTAGTATCAAACATTATCAAACCTGGTCGCTGCTGTTCAGAACCAAATAGGCGTTAATAGAGGTAATTGAAGAAAACTAATTACGGGTTAATGGCCTTGCGATACGAGAGATTCGAATTAATGGGAAATCGGAAATCTCTAGTTTACACTGTGGAGCGACATCGTTGTACACGCGCATTAACAACAAATAAATAACTGAATTGTTTGAAGAAAAAAAACGGTCAAGAGCTAACCCTCGAACGTTTTATCAATCAATCAATCAATCAATCAATAAAAAGTGTACTTTATTGTCGAAGATATAGATCTTATTGACAAAGCATGAAATGTATAATTACAAACATGGTATAGATCACAGAACAAAAATAAAATAAAAAATGAAACAGAATATCAGAATATCAGCATATTTTTGATGATCAATATTTTATCATCAACACAAAAGAACTACTAATAAAATCAGTTTAAAAATAGTTATTTTTGTATCTAGAGCGCGAAATGCTACTTTGGTGATCGAGATCTGATTTTTTAACGAGGCGTAGCCGAGTTAAAAAAATAGTCGAGATATAAATTGGTTATAATGAAGTCTCATAGACAGTTTAAATAAAAAGTTTTTTCTTCAAATTTTTTCTCTACTTTCAATTTATTATATTTAAATAATGTCATTTGATCTTCAATCAATAATGAAGAGAACATGAGATTTTAACATCCTATATATAGTTCGAAAGTTGAGAGGTTTAGGACGAATGTTTATACGAACTTTTCTTCTCAAATTGAGCTATATATCCTATATTTTTAGCAATGAATTACACTCTGTATAGCAGCAAAATCTCTTCATCCTTCAAGAAATTCATCCTCAGAAATTTCGAATAATTTCAATGATTTTTATGATCAAATATCGATTTTTCCATAAATGACTTGAAATGACTGTTATCACTTGCTACACTTATTCAGAATTGGTAAGTAGGTACCAATGATTTTCAAGGAATATATGATGGGTATAACATCAAGCCTGCAAAGTTCTCTATCCACATAGACAAAGCTGGTCCCCTAGTACAAAAAAGCTTCTTTCCCAATCGCTTATCCTTTCAACCATCAATTATGGGGACCCTGTTTATGGTCCCTTCTTGGATTCGGCTAATCAATTTAAAATACAACGTGTGCAAAATTCATGTGTTCGCTTCATCTTAAGGATACGTAAATTTGAACACATTTCTCAAGCTCGTACCAACCTTGGTTGGGTATCAATGTCCGTTCTCAGGGAATATAACTACTGCAACATCACTTATTATGTATTGAAATCGAAGAAACCTGTTCCACTATTCAATAAATTGACAAAGAGGTTAGAGCTCTTCTTTCAACCTTCGAACTAACGAAAACCTTCACATCCCTCGTCATTCGTCAGCCATGCAATACTCGAAATCCACATTCAAAAAGAAACTAAAGGCAATATTCAATATGTGATAAGAAGAATTGCATTTTTATTTCAAACTATGTAGCTTGTTGTATACTACTAGTAATTTGTCCCATCACACAATCTTTTTGTTTTGTCCAGTTACTCTAATTCCCATGATACATATTAGGTTAAGTGTAAGAGTAGCTATAGCTAAACTTCGCCTACTATGTAATATTGAAATACTAAATAAAGTCGATTATCATTATCATTATTATCATTATATTATCATTAATTTCTTCATCATTTTTATTTTTACGCTATATCGATCGTGATGTATAATAGTCCAATAGAGAATGAGAGTTTTCTACAACATGAACCGAAAAAAACATGGGGGTGTAATTTGAAAAACTAAAGTAAGGAGTGGTTTATAGTAGATTGTTTGCTACAAAGACGATAGGATGCCACCATTTTGTAGAGCTTTTGCTCCCATAATTTCGAAATTTTTTTGAAATCTTCTGTATGTTAGATAACCTAACCTAACCTCTGGGACACCCGGTACAGTGTTAGTATAGTAGTGTTTTTGCCCCTCGTGATGAAAACCCTACTTCAGTCCAAATTGCTGAAATATTATAATATTGTGTGTCAATACACCTGCTTTGAATAAATTAAAGAAAAAAAGTAACTTGCGCAAATAATAATAATAGATTCGATGAGTAATAAAGTAATGTTTAAATGTTACCTCAAGTTTTAATTTCGGTATACTGCGTGTGACTAAGTCTTGTGGCCACTTTACACATTTCATACAATATACAAATCGTAATATAGTGAGAAAAAAATTGAATGTGAGGTAATTTATTCAGTTAGAACCGTGAGAAAATCTTGCATCGGTTTGCGATGATGTCATCAAATTAGTTTGAATCACAGCTATATGGGCATACAAAACACGATTTACTTTACAGTATTTTGTATGAAGTGGAGATTTGGCAACCGAGATAGCTGATTCGTTCATGACTAGTAGAAGAAGATCTATTTTTTGAGGGCTTCTGAAGATGATTATTTAGTGATGAAATACTGGACACTAAATTCCTACTGTTCCACCAAATGTTTGACAAACTGTGAGTTGTTGATCAAGCTAGTCTTTGTATATTTAAAGAAAAACAATTGTCATTTCGAGTTAAATGCTGGAGGAGTGTGGAGTGTTATTATACCCAGACAGCACAGAATATTCAAACCTTCTTCAGAATGAGATCGTTTATAGAATATGATGAGGATGTTCTGAATATTCATAAAATGACTCACGAGAATATTCAATGAAACTCTCATCCAATTATATCCTTTAGGACTATGTAGGGACGTTCCTACAATATTCCATTATATCCTATAAATGTTATTCATGGAGTGTATTTTCCGAATATTCTAGTTATGTTCAAGGAATATATTATTTAGATAGTCCGAGAAAAAGAATTTTTGTTTTCTATAAAACAATTTCCTAACTTGCTTCGTTTTTTGAGATAAAGAGCGAGTGAAATTTTTCAGAAAAGAATGATTTTTCTTTAATTATTCAAGATCATTTTCGCTGATTTTGATGAAACTTGTTTGTAGTGCATCTGCGGTATGTAGCAATAATGTAGTTCAGTGAATTCAAATTTACCGCTATTTTCTCCAACTTCCTGAAATATTTTCCATTCGCTTTAGAAAACCCTGTATACTGTGAATTTTCCTAGATCATTCTGAGGATGTTCTGAAAAATATGAGAACGTTCATGAAAAGGGCATTTTCGTCCCATTTGCATGTTCAGTGCATCTTGTGAGAACATTCTGAGAATATTCGAAATCTTCCACGGGAATATTCAATATAAGAACGTTCTCAGAATCACTTCGTGCTGTCTGGGTAACGGCTCTTTTCAATCATTTATTCAACGGCACAAACATATCTGCGTCCTTTACGGAATAGGAAGAATGTTGCTGAATCGATTCTCAGAAGATATTGAACATACCTATAAGGTATAGATAGATATGGTTACCACAAAACAGCTATATAGAATTATGTAAAAACACTCGGTAGAAATAACATAATGCTAAAAAAACTAGATTATTTCACCTCATATATCGAGCTCAAGCTAACCCCAATTTCAAAATCGCCTGTACCAAACAAAATTTTCCAAAATTGCTATACATAATTTCTGAGTTTCACTGACCTGTGAAGCCCTTCTGGTGAAATCTTCTTCCGAAAGGGCTACAAGGGCTGGTCCAGGCATGTCCCATTGGTCAGCTGCTGGTTCCTCAAGTCCGAATTGTTGAGACGTCCATCTGATCCAGGATAACACACTGGCAGAGTTCCACTGTGATGGATCTGGAAAAACCAAATCAGATCCTATTATACCAAACTGAATCTACTTGAACAACCATAATCCTCAAAGTGTTTTGGTTTTCGTCACAGTTGTAATTTTTTGTTTCGATCAGGAAAGCCTGCAAGATTCACATACTTGATTGATATGTATCTCACACAAAGGTATCGTTTACCATTATTTGATTACCGAGCCAACACAGTGGAATATGGACAGGAGAGAAATAAATGATCGTTATTATTATTGTTGATATGCTCACTAACCTAACATTTTCCACATCGATTCATCGATTCGATAGAAAACATAAATGAATCACTCTGTGGTTGTATTTATATATCGAAACTGCAATTCGAACATCTCTGAAAATTGAATGAACCTGATCTGTAAATGCAGGTAGAATAATATACACAAGGATTATTTGTTAAGTAGTCTGAGGTATTGCTTCTATCTACCTACTCATATTATTATAATGATCCGTCAAGTAAGTCACATTGGTGGTTACTTCACATATTTATTTTAGTTAGTTCTTTCGGTTGCAGAAAAAATAGCATGTTTCATTCGGATCAAAAGTGACTTTGTTTGACTAGCAAATGGTGCTTTCGTTTGGCTTCGCTGGACGCTCTGCCTCGCAAATGCAAAATTCGCTTGTCATGCAAATTGTTACTTTCGACCCTAATAAAACAATCTACTATTTTACATTTTCAACCAATTAATTATAGCTTTGAAGTGAACCAAAAAACTTTAGGAAGGAAATGAAGCATTGGGCCAAACAACTTATTTTGGCGAGGTATATACCCTGTTAAATTAAATACCTCACTTTCAGATTCATCCTGTATTTCCATGGAAATGTGCTATGGATAATGAAACAATAGCATATGAGCAACAATAATTCGATATCAAAGTTCTTACACCATATTTTTTATGCATACTAACTATATATATATTGCAGGTTGAAATTATGATTGTGATATATTGTTGGGAAGGTAATTTTATACTGAATCGTAATTTCTAGATAGAAATATATTTTGTATTTGAGATAAAAAAAAGGATGCACTTCCGGTCAAACCGGAAGGGTCAAATGTGGTATGATACTAGCGAAATTATACACTCATGAAATCAAATCGATGTACCAAAATAGCAACGAAGATACAGGGAGGTGAATTGGTTCCGGGTCACCCGGTATATATAGCTACCTATTATAAACTCAATCAGCTTCAACTCTCAGAAATTTCAACTTTATGAAATAACGAGGTATGAAATAGCTACTAACCAAACAACAGTTTGGGAAATAAATAATAAGAATACAAAAAGAAAATGATGACCTTCATTAAACTACGTTAGGACCAATGAATATAAATAAATAAAATCGATCAGTCGTTGGGGATACCTAATACAATAAGGAATATGAAAATTGAAAACGTGTCTATAAATAATTAATATTGAACCTCTAGATCTAGATCTACAGAAGGTAGGTTGGTAGGTAGTTGAGAAAAGCCGAGAGAAAAAAATGTTTGATCACTTTTAGCTATGAAACATTGACCTTCTAGTGGCTCCAATAGAAATATCTGCCATTCACCCACACATAAGCGTCTAGGTCTAGGTATTCATTGTTCATTCATGGTCGTTTGGCCTATAGGAATATTAGAAAAAATAACACCTATTTTTCATAAGTATAATATAAAAGTATAAAATAGTGATAACTTTATATAATTAAATACTCTTATCTACGAGTTCATCTATCTATTATTTAATGAATAGGTATTTGTGCCAATCTGAATCAGACTCGATAGGTATCGAGACAGAGCAGAATTGGCTCCCTCGGTCAGTTTGTTTCCCTCAATGACAGGTAAATTGGCTCCCAAGGAATAGGTGAATTGGCTGCCGAAGATCATCTCGATTACCAATGAAGAAAGTAGAACATACACGTAGAGCACCTCGCGCACGATCTAAGATATGACCCTTCTTCACTATTGACTTAGGTCATCGTGAAGAAAAACAAGAAAAAACTACAACATGGGATACACGAATGAAATTAATTTCCAATGAGCATACCGAATTGGCTCCCGAGGCCTCGGGGGGCAAATTATAATCACAATGCCTCAAATAATAGCTATTAAATGAAGTGAATGAAGGGTATCAAAAATTCAGGGGAATGCCTTGTTGAAAAAAGGAGGTGACGAGGTGACAAAAGAATATTATTCTGATGTATTTCTCGAGGTTTTTCCTAAAAAGGCACGGGGAACTCAAGAAGTGAGAAATGAAGTTTAGTAAAGGCAACGATGTTGTCTAATAATTAAAGACAGTGGTGCAAAAATGGGGCAGCTCCACTATTACACGATTCTCACTTGTATAATGTGAGCCACTAACAAAAATGTGCTCTATCAATTGGTGCAAGAAAGACACAAGTTCTTTGATTCCTTTTGATGATATACGGGATATATTTATATCTCCTTCATCGAGTCGGTACAAGAAAGAGGAGCTGCCTCGGTTTTGCATCAAATTTGTTGTCGTGTCTGCCATTTCCATCGCTATACCATTACCGGTATTGAATTCCTTCAAAATAATACAAAGCTGGATTGATAAAAAAGGAGAAGAGAATGCTAGAAAGGATGGTCTTTCCTCAAGAATGGCTTTCCTTGATCAAAAATACATTTCAGTAAATGTTTCTAAGAATCTGAGTGAGGTTAACAAACAGAAACAAGAATTTGTAATCTCTGCCTAGCAAGTTATTGAAATACACTGGGAAGGCCCTTATACTCTTCATAAACCTGGAGGCTGACTCTTCCTAGTCTTGAGATACGTCTATCTACTCTGCGTCATAACCTCTCAAGCATCCCAAGTATCTCGATGGGGAAGAACAAGCAACAAAATCTCTGAAGCAACTATATAAATACGTATCACCATATTGTATGTGGTTTTACGACAGGCTTGAGTGCCAAGGAAAATACAGCCTAACCAGTCTTCACAGATGTTCAAATTTATTACTATAAATGATTTTTTTCTACAAACGTCAGTAAAAGTATAATTTTTGACGCATGCTGTCAGTGTCTAAAATGTCAGTTTATGACACTGGTGTTTAAAGTAAATCACTTTTAGCACTAGTGAGAAAATATGTAAACATAATTCAAAATGAAGTGTTTATTCAATTAAAAGTACAATTAGCGAAACTACAATTATAATACGAAACTCCATGGCCAGTCTCATTGGTAGATGTGACAGAATTTATTTTCGTGAAGCTTGCACCGGGGCAGAGAGCAATATTATCTGCCGAAGTTTTCGACAAAATTTGATCTGCAATGTTCTGTTTTCATTGTAGCGAGTCTTCTATATAACCCTCTGCTACTGTACTGGACTTCCATCCACCATGTCTTTTAATTGTAGTAAGACTAGCACCAGAGTCTGCCAACAAACTATCTGAGGAAAGTCGGAAACATGGGAATCAGGCAAATTGAGAAATTCGGCAATTTTGGCAGGCATCTTACCAAATGTGTCGATTCCAACTGGAGTCCTGGCACATTTATTTTTAATGCATTTTATAAAAACTCTAGAATGATTAATATCCACTGGACGAAGGGCTATGTACTTTTTGTACTAGTTCATATACAATGTACCACTTACAACAAAGGTGCGCTGCACATTAGTTTTTGTGTCTGGTATATGCACAACTAGTGAAGTTCCGGAATCCTCGATATTATTTAATGTCAAATCGCACAGTTCTTCTCGACGACAGGCTCCAGAAACACCAAAAATCGCAGCAACTTTCTGCATTAGATATATTTCATCTGGGGCTTCTGCGAGAAATTTGTCGATTTGTACTCTTGTCAATACTTTTGACTTTTTCGGTCGATATCCTTCAACCTTTCGCTTCAAAAAAGCCACAAGCATGTGATATCTGCTTATGTCATGATCATTTATGTTCATCATCGACTTTAACATAGACTAATTCGACCAAAGCGTTGACGATTTCCATATTTTGGACTTTTCTTCAAAGTATGCAAGAAGCACTTTTTCACTGGCCTCCTTTCCACTGGCATTTTTCTGATCACACCATTTCAAGAAACGTTCGTATGAAAACTCGTACTGTCGCTTTGACTTACTAGGCAATAATTCAAAAACAGCTTTATTGGCAGCTTCTCCAATTTGCGGCGGAAGAAATTCTTTTTCTTGGGCACTTTCCATCGAGGAACGAAGAAACGAGAAAGAATAATTCGTGATTTATTGACGTTAGTTTTCAAGAAAGATAAATCAACAAATTCAGTTTTTGTTTACCTTGGTAACTTGTTTCATGAATAGATTAGATTGAATTGGATTCAAAACTGATAATCTCGAGGCTGTTATTCAATCAATTAATAAGTAATGTAAAATAGTTATGCGTTAATTTGGACTTTTAATGGTGTTTGTAGAAAAAAAAGGGATGGAACAAACTTCCCTTCTCACAGAATAAAATGTCACTTTCAGCACTTATATCATAAATAACTATTTTAACTCTTTTACTGAATGAAAACGATTCATGAAATCTAGTTTTCTCATACAATAGTGCATGATACATATTAAAATATCTCAGATAATCCCTGCAGGTGCAGAAAGATTAAAGTTTTTTCAGCTGAGAAATTTGTTCGAAAAATTCTTATTCGATAACATTATATATTCTCAACTGAACTAGAACATGATGTTTACAGAAAACCGACAAAAAGAATATTTTTCAAAATAAACAGTTTTTATCGCCTCCTGAATTTTTTTTTTGAAATGGAGCTGGCCCCTTTTTGCACCAATGTCTTCAACAATTAATTATCTCGACTTTTGACATGTATATCATTGGCGGGCCATTATTTACATTTGAAAAACAATCGGCTCCACCCATATCGAATATCTCATATTAATTGAACGATACGCAGATGAAATATGTATATTCAAATGATACCTATAAACAAGAATCGGCATACCAGAGCATAATGCCGTCCTTGGATGGTAGTATAGGTATGGCCACACCCGACATTGACCATTC